AAGAAAGAATAATTGATACAGTTTCGAGAGCCCACTTGCACAAAGCCATCTTAGCACTACGTTGATCGTAACTCCCATACTCTAACATAGACTTAAGATTGTTGTAGTGCTAAGATCGCTTTGTGCAAATGGGCCTAGGGCGTGGATACACGTTTCGTGAAGAATATATACTTATCAAAACTTAAATTGATGGTTTTTTTCCAGAAATATGGTTCCATACACTATTTCCTGAGATCATCATACAATAGAGATTTTAGTATAAAATGAAATTCATCTTCTATATCTAAACAGCAATTAGGACATTTTCTGTCACAAAATTCCAAACCTTGGTGCTACCGCAGTACACCATGACACTACCGCACCCCACCCCCCACCCCCCCACCCCACCCCCACCCCCCCTTCCAATCATGGTCAAGAATTGGTGCCCTGGCATACCGCTCGCCGCTTCGTCGCCAAAAACGTGAATCGGGGCAAAACCTTGATTTGTCTGTAAACATTTCGTATATTTTATCATTTCATATACAACTACATGTTCAGTCAAACACCGTTGTGTCGAACTTACTGTTGTCTCGAAGTAAAAACTTGGTCCCTGCGTATTTCTTCTGTATTCATCATAATTCGGTTGTGTCGAGCTTCGAAACACTCGAAGTATTTACAAATGTCCATTCCATGTCCATGAAACCGATAGGATAACCAAAGCTTAAGGGGTAGTTACCTCTATCAAAAGTAATCATCAATGCATACTTCGATTTACTGTCCTATTTCAAGAAGATTCAAGACATTCTGATTTATTTTTTCTCCAACAGAAACCTCAGTTTAATCACTGATTATAATATTAAATAGTTATTGAATATGTATGATATCTGTGAACTGTACAAAAATCTTACATACGTTGACTATTGAATGCTTTAAAAATATGAAGTGATTCACTAAGGAAAGGATATTTTGCATTTTGTTGTTGTAAAAAGTAAACTTGACTTGATCAGGGAAATCGGATCCTTCTGTCTATGTCATTCATTAAACAAAAAAAACTATGTTTAGTAGACTATCTAGATCTGTATCTGTGTAGAATGTTTTCCTTGTTCGAAAATTTTAAAATTTTGCCCGGGACTGCATGTCTGAGGATACATATTTGTCCTAAAGTTATTTTTTAATAATTGATATAAAAACTGATTCGAAGCTATGTTTTATGCTGCATTTATGCCTGGAATAGGTCAGTGGTAAGAATGTTTTTTAAAATTATAATATGACTTTATGGTGATGGCTGCTTTTTTAAACTTAGCATTACCGTTAGATGCTTTTCCAGATTGCGTTTAAATTTTGGTTTTCGGGTACAACTTGCTTTTAACAGTCGACCTGACATGTTTGGAGTGTCAAATATCTGTCAAGATCGTCACAGCCTTGAGACTGTACGTTGTCGCTTTGGTTTCACATTGTAAGTTTTGCCCATCTTAAATAGATATTATCCTTCTGGTTTGTTTCTGACCGCCTGCCCCTCTCTGAGAAAACCTTGGATATGAGAAACCAAAAAATAGCAAGGACGCCCTTACTTGTATACGAGCGTAACTCGCGTGTTCAAACGAGTGTGTAATCGATACATAATTTATACACTTGGAAAAATGTTAAGCACAGCTTATAATATTTGTATACTTACATATAAAATGGCATTTTTTTAAGAATCGTCTCCTATATTGATTTCAAATGTTTTCGTTAACACCCTCCTATATTGTGTCGGTTCAATCAATCATTTATGTCAGGCCCACGTACAATTAATACAATGAAAGCATTTTGATCGCGTGTGCAAGAGCAAATATTTACAATTGTGAAGATCGGAGATTGATGGCATCTTATTGTAATTTGCTGAATGTTTTCGAACGCTTACATAGGATGACAGCAGCATTGTTGTCAAACTATCCCTTGGATTATGATAAGTATGGACATTGAAAAATTGGAAATATCTTGAACGAATATTAGCATGTGGGGCATATTGGTACAAAATGAATTTCATTTTCAGTTACATATAAGTACATCATGGACAAAACCGTGTCGTATCAGTCAATCAACGTTATTCATTCAGTATTGAAGGTCATAGGCCCATGGTGCAATGGTAATACAGGTAGTCGGAGACTCAGTGTCCCAGTTTGTTTCTGATACATATTGCTTTATGTGTATATCGATAGGTTATTGATTGTATATTCGTTAGTGGACGACATTAGTACATTAAACTTATGTCTAGTAGGATAGGGATAATATGTTGGTGCTATTAACTGGGCTCTAAGATCATCATATGTTTTACACATCAAAATAAAATGATTTTCATCTTCTATATTGTTCTCTTTACAAATAACACCTACTCCATCTTATCTCATTTCTTTAGTTCATCTTCCTGATTCAATTCTTAGGCGATGTGACCGCATCTAAACCGTGCCACTGCGTTTCTTAATTTATAACATGTTCCGCTCTCCTCCCTATATTATGCATAATTTCCAGTTCAGCAATCATTAATAAAGTAAACATACGTCTATTACGATCGTATCTTTTGAGAATATACTTAACAAGAGCCATGTAAGCGGAGGCTTTAACTCTGAATATAATTCTAGTTTTGAGTAACTCGACACCTCAGAATACCATGTTTGTGTGACAATCTTGAACCCCACGGATAAATACATTCAAGAACCATTCAGTCTCACTAACACCTTGAGATGGCCAAACAAAACCATAACGAAAAGAAATTAATATATTCTTGATATCTGAAGCCCATGTGTTTCTCCCGACTGCATCTAGTTTAACTGACATCCTAACACTGTCTGGAATATATGTCTCGAGACATACTAAGGTGTTGAAACCTGTGTTTCATACATCTAGTGAACGTACCAACGTGAATACCAAAAACGACCACATTGCCCTTACACTGCAACATCTGACGCCTTTGAACCATCTCCCAAAACAAATTTACAAAACTTAGCAAGAAAACGTTCCAGAAACAAACGTTTACCAACACCCCACATCTCTGAACCATACAAATTATCAGGTTTAATCTGAAGGTCAAATCTGAACAATACCTTTGGAGAAATATTTAGCAGATTATAAGCTGTTTTATGGGATCCGAGGCTTTAACAGCTTTGGACACCAATGCCTGAACAGCTTCCAACCAACACAAAATAGCTATGATATGTAGAAACCATGCCGGTCATGTCCCCAGCTTCCACTTCTCATAATTTCTTAACTTGCCTCCATGTGTAAATACTAAAACCCCAGATTTGCCGGGATTAACTTTTAAACCCCCTTTGTTACAAAATGTTTGCAAGACATCTATTTTCTCTGTAGTTTAATTACCGTATCTGCAAAATGCACAGATCATCAGCATACAAAAGCAAAAATAGTTCCTTTTAATCCTGATATACAAAGATTCCTCCACCTCCAAACTGTTGGATATCATTTTCCAACTGATTAAAAAAATATAAAAACAAAAGAGTAAGGATCCGATTTCTGGATGAACAACTTCTTTATAACATAAATATCTTGTTAAGTAGAAAATATTTGCCCGTGAATGCCGTTCGAGCGAAGAACAAACCAAGCAGATCCCTATTAACCGAATCGAACGCTTTCTGGACATCTACAAACAAGCAGTAAAATCTTCCCTTTGATTTCGCAACCGCAGAATTTTGTATGACCGACGAGTGAAAGTATCTGAACTTTCTAGGGAATTCCAAATATCAGTTGGAACTGTTGGAACAATTATTCATGGGCATCTTGGTACGTCCAAGGTATCTGCAAGATGGGTACCTAGAAACCCCAGAGCTCAAGGTCGCCATCAGAGAACTGAAAGTTGTCGATATCTCCTGGATCTCTATACTGCTGATGAAGTCGGATTTCTTTCTCGTCTAGTGACAGGTGATGAAACATGGATCCACAACTGGGACCCAGAAACTAAATTGGAATCCATGCAATGGAAGCACCCCAATTCTCCGCCTCCGAGGAAGTTTCGCACTCAACCATCGGCTGGCAAGGTAATGGCCACTATATTTTTGGATGCAAAAGGCATATTACTGATTGATTACATGTTACCAAAAACTACAATCAATGGACAGTATTATGAAAATGTAATGAAAGAATTGCGAAAATCTATTCGCCAGAAACGCCGTGGGATGTTAACACATGGTATTCTACTTTTGCATGACAAATTTCCGGTTCACAAGTCGAGAATTGCACAGGCCGCCATATATGAATGTGGACTCGAACAGTTAAATCACCCACACTACAGCCCAGACTTAGCCCCCAGTGACTATTTCCTGTTCTACGTGGAAGACACTTCTAGGATGACGAGGACATACAGGCTGCCACAGAGGCGTGGTTTGAGGGCCAATCTGCGGATTTCTATAAAAGTGGTATTAAAAGCTTAAAGGACAAATGGAATAAGTGTATTGAGGTGAATGGAGATCATGTTGAAAAATAATAGTGCAAAATATATTCAACGACTTGGTCTTATATTCGAGTTGCAAAACTTATTGAACGCCCCTCGTGTGATGTCTGGTCCTGACTCGATTATTTACAGACCGCAGTCATGTAGCTGGAATATTGCTGAGGGCAGCGTAAATCAACAAACCAACCGACTACTTCTCTGGAGGAATAAAACTACCATCATCAACCAAGTCACACACGAATAAACTACCCCTCTCTCCATGTTCTCAATGTGAGGATGTTTGTTATATTTAAATAAGGGGTTCAAGGATGAGCTTCGCTGAATCTGTCGCATTGATCAATTAACGAAGATAGCTGTATGTGTGCGAATACTTATAAAGTGAAAACATGCCATTCCGCCGATACGGAATATTACCTACAGTAATGACAAAAATGCAAAGTGGTCTTTTAGAGGAAAGGTTTTGATCACGTGGTTACAATCCGGATTACACATGATGTTTATCGCTGAGAAAAAATATAATTTCTTGAAAATCACTTTTCAGTTTTTGTAATTACCGTAAATAGTCCTTATCACCGGAATGGCTATGCTATGGTTCGGATATGATGCTACACTAGGACAGCCAGGCCATTGTTCGCGTATGATTTTAAACCAGGGCAGCCAGGCCATGGTTCGGGTACGATGCCACACCAGGACAGCCAGGCCATGGTTCGGGTACGATGCTACACCAGGACAGCCAGGCCATGGTTCGGGTATGATTCTACAGCAGGCAGCGGTTCTGGTACGATTCTACACCAGGACAGCCAGGGCATGGGTCGGGTATGATTCTACAGCAGGCAGCGGTTCTGGTACGATTCTACACCAGGACAGCCAGGGCATGGGTCGGGTACGATGCTACACAAGGACAGCCAGGCCATTGGTCGGGGAAGAGTTTACACCAGGACAGCCAGGCCACCCTTCCCCTAAGGTCAGGTCCTCAAAAGTGTAGTGCCTTGATCTTGAAGTACGTGACACGTTTTTTACCGTTCATATGATCTTCACTATTTTGCCTTTTAAGCCCAATGGAATCTGATTCGGCAGATAATCGAGACTGATTATTTTCTTCAGGACAGAAAACAGTTCAACGTAAAATAATGTAACGCTTTACCTGTGCCTACATACTGAACTATTCTACGTTTCTCTGACCCGAAAGACCTATAAAATTTGCTGATGAGGTTTCAGCGATATTTAAACTCTGAAGACCATACTCAAACAGAGACATTACGATCCCGTTTCTAAACTCCCCATTGATCATCTTCAGTGAAGGTGTCACATGCTATTATAGTGCGCGTAGCTTTAGTGAACAAATACTTACATCGATGGACGCCAGAATTTCATGTTTGTCTGACCTGAAACATACTTTTTATTGGGATGAATGTGTACAAGGCACTCCTAAAGTGGTCCGTGTTATTTTCAATTCGAGTTTATTGTATTTGCATATAACCATCAACACACTGGCATTGTTGTTGCTACGTAGGTACCTAACACTACAGCCATTAAATGTTCCCTTATTTTGATTCGTGTTTGTGAAAAAATACAGAACTGTCTATCCATAATTCTGAGTGGGAAATTTACCGGCCAACAATATGACTCCATAATACATATATGATAGCAGTGGGTGTAGCGAGGACTTGTGCTTGACGTCATTGTTTGGACTTTTGTTTCGTTAAACCTTTTCATATGACAGAGATTATTGACATTTTTTCGACCAAATTCAAAGTTTGAAATGGTTAGCCAATATTAGTAATCTAAAGTGCTGAACAGTAAGATAAATATTTGTCCACTTTTTTAGCCGTAGACAGGACTGACCCTGGTATTCTGGATATTCTCACAGTCCTATGTGTATGCTAAAAAGGCCTACAATTCTGAAAGGCAATGTGATTGTTTCGTTCAAAAAGTAACACACATTGGCCAACAAGCAGCATTTGTTATAGATAAAATTGTACAATTTACCAAATATGTATTTTAGATGAAATTTAAAAGATGATTATACTTACGAGGGCTGGCTGAAATGTTTTAAGCCTAACTGTGAAAGACCCGTACCAAGTCGATGGTTTTCATTTATTTCTCCACATAGTCCCCTTCCAGGTTTACACACTTTTGCCAGCGATGCTGCAAGGCCTGGATGCCGGCCAAGAAGAAAGTTTCTTCAGCCAACCTAAAAAAGTCATTCACAGCGGAAATGACGTCATCATTACTGGGAAAATGGCGACCGGCCGATCATGGATCGCTGACATGGCAACCACCGATTTGTGAACAGGAGCATTGTCTTAGTGGAACAGGACTCCTTTAGTGAGCATTCCCCGTCGCTTAGCTTTGATAGCTTCACGCAACTGTCTCAGTAGGTCAGCATAACATCTTCCATTGATAGTCTGGCCATTTTCAAGATAGTCAAGATAATCCCTAAAGACTGAAGTCATCACCTTTCCAGCAGAAGGAACCGACTTGGCGTTTTGGGGGGCTGGTGATTCCGGATGCTTCCATTGTTTAGACAGAATTTTGGTTTCTGGTTGAAAGTGATGAATCCAGGCCACATCCATGGTTACAAATCGGGCCAAAAATTCATCGGGTTCTGCTTCAAAACGGCATAAATTGTCACGGGACGTCAGGAATCTGACACGTTTCTGATCCGCTATCAAGAGCTTTGCACCCACCTTGCAGAAACTTTTGTCATTCCCAACTCGTTGGTGATAATGTGCTCAACCCTCTCATGAGAGATGCCCACAACACTGGCAATATGTCGAGTGGTCAATCGTCGATCAGCCATCACCATGTCATGCACCCGGATAATGTTTTCCGGAATGGTTGCTGTTGAAGGCCTTTCTGGACGCGGGTCATCGCGGGTCAAGGCTCTCTCATCCACGCTTGAATTCCGCAGCCCACTTCTTTACAGTGGAAAAGGATGGGGCATCATCCACTAAAGTGGAGACCATGTCAGCATGTATCTGTGTTGGAGTTAGCCCTTTCAGTTGCAGGTACTGCCATATAGCCAGTTTTCAGCCAACCCTCGTATATCAGTGATGTTACTCTAACCACGTGAACATGTATTTCATGGCGTTAACTTAAGTGAATAAAATGACAAACTAAACATTGTAGTCAAATAAAACACCGCGAATTTTCTTGTAGACAGCTTGGTAAGACTCGCAGTATTTTCAAAAAGGAATCAGCGTATTATGCGTCCCATGTTTCACACAGACGAATGGTTGTATTAAGTTTGTGTTTGTGACGGGTGCCACCGGTGGGGCAGGATAGGCCAACCTTTTCTCGAACACCTGGTTTCATTCACTATCCACTATTTGATAGTGGTTCATAAACACATGCTCATGATAAAGTCGGAATCGTACAATCGACTCTGTTTGGGTCTGCTGAATATGGAAAGGGTTTTGTCACTTTTATTTAGATTTGGGCTGTATTCATATGTGAGAATTTGAAAGAGGCTAACGCGTGGTATACTCTGTTTAGAATGCGAAAAATTCTTTAACAGCACACCAATCTTCCCGAAGCAAGAGCATTAACTGACTTTAAAAGTCCATTTTCCACCCTTGCCGAGCTAGGCTGGAATTCCTGGGCTTGATCGTAGCGCTACCAGTGGCTATTACGAGTTATGTCCATTCTATGCCTCTCCCATATGGACCAATCAGATTTCACTTTCGTATCACATGCATTTGCTTCAAACAAAATGATGGCGCCCAGTCAAGACGATCTGATCTACCATCAAGATCTATTTGGTGATAAAACGGTTCTTACTTCGCGAAGTATATCAAATCACGTGAGCACCTTGATCAAAAACATGAAAATATTTGGAAAATATCTGTTAACAACGAGTTGGCGATGCACATGCTTTGCAAATCCTGCAATCAACCGAACTCTGCATGACAGTTTACGAACCGGATTTCGATTTCGGTGCGCGATTTTGATTGGACTATGCATAGACTCGTTAGTCCAGCCAAAATGGAACTCCATAATTCCAGTCTAGTTCGGCAAGGGTGGAAACTGGACTTTTATAGTCAGTTAACTCTCTTGCCTCGGGAAGATGCAGCACATCTGGTCATGTTCATACTTGAAGATCTCTCTAAACGTAACATGTGTGTATAGAGAGAAGTTGTATATTTAATTCTCACTTTCTGTACAGTCATCTTCTTGGAATTAAAAACAGGTTAAAAATACAGCAAATAGCTAAATGCACAGAAACCACTTGGAGGTTATGAAAGGTATTATCAATTGTAACAGTTTGGGATAAATATCAATACAGTACCATACCATACCATACCATACCATACCACACCACACCACACCACACCACACAACACAGCACAGCTGTATATACGTATGTATCTTCTCCCCAAACGCTCCTTCCCCCTCCCCAGAAGCGCCTCACACCCCCACCCCCAACCTCCAACAACACACTCACGCACGATATTATTAATTGGTAGGTCCCTTATAAATCTAGGCATACCGGTTTATAGCCTGTAGGTCAATTGTTATTCAATGGTTCAGATGGATGGAAACGACATTGGTATATCGATCGGAACATAGCATAAAGTGACATGCTTCGTGAGCAACCATCCCAATTGGACACAACGCAAGCCTAACAATGTCGTTGCCTGTTTGGGCACATGTCCTGCTTTGCGGTAAGTCACTTTTCATTTTTCTTTGAAAGTTGTTAACACGGTTATTACGTTATAAATGGTCTAGTCGACATCCATTTCAAGTTCGCAATTATACAGTTTTGTAAATTACCGAAAAACTGTGCTTTGGAAACATGTACGTCACATTATCAGAAGGCGGATAGGTTTCTGGGAGATCTAAAGTAAGACGGATTATATAAGTCACTGAATCAACTCCATCAATTTCATACGATGAAGCGAACAGGTAATATTCTCAGGACAACTTGTCAAAATGAAAAATATGTCATCTGAAGTTTACTGAGAAAATATTATGTGAAATGTTGGACCTAACTGAAAACATCTTTCTGAAATTTGTGAATAAGGGATTATGGCAAGAAGGAGGCATCCCCTGGCCACCAATTGTGTTCCCCTTCTTGGTGACCTGTTCTTTTAAGCATAGGAATCGGAATTTCTGCTCGTATTGGCACATTATACCCAAAGTGAATTTGGCCAATAAGGTCAACTAAAGGCTCAGGAATATGGGTGTTCAGATCAATAACGGCCACTTATTACCCACCTGAACTAGAAATAAAAGAACAATGAAACCGCCTCATCTGTTTCCTGTTTAGATGTACAGTAAACTACGTTTATAACGAACACGCTTATAACGACCTGACAGATATAACGAAGTTATTTTTTATCCCGGCCATTTGCTGTATATTTACTGTATATATGTATATAACGAACTGGGGTTATAACGAACTAAAATTAGTGGTCCCTTTGAGTTCGTTATAACCGTAGCGTATGTATAAAGATTGATGTGTACACTTATTTTTTATGGAAATTGTGTGAGTGGCGGGTGCTGCTGGTGGAACATGCTTGTCCCTTCGCGAATACCTGATGCCCTCCTTATTTGTCGGGACCCGTGAAGATTCCGGGGTAGAATAGGTCTTCAGCAACCCATGCTTGACGTCAAGGGTGACTATGCTTGTCGTAAAAGGCGACTAACGGGATCGGGTGGTCAGGCTCGCTGACTTGGTTGATGCATGTCATCGATCCCAATTGCGTGGATAGATGCTCGTGATATTAATCACTGGATTGTCTGGTCCAGACTCGATTATTTACAGACCGCCGTCATATAGCTGGAATATTGCTGAGTGCGGCGTTAAACAACAAACAAACCAACCAACTTATTTGTCAGTAGGCCATTAACATAGTTTTCGTCGCTGTTCTCCCGTAAGGCCCAGTGGAATCTTTTTCGCCGGATAATCGAGACTGGTTGTTCTCTGGCATGAACGTTTTGTATTCAACTTCCCCTTTAATGTCGAGCCATATTCGAACAGCAATCGAGAATGAAGATTTCAAAGAGCGTCATATGACTTTTGCTATGACATTCTCCGTTGTGGTGATATTGAAAAGTTAATTCGTAAACGACATGACAGTGCTCAAGAAGCCCTATACTTACACATTCGGTCGATGTGCTTGGCATTATTTAGAAAGGTCACATTTCCACTGGACATGCTGATCGTGACAAGATGCTGAAAGCATTGACTAAAGCGCTTATATCACCCGTGAGGTCGTAGAACTGTACAAATCACATTGAATGTCAGAAGAAGCGTAAATGAATCCATCTTCCCGAGGCAAGGGAGTGACTGATTATAGAAATCAAGTTTCCACCCTTGCCGAACTGGGCTGGAATTTAGCTATATTTAGGCTTGCCTAACGAGTCAATGCTTAGTCCCATCAAAATAGCGTAACGAAATCGACAACTGGTTCGTAAACAACATGGCGTGTGCATTTCAGTCGATTGCAGGATTTGCGAAGCATGTGTGCCGTCAACTGGGCGTCGAAATATATATTTTCCAAATATTTTCATGAAAGTGATATGAGAGATGGAATCTTATTGGACCTTTATAGTCAGTTTACTCTCTTGCCTGGTGAAAATGACATCAGACTGCATCCAATATATTGTGTTAACTGCATACCTGGTATGCTTAAAGAAGTTACTTTGATCATCATCTATTTCAGTTCAGTCAATCTGTCCTAAAATCTAGTCTCATTAATTAGGCAATATGTTTATTGCCTGACGATTTCAGTCGATAGACATATTGCATTATTATAGACATTGACTGTAACATTGATCCGGCCGTGTCATACCAAAAGACGTCAAAAGATGGTACTTGTTGTTACCCTGCCTGTCGCTCGGCATTAAGTGGATAAAACAAAGACTGTTCGGCTAGGAGTCAGTATACTGGTTGGGGAATACATGTGAAACTGTGGCATGATATCTCCGTCAGCTAGCACTATAAAATATAACGTTTCATTTATCTCATCTCTGGTAGAAGTGAAACCCAACACCAGGGATATTACTCTGGCAAGCAGGGATTATATGCGATGCAAACCCCATCTTTCTGAGGCAAGGGGGGTTAACTGACTATCAAAGTGTAGTTTCCACCCTTGTCGAAGTGGGTTGGAATTTCGGAGTTTATATCTTGACTGGTCTAACGATTGTGCATAGTCCAATCAAAATCGCGTAACGAAATCGACATCCGGTTCGTAAACTGCCGTGCTGATTTCGATCAATTGCATGATTTGCACATATTCCCGAGGCAAGAGCGTTAACTGACTTTAAAAGTCCAGTTTCCACCCTTGCCGAACTAGGCTGGAATTCCAGTGGCTATTACGAGTTATGTCCGTTCTATGCCTCTCCCATATGGACCAATCAGATTCCACCTCTCGTATCACATGCATTTGCTTCGAACAAAATGGTCGCCGGCGCCCAGTCAAGACGATCTGATCTACCATCAAGATCTATTTGGTGATAAAACGGTCCTCACTTCGCGAAGTACATCAAATCACGTGAGCACCTTGATTAAAAACATGAAAAGATTAGAAAATATCTGTTAACAACGAGTTGGCGATGCACATGCTTTGCAAATCCTGAATCGACCGAACTCTGCATGACAGTTTACGAACCGGATTTCGATTTCGGTGCGCGATTTTGATTGGACTATGCATAGACTCGTAAGTCCAGACAAAATGGAACTCCATAATCCCAGCCTAGTTCGGCAAGGGTGGAAACTGGACTTTTATAGTCAGTTAACTCTCTTGCCTCGGGAAGATGGATTTGCAGGGCATGTGTTCCAACAACTTGAGAGTCAACAGATATTTTCCAAATCTTTTCATGTTTATAATCAAGGTGCTGAAGTAATTTGATGCACTTCGTGAGGCAAGACACATGCTATTACAATATAGATCTTGATTATCGATCTGATCGTCTGGACTAGGCGCCGCCATTTTGTTTGAGGCAATCGCAAGTAATGTGATAGGTGGAATCCGATTGGTCAATAGGCGCGCCATAGAAGGTACATTACTCGTGATACCCACCTGGCGGCTACGACCGAGTCCAGAAATTCCAGCCTAGTTCGGCAAGGGTGAAAACTCGACTTTTACAGTCAGTTAATTACCTTGCCTCGCAAAGATGCAGAAACCGATGCTGGTCGTGAGGTGAGGTGAGTTGAAATGGTGTATCCTTACTGACTCATGCACAGATTCCTTCCTCCCCAATCGTACCCATGGTGATTCAGTTGTTTTTGTTGCAGTGCTTCAGTGTCACAGCGCCTTGTGCTATAGCGAATCCAAGCGAGCATGGCAACTCGGGGATAAGGCCGGGGCGTGTGAAAAGGAGTCGTCAGTTGATGCCGAACACCCTAAACTGACCGATCCGATAACGGTTGGGTCGGGCCACCCATCACTGAGCTATAAGGCTTTCAGTTTTGATGGAAGAGTCGACTACGTCAAGGTGGGGGTGGATGATCTCCAAATGAAAATATTCTCTTTATTCCTGCTTGTATATCCCACAACACCGTCAGGTACACTCGCGCATTACAGATACGGTTCGGGCGACACGGATGGAATTGATGAGATTGTCATCAGCATAAACAGAGGTGTGGTTAATGTTCTCATCATTTATAACAGTAATGATTGGACTTTCACTCATCCTACACCTATCACTGTGAATACATGGCACCGCGTTGTGTTCAAAAGGGATATAGACGCTGGGAGGGTTCACCTTGACCTTGACGGTACCCCAAGCACCCACAATGCTGCTCCAAAAGACACAATTGAATATCTTGGCACCCCAGGGAAATTGTGGCTGGGGCGAAATGTTGAAAGTGGTAACTTCTTCACGGGTAAAATGACATGTGTGTTGTTCTATGACTGCATGTTTGCAGATGCTGAGACATCCGGTGCCTACAAAGAATGCGATTTAATGTCCCGATCACCAGGTAGGTCCACTTCTAATATCTGTTCAATTCTCCAATTTTGTTTTAATTCATGTCATGTTTGATTGTATTCTGATGATTGTACCCAGGGTATCGAACATAATAATTCTGTGACAGTTCAAGAGTGAATTAAATTTGATGTAATCTGCAATTTTAGTCAAGTTGTGATCATCTGAAAGAAAGTGGAATAAAGTTTGCTTTTCGCCGTTTTGACAGTATTTCAGCATTAAGACAAGAATGGTCTTTGTATGTTTTGCTCGCGTGGGGAATTCGAGGTTAGGTTATATAGTGTTTAACGTCGTGTTCAAGATTATTGTACTTACAAAACTTTGTGTGTGCGTGCGTGCGTGCGTGCGTGCGTGCGTGCGTGCGTGCGTGCGTTAGCCCTGACTAATATAGTTAATATAGTTTAATAGTGCGTTCGTCGGGTTTAAGATTATTGCACTTACATAGCGACGTGCATGTGTGTGTGTGTGTGTGTGTGTGTGTGTGTGTGTTTGTGCGCGCGCGCGTTCGTGCGTGTGTCTGCTTGTACTAGTCTGGACTAAAGCTGGCCCACTGAGATATCATGTCGCAGTTTAACATGGATACCCCACTCAGACACAGTATACTTATTTCGAGACGACCAGTTCTTGTTTTATCCCCTTAATTCCGAGCACCAGGCAGAGGAACAACGAGTACCATCTTTTGGTAACGGGCGACCGCGGATCGAACCACCGACCCTCCGCTCTCTGTTCAGACGCTCATCCACTAGGCCACAAGGGCGGTCCGTGGGGAATTCAAGACCGGGTTTAGCCGTTACTGTTACTAAAATGTACCGACAAAATACTTACAACAAACAATAAAAACATATTTTCCTTTAACATTAACACAAGTGTGGCGACAGGGGATTTTACTTATATATCATTCGCTCGTCACGCCGAAGACCCGGGTTCGATTCCCGACATGGGTACAATGTGTGAAGCCCATTTCTGGTGGCTCCCGCCGTGTTATTGCTGGAATATTGCTAAAAGCTGCGTAAAACCATACTCCCTCACTTTTATGTCAGAGCACAATATATATTTTCTACTGACCATAGGGTAACATTTTCGAAATCGATATAAGGCATCGGACTAATCCCATAAGATAGTCTTTAGTATGAATAGTGGTCACCATTAATAAACAACATTTTAGTTACTTTTACAAATCAAGAAATTTGTCCTGTTTATTGATATGCAATCGTAAAAAAACCCATTTAAAGTCTAGTACACAGTACTAACCTAATTCCACGACAACTTCCAGAATCAAATAAGAAGTAAGATTTGGTAAGATATCATTTGTTGTCTTGTGTGCAATCAGTTGACATACAATGCAACATATGTGACGTAATGGGTGTGAAGGTGTGCACAGGTGGAATCTTTGCTGAGTTACGTCCCTTAGGTGCGCCAGAAAACTATGATCGTGATTCACCCTGATTATATTTCTGTTTACACGTGGGTTTCACCAAAATGGAACACTTCTGATTAGCCTTGCACGAATTCATGGTTTCCTCAAGCTGCCACTGGAATGCGGACATTTCTTTGAAACTATCAAAGGATCTACATCTGCTAGTGGTGCCAAAGTCATGTACCAAAACATAAGGCGATTGGTCATTTCAACATGTTGGCCCTTTGCTATGGAACAATCTGCCACAAGAAATTCGAGAATCAGAAAATTTGACAAAATTTAAAAAGACACTCAAAACCTGTCTCTTCAAGAACGCCTTTGACTAGATCAATAATGGTCTAAGCGCATTTGTGCAATTGTTAATTGGAAAATGCGCTATACAAATTCATAACTTAATTTAAGTAAATTAATTTATGTTGAATCAGTAGCCAAATGTATTGCCTGTGTCAAGGCGTCGTTAGCGAAGGCGTGGTTTGACTTGCCTTCCATAGGGACTCACCCGCGAGCTGTTGACTAACACTTAAACCTTATATTAATTCTCAGTTATCTATTGACAAAGCTGAAGTAGAAATATGTTAGTAACGAAAGTTGCGTGTCATCTTGACAGGCCCGTCAAGATATATGTCATCTAAGACGGTCGGCGAGCCAGCGCTCATTCCTCGCTGTTGTGGGATTACCGATTCTTGTTTGTGTCACCAAGTGAAATAAGAGTGCGCACGTGTCAGGAATAAGAACTCCTCCGCCATCTCACTCCTTTTTAGCTTTCAAGAATGCAGTTCAGATGCACCTTGAATGAACCAGTTTACAACCACATTGATTGTTACTGGTTCAGGCATGAATTATTTTTTTACACCCGTGGAATTTCTTTATCATCTTAGAATAAATCCTTTCCAGCTTTTTATTGGATTTCTCAACTTTCTTAAGAATCCACCTAAAGAGGGGTAAATAAATACTGCTAGCGAATATGAAACAAGTAGCGTGGATCTTGAAATATTCATAGGATTTACTTGTCAATGAGGTTTTAGAATCTCAGACTAGGTAAGACTTTTCAAGTTAAAAGAATATTGATTTGTGCGTCCTTTACACAAGACTGAAAGTAAGCCTACTATGAAATATTCAGATACCGAAATATATTACTCCACGTTTAAAAGCGATACTTAGACGTGATAGGAACATCCCAGTCAAAGTTGGAGTCATATATTCGAGTTATATTTTCATGAATTGCCATCGAATATAAAAAATGTAGTCAAGGTCAAGGAGTTTCATATTTTAATTGTTTAAAGATGGGTTTAGAAACTATTAAAATATCACTCTAATCAAAATGTAGCTAATGTGCTTTGTGTTCTGTTTCAGGTCCTAGTCAGATCATCGACACGGATGCTCCCCCAGTGGAACTGTGGCGACTAGACAACACAACCTATGGTTATAGTATCGGTGGGATAGCGCCACAGCACCCCGTCCAGTCCGAGTGTGCAAGACTCGCTGATGGCTGTCCGGAGATCCCTTCTCGACAGTCGCTGATGCTTGATGGCGCGTCTGTCTCCTACCTGGATCTGAACCTGGGGTTTGGGGCCCTGCAAGGGCAGTTTCAGATCGCCCTCTTTGTGAACCCAGGCATTCCTTCATCGGGAACAATTCTACACTTCCGCTATACCGGGACTGAAGCTGGTATTCGAGATGTGAAACTGGCTGCGCGATCGTCTAACATGACCCTAACACTATGTGATTCCTCTTCGTGTTGTGACTCGCTCGACCACACAGTCGCTCTAACAGCAGATGTGTGGCACTTCGTCATCATTGAACGCAGCAGAGGGTACATTGGACTGGTGATTGATGCTTCGAATGAGACACGTGATGCTGCCTGTGTCGGGGGCCCCACGGAAATAACAGACACAGGGCAGCTACGAGTGGGCCAAGCACTGGATGTGGACGACAGGCTCCGTGGCAGCATTACCTGCATGGCAGTGTACGGCCACGTATCGAGTGGAGCAGACAGGAAGTCGAACCATATTTCATTCTGTCAGGATCTCGTACCGTCCCAGTCTCTATTTGGTAAGTATATATAACTTTTCACATCCTTACCGCCGGTGATGATAATGTTGGGCTCTTGGCATTGAAGGTAGGTTCATTGAAGGATAGACGTTTTGAACACTTACAAAGATAAGCGACCTCGATATATTCATAAAAAAGCTCTGCCAAAAGCAGTCGATTGTACGATTCCGGCTATATTGTGAGCATGTGCTAATGAATCACTATTAAACAGTGGTTGTACTAGGTGTTGGCGAAAAGGTGATCGTATCCTGACCCACCGGTGGCACTCGTAACAAACACATGCAAAGGAAACTCAACTGTTCACCTGAAAAAAACACGGGAACATATGGTACAAGTAAAAATAGAACATTGCATGGGACATCATTTTTAATTAAGGATTCCAAAGCTGACCTACTGCGTCAACTATAATATGATATGCCAATGATGTGAGTGGCGGGTGCTACCGGTAGAGCAGGATACTTACCCTTTTCACGAACAGCTGGTGACATTTTCAGTGACCAGGAATACAATTTTCGCCTCTAGTTTCCCTGTTAGGCTTAATGGAATCTGTTTCGGCAGATAATTGAGACTGATTAATCTCTATCTTTGATGCTTTATATTAAATTTAACAAATATACATTACAATTTACAATTGACAATAACATCGATCTGATTCACGTGTAAACATATTTCAATAATTACTTCCGGGAGTTATCTCCCTTACATTATAAGGTCCATTGCGGGATGCGCACGTCCAATGCTTTGATATCCACCTTGGACGCTTCTGGCGGGAGCTATACACCTAACGAGCTCTATCTGTGACAGCTAATTAGGACCGACTGGTGTGATATACCACTGGAAGCCATATATAGGTATTGGGTGAATATGGACCAACCTATGGCAAATCAACTGTCATATTTCCCGACAAAACCAAAGTGTTCTCGCAGAAAGTATATGTTTTAGGTACGTGTGCCTTATTCCACTATAATCTTCTAACACATGTTTCAGTACATCTCTTGAAGTACTTCTTACCATGCAATGTTACCACACACACACACACACACACACACACACACACACACACACGCACGCACGCATGTAAGTTAAATTATCTTTACCACATTTAACCTTAATCTCATTAAAATCAGATCTTAGTTCTCGCTACCGCCAAACAAAGATCAGAGGACATCCCATTAGGGGTAACGTCAGAACGACCTTTCATCCGACCAATCAGAGCGTCGCTTACCAGATCATGAAAGTGACATTCGGAATGTGAATTCTGATAATGCAACCTCGCAAACTTTAATACGGGGTATTTCGAACGATAGTTACGGGTTTAACGACTGAACCCATACAATGTAGACCATCTATTGGCCATTCCAGAATGTTCTTTTGTTCAGGTTTCAAATTTGTTAAAATATGTTTCGAAGCGTAGTGGCCAATTTGAAATTAGTACCGTAAAGCACGAGAAAGCTGACTTCTGATTGGCTAATATCGACTTCTTGTCAGTCCTTCTATCGGTCGGTCAAAGTTCGCGCAAGGTCGTCCTGACGTGACCCGTAATGGGATGATGTCATCAGATCTTTGTTTAGCGGTAGCGAGAACTAAGATCTGATTTTAATTAAATTGATTTAACCTCACCTACACAATCGACATATACGCTTGTGGATGAACACCAACCTTGCCTTTTTATGGCTAGTCCTGTTTACAGGTTCTGTGTTAAAGCCGGAATATTATTGACTGCGGCTTTAATCAGTAGTCACAAGCTCTTTGGTAAATCACACAGTTTGTTCAAATTATTCTTTGTTATCAATAGTTTTCATTAATATTTATAAAGCCTGAAGGTGTTTGCATAAATGAGCGATTTATCTCTTCAAACGTATAACTCTGACAGTAAATACGTAACACATTTGGTATCCCTGAGGCTAGCGACGTTTTAGACTAGCCAGTGTGATCTGACCACGTCATTGTACGAGAACACCACGTCATGTCAAACATGAAATGGCACCCCAACGTGACAAGACATCAAGCATTGGTAAATGTATGTTCTGACATTTTTCTTTATTTTACAGATACCGAAGTATGCTTACGGACATCGACCATGCGGCATAAATATTATTCCCTGGAGTGTGAAAATGTCGAACCGGATGTAGATGTGTCGGCCATTATGACGTCATCAACTGTCAGCTTACGACAGTGTGGTAGTCTCTGTATTGCCACAAAATACTGTCTGGCGTTTACACTCACCGGCGTTTCAAGTCAGCGGCAGTGCAGGCAGTATGATTATGTAACACGGGATGAAGGACTTCGCACTAAACCTAACACAAAGTACTTTGTTATGAAATAATTATACAGATGGAGTCAATTACGGTTGAGATACAGAATTTGATTTGAAGGCAAGCAGGATGGAATGATAAAGGGCTGAATTTCAAACAGAAGGTTCACTGTAAAAATGTTTAGATCCTAATCACAAACCTAAGGTCTAAGCATGTTTAGGGTTATGTTTGGCAGCTAAACGTGTTTGGTGTCAGTAGCAGATTTACCCTAAGTATGCACACCAGTTTTTACGTTAAAACTCCAAAACGTCAATACATATTGCAGTGAAATCTAATAAATACATACTTCAATAATAATAACTTCACAGTCTGCGTATTTAGTGATTAAACAAATACAAAAGTAAAAACAGCACGAAGTCAGTGACGTCAGTGCAATAATGCCCCGCTCATAGTATTATCAGCCAATCAGGAAAGAGTAGTTTGTTAGTGGGCGTGACCTATTGTTTTGGTGTTATGGAAACGTAACGCGAAAATTGGTTAGCCAATCAAATGCCACGGAATCGCTTACAATTATTTATGCAGAAAAACGTCCTTTCTCAGCTTCTGTATCCTGTATGGAGAAAAACTATAAGTCATACAGCAACTACACGCTTATGAAACAACACTTTAAAATACTCGACGGGATACATATTTGCAACCATTTGATTTGTAGCCCGTCGCACTACCACCAGAGACAGTTGTCCCAAATGGTTTTTTTTCTAGCCACCATTATCTTAGATTGGCTTATTTGTACATTAGTATATCAATACTATACCAAGTTCGTTGTAAGTCCTGGTGGTATAGGGGCGGTGGGGTAGCCAAGTGGTTTAAGCTTTCGCTCGTCACGCCGAAGACCTAGGGAACTATATATTAGATGTTTACCATATTTGACTTTATGCCCAATGATATGAACTATATTTAAACACGTCTAGACTATCAGGATAATGCACAATGGTATGCGATTTGTCGTAAGCATATTTAAATTCTAAACATATTTGAATGATGGGGATGTTGTGTTTAAGTGTTTAAGTGGTGTTTAGAATGTGAGACCCAGCTTATTTAGACCATAAGCGTGTTTAGATAGAACACACTAATGTGTTTTTCGTTGAGCATTTAAACACATTCCTAAACATGTTTAGATCATATCTTGCACCTGTTAACATTCTAACCACATGTTTTACACTGTATATCTACAAAAGACATGTTGGAATGTGCGCCTGATATGGCTTTACTTATTTTTTCAGTTTAGACCGCAAACCCATGGAACATTTTATTACGTAAATGCATTGCTCATGAATATACATTGTGAAGTCACATTCCTGTAGGGTTGATTTAACCTATGCAGCTTCCTTGCATAAACATTCTGCACAATATGTAGTTGGAGGAGTCGTGTTACAATATACTGTTAGAAGGTAGAGGATCGTGAGCTATTAATGTTAATACCAAGTATTAGAACAAAGGTAAGTGTTGACGACAAACATCCTATGCAAGAACGTTTGTTTCTGTAAAACGTAACACCCAAATACACCCCACTGTTTGACCGTGTCTCATGCAGTACACGTGCGTAGGGTGTCATGCCTGGTTTTGATAATTTCAAGGAAGGTGGATCTATCTCTGGACCATTATTTCTATCAATCTTACTGATTCTGCTTGTCATACAGTTGTGATTAACTTGATTTCATTTATTGTCTTTGTATGAACTGGCGATGCAGTGTCTGAAACGCGCGTAGCGTCTTCGGGCTAATGCATGCTGGAAAATGGCAGAAGTCAGCGTGCAGTTGCCAATACGTTCAATGTTTCACAGTCTGTGATTAGCAGACTATGGAACATGTACCAACAAACCCAAAATGTTGACAATAGACCCCGTTTAGAACCACGTTTTGTGCCGCCCCTTACAAGTCATATTGGGAACAGACGTCCATGGTGTCGACAACGTCGAAACTGGGGTAATCGTCGCTGGTCCCGTGTCATGTTTTCAATGAGTCCCGATTCACTTTGCACTTCCTTGGTAGGCGTGGTCCTGTCTGGCGACGTCGAACTGAAAGACAAGCCAATGTTAATCTGAGACCTCATGACAGATTTGGCGGTGAATCGGTTATGGTGTTGGGTAGCATCACTGTGACGGAGCGACCCCTCACCATACTGTGCAAGGAAGGGTAACTGGACAGTTCTATTGGGACCACATACTGACACCCTTTGCTGTCCCGTTTGCAAGGCGTTTGGGTCAAAGTTTTGTCTTTCAGGATGACAACGCCCGTGCTCACCGTGCACGGATCGTCAATGCTCACCTCCAGCAGCTGGCCTTCCATAGTCTACAATGGCCAGCAAAGGCCCAAGACCTTTCCCCCACTGAACACGTCTGGGACACGATAGAGAGACGTGTGCGTCAACGTCATAGACCGCCGACCAGGCTGGGGAAATGACCAGGCTCTGCAAGAGAAGTGGGACAGACTCCTTCAATCCATCACTTGGAGACTCAAACACAGTACGCAAGGTCAAATGAATGAATGCTTGACAAATGGTGGCGGTATTACGCACTACTGATCCAAAGACGTCAACTTTGAATTTTCCCATCTCACCCTATCGTCCTTCAAGACGTTGGCAGTCATAACATCTACTATCGTACTTCACTACCGGTTATTATGTGTTCAAAATTAGTTCATTATTATCATACAAGTATTTCTTAACACTAATATATCTTATTATTTTGGAATGTTTAAGTTATTTCCGAGTAGCCCCTATTTTGAAGAACAAAACATAAGTCTAATAAAAGATTACTTGTCAGGCAGAGAGTACTTACCATGTTGTGGATATATGTTGGAAGCTCAGTCTTGAGTCTCATTGCTCACTGCTCACCCCTCAGTCACTAATACTACTCAACAAAACTCTCGATAGCATTGGGAAATGAGATAATAAATTACGTTGCTGACACAATACAATGTATCAAGGACACAAATGGTGTGCACGATCCTAGCCTGTGTGTGTCTCTCTTTCTATAGAAAACCAGGCTGTGATATCTATGACCGGTAATGCTGGTCCAAGTAGACTAGCTTAAACATGTGTAAGGTATAATGCACCATGTGAACCTGGTAATTGTATAATTGTATTGTTTGTTGTAAGCTGCAATCGTTACACGTCTGAATTTGAATAAAAGTATTTAAATCACCAATACTTTGCATTATTCAAACTTTTGTGTTAAACAACAAACAAACAAACAAAATGTTACGTGTCGCTTCCAAAACAAAACACATAATCCGTTCAATATGTCTTCGTGGAACTTGTATGTATATGAGACATGCATTGTACTGGTGCCTTTTGCTATTCACGAGATATGATAAAAACAATCTTTGAACAAATTTAACAATGTCTTTTTTTAATGTTTGTTTGTTTGTTTGTTGTTTAACGCCACACTCAGTAATATTCCAACCATATGACAGCGGTCAGTAAATAATCACTTTTGGTAGAGTGCTGTATTCAATATTTGAATTTTCTCTGGGACCCCCATTTTGTAGCTTGGGACCTCCATTTATAAGGCTTTGAGTTCCTTGGACCCCCCTTGAACTCCCTATGGACCCCCTTGGAACAACGGGGAATCACTCAGCAAACGCCCTGAAGATAGTCGCCAATATACTGACATGTTTTTCTGTGAAGGAAGTGTACTGACTTATCTATATACACCAAACTGAATCTTCTCTGTGCATCCACTAGGATCTTCTTGCCAGGCATCCCCATCTTTGATCAGTCCGTAGCGGCAGAAGATCAGCAGGTCATCAATCTGGCCTACCACAAGTCTGACAAAAATAGACCAAAAAATGTTTTGCATATGGGTATTGATACTTTTGTTTTGTTTGTTTGTTGTTTAACACCGCACTCAGGAATAGTCCAGCTATATGACTGCGGCCTGTAAATGATTTGGATCCGACAATACGATCTGGATCGCCTCTTACGACAAGCATAGTCGCCTTTTACGGCAAGCATGGGATGTTGAAGACCTATTCTACGCCGGATCTTCACGGGTGCATTGACATCATGGGCATCGATTTACGCAAATGGGATACGATGACATGTGTAGGGGGGTGGGGTGGGGTGGATTGGTATGTATTTGATCCTGCTCAGGCCGTTGGAGAACACAGACACAGGCAGATGATAATTATGCGTATATTAGATAATGGGGGTGGCTACTGTTGAAGAGGAAGGATATGCTATTTTCTTCAGGGTTTGTAGCCCCGGACGTGCCTCCTGTTGACGGGGGAGTGTGGAGCAGGGCGTGGAGTCATTACAGATGACATTTAGTCGTGTGGACAAGGCGTCCGACCTCGGATCAGAAGGTCTGTGGTTTGGAACCAATCACGGGACTCGGACATTTTATGGCCGCTACACATGCATCAACCAATAATTGTACCCATAAGCCCCTTGTCCAAAGTTGTCATCGCCAAAGACTAGCCAAAAAATAACCAACTCGGAACCAAAACATACTGATTGTCTTTGGCTCGTGAATGAATGACGTCATTTTCCAATGATTCAGGGCTTAACCCTTCAACATTGATATTATTATACGATCCTGTGTGTCATACTGATTTTACGAAACAAGTGTCAGAAATTTTGCATTTCCCGAGCGAAAGCGAGGGTAATACTTGAATTGTTACACGAGTTTCGAAAAATCAGTACGACACACATGCGAGCGTAATGATTTCTTTTTTACCCATAATTTCTTATCCTTTTTCCCTTCAGAACTATTCACTTTTGACGACCACCGTCTTAAAAACCACAAGTGTCGAATGACGTCAACAATCTTCAGCTACGTCATTTCTATTGTGACGTCACAATAAGATTCGAATGACGTCAACAATGCCGTCCGGTTGTCGTAAACCATACATGAAGAGATATTTGTACTTGTTGCACATACGAATTTATAAACTTTGTTATTAGTTATTAGTTGTTATTTACTCGGGACATAATCCGTCCATCGTCAACTCGTTGCTAAATCACTCGACGAGCCAAAGCTGTAACCTAAGGCCGCCGCATGGCCCCAGAATGTGTATGCTTGCCAGCCAACAATGAGTCGCATTATATTTGGCGACATGATTTCAAAGGGAAAGCCCCGGGATTTTCCCGCTCTTGGGGGAGTAATTATTATGTTGGTTTTCAACTTGAAACATTCGAACACATGGACGAGCTGTGTACCTCCCTTCGAATCTGAGTTATGAAATAGACATAGATATGTAAATCGTTACTACGAATTAACATAGGAATAATTTATTACGCACAGATATTACATAAAGATTTACAGGTAAAAAAATCAACAAGACCTCCCTTCAGTGAAACACGGAAGTAACGTAAGGATGAGCAATGGAAGACGATGTGAGTGTCCCAACCAAGATCGCAGACGAAGTCAGCAGCCATTTACACTGTCCTATTTGTAAGACGCTGTACAGGGACCCCGTTATCAACATTCGATGTGGGCACACGTTCTGCAGGAAATGTGCCTTTTCCACAACCCACTGCCCGGTAGACAACGCGCACTGTGACACCAGTCAGCTGGTCATCAACAGGTAGAATAAACGTCATACAATTGAAGGCCCACGTAGAGCCCACAGGAACTCGATATTGCTCTTTGTAAAAATATACGCTTCCTGTGGTAGAGCCGTAACTATTTGAGGGTGCAAGTGGGCCTGGGTCAGAGAAAGTAATCTTGTTAACTACTAAATAATAGTATGACATGCATACTAGGATTGACAAGATGCACCCAAGGATGGATTTCCTAGCATGTAAGCCTAGTACGATTCGACCATTACTATCACATCTTCTAGGACTTTCAAAATTACCCTCAGATAGTAGTAAGTTAATATCATGATTTACGTCAGTGGTATGTCAGCAATATCTATCTGACAGTGACAAGGGATTTTAATTTTATGTTGTCATATCTGCATGAATCTGTTTGCAATTTTATAATGAATGATGTACTTATGATACAAGGGTTGGGATGAGTCCAAATTTACTACCCGCTATTATCCAACCCTACCGGGGTACCAGCTGTAGGTCTCAAGATGTGGGAACAAAATGTCTGATTGGGGATTGTTTTACCACAGCCCTGGCAAGAACTGTTTAGATACATGTATCCAACAATCAGATCATGCTTACACTGAAGCTGACTGAAGCTTTAGCTTCACTCAAACATATGCAAGTCAAAAGGAATGTGTGCATCGTCAGAAAGAAATGCGAACATTAGCAACTTGTAGTGTAACCACTGAGCTATAGTGAGTTTTGGTCACAATATATCACATGACTAGTCCTGTGGGTACCTGGGTCCTACTCAAGATCCACCTGACCCGGGTACCCGAGTAAACCTGTCCCAGCTCTACATGATACACAAGGATGTAATGTGTGCAAAATTACGTATCATTCGAGTTGAGTATTTTTCATTTTTTGTCAGTGAATTCTCATACCCATCATTAACAAGTTAATAGCCAGTTTTCTTAAGCACGAGATTCCCTTGGGCTGCTGGTCAATATAGTGTTGTTTCTAACAACTACCTTGCTGTCCACTGGCCCTATTCATGGAGTCCTTATTACTAGATAACCTAAGGTTGAACACGATTTCAAAACCAGGACCACCTTGGAGCCCATCAATCCAAAAGGTATTAAAAAAAGTAATTTAGCCATTCGTGAACAATTAGGTATGTGATTTTATAGGTAGTAAATGTATATAAATGTCACCATAACATATGACAATAGATGTGCCTCTGTTATAACCAACAACACTTCTCACCCGTGAAGATCTGGGTTAGCATTTGCCTTCAGCAACCCATTCTTGTTGTACTAAGAGGCGACAAAGGGGATTTGGTGGTCAGGCTCGCTGACAGGTTGATGTCATGATGTCAGTACTGGATTGTCTGGACCATTGCTGAGTGCGGTGTTAAACAACAAACAAATAAAACAAAAGTATCATTACCCATATGCAGAACATTTTTTGGTCTATTTTTGTCAGACTTGTGGTAGGCCAGATTGATGACCTGCTGATCTTCTGCCGCTACGGACTGATCAAAGATGGGGATGCCTGGCAAGAAGATCCTAGTGGATGCACAGAGAAGATTCAGTTTGGTGTGTATAGATAAGTCAGTATACTTCCTAGGGAGTTCAAGGGGGGTCCAAGGAACTCAAAGCCTTATAAATGGAGGTCCCAAGCTACAAAATGGGGGTCCCAGAGAATATTCAAATATTGAATACAGTACTCTACCAAAAGTGATGATGTTCAGGCTGTCAGTTAAACATAGACCAATCTCATTAAAATCAGATCTTAGCTCGCTACCGCTAAACACCGCTACCGATCTGAGGACATCCCATTAGGGGTCATGTCAGAACTACCTTTCATCCGACCAAACAGAGCTTCGCTTACAGATCATGAAAGTGACATGTCGGAATATGATTTCTGATCATGCAGCCTCGAAAACTTTAAAACGGGGTATTCCGAACGATAGTTACGGGTCAATGACTGAATCTATACAATCTAGACCATCTATTAGCCATTCGAGAATGTTCTTTTGTTGAGGTCTCAAATTTTTAAGCGAGAAGTTGTCAAAATATGTTTCGAAGCGTAGTGGCCAGTTTGAAATTAGTGCCGTAAAGCATGAGAAAGCTGCCTTCTGATTGGTCATTCCATTGGTCGGTTAGAGTTCACGAAAGCTCGGTTTGATGTGACCCGTAATGGGATGTCCTCAGATCTTTGTTTAGCGGCAGCGAGAACTGAGATCTGATTTCAATGACATTGAACATAGACATGCATTTTCCCAGCTGAAACAAATGTTCAAAAGCAAGCAATAGAAGATTGTGAAGCATTTGACTGTGTATTGTAGTTTTTACATGATTACCTATGGAAATTATTTTTAAGTGGTACCAAATTATGAAATAGTTTTCATTCCAAAGCATGCATACAATTTTTCTGTCTCTCTTACGCATCAATTTTTTTACTTTTAGGATGGGGTGGGGGGGGGTCCAGGATGTGTTTATGGTTTTGTTACATCAGAACTACATGTTTTCACGTCTGCAAAGGGGCGGTCGGGTAGCCTAGTGGTTAAAGCGTTCGCTCGTCACGCCGAAGACCCGGGTTCGATTGGGTCCGACATGGGTACAATGTGTGAAGCCCATTTCCGGTGTCCCCCGCCGTGATATTGCTGGAATATTGCTAAAAGCGGCGTAAAACCATACTCACTCGCTCACTCACGTCTGCAATTTCTTGTTCACCACAATCTTGTTATAATAATCTTTAAACAAGTTAAACCTAATTCTGAAAATATTCCAGAAACCAGAAACAGAGCCTTGTATGTCTCTTTTTATTTAAAAATATTCCTTGTTGAAGAAACGTGGTACACCTTGATGTGTAAACTGGTATTGATTCTGTAATGCTAAAACCGATCCCTCCCCGTCTCAATTCCAGGAAAGCGTCAGGAACATGAAACAGATTGCCTGTTTGCCATAGTCCGCTGTCCAAACGCTGAAGAATGTGGGACGTTCCGTCGCAGTGAGCTCCAGCGCCATCTTCAACAGTGCACCTTTACTCCATGTATACACAAGCCTGCAGGTTGGTCACAACCCCACAACTGAACCTGGGGGGTCTGCATTATTTGTGCAGCCGATAACAGGGGGTGGGAACTTTGCATGAATTCCACCATAGTCCCCTGTCCAGTGGAAATGGAATGCAGTTGCTCAGTGTCCCTTGGACTTGGTGGTCACTCCAGTTTTGTCCAGTTTGCTCAGCAGTAGATGCCAGTGATATTACTCTCACTACATTAGCCATGTATGTACTTTAGATGTTTACAGATGTTTAATACTTATATAGGTGCCACCTGAAGACCAATTGGAATTCTGTCAAATATTAATCAACTGAAAAGTTTAGAGATATGTTTCATGTAGCCATACTAAATGGTTTAAACTAAGATTTTTAGTCCACTCGTTCTTATTATGATATCATATATCAAAACCCTTAAAAATGGCAATTCCTTATATGATACCTTAACTATTGTGCAGTTTTGCAAGGACTGCATGATTAGTGGCAATTTCTAACCCTGAATACTTGACAGCCAAAGTTTTCAGGGTTTTTTTGGAAGAAAAAAATAATACTGATACAAAAAATTATAATATAAAAAGATAATTCTCATCTTACCCGTACAAAGTGAAAAGTTCAGAAGATTTCTGGGATTCGGGTCCCAATCGAGAAAGTATTTGAACCTACCAGATTGAGACTAACACTAATAACCTTTGTTTCCAATTCATGGGACTCTATGCCTCCTGTTCTGGTGTTGTAGGATGTGAGTTTACTGGGACACTGGTCAGTGTGGAGGAGCATATCCGGTCATGTGGGTACCAGGACTCCAAGTCTGTTGGACCAGAGGTCATCCAGAAGGTAGGTGACCTCTCCTTGCCCTCTGTTGTGTCTTCACTTTGTTATGACCGAGGTGCAGGGTTCAACACAGATATTAGTCTCCTTGTCATTAAAGTCGTCGAGAGTAGTGAACTTGTAGACAGGCTACTTGTTTTGTCCCAACTCTAGTTGTCATGGTTATGTTCTTGAACCACTAGTCCAAGATGAGTGAGTGAGTGAGTATGGTTTTACGCCGCTTTTAGCAATATTCCAGCAATATCACGGCGGGGGACACCAGAAATGGGCTTCACACATTGTACCCATGTCGGGAATCGAACCCGGGTCTTCGGCGTGACAAGCGAACGCTTTAACCACTAGGCTACCCGACCGCCCCTAGTCCAAGATGTGATGCCTTTATCACAATAGACCAAGGTGATGGGGTGATGTCTCTACTTCAGATCAGCAAACCCCGAATTTTCTACATTTTCTCAAAATATTATAAGTAATATAAAGAACCTACCTACTTGCACTACAGATTTATGGATAATTTGTCCTCCACCATCACCAAGGCAATCACCAGATAATCTAGATGTCATAGATGTCATGACATTGTCATGCTCTAGATGTCATGATATTTCCATGCTCTAGGTGTCATGACATTATCGTGCTCTAGATGTCATGACATTATTATGCTCTTGATGTCATAACATTGTCATGCTCTAGATGACATAACATTGTCATGCTCTATGTCATATCATTGTCATGCTCTATGTAATATCATTATCATGCTCTAGATATCATGACATTGTCATGCTCTAGATGTCATAACATTACCATGTCTTATGTCATAACATTGTCCTGCTCTAGATGTCATGACATTATTGTGCTCTAGATGTCATAACATTGTCCTGCTCTAGATGTCATAACATTGTCCTGCTCTAGATCACAAATAACGCTTGTAGAGACATTTTTGTGCAACATGCAGAAATCCATGGTTCACTGACAGGCCGTCACGCATACGAGTGACCCCTCTCAGGTGGTCACTTGTACGCGAGATGGGAGAGCCGTCTCGCGTACACGTTACGTCCTCTACTGTAGATGTCATAACATTGTCCTGCTCTAGATGTCATATCATTGTCCTGCTCTAGATGTCATATCATTATCATGCTCTAGATGTCCTTTTGTTGTGCTGTTGGTGTAATGCCATTGTCCTGCTCTAGATGTCCTGTTGTTGTGCTCTTGATGTCATGTCATTTTCATGCTCTAGATTTCATGTCATTGTCATGCTCTAGATGTCTTAAAATTGTAATGCTCTATGTCATAACATTGTCATGCTCAAGATGTAGTATTGTCATGCTCTTGATGTCATGTCATTGTCATGCTCTAGATGTCTTAACATTGTCATGTTCCTGTCATAACATCGTCATGCTCTAGATGTCCTATTGTTGTGCTCTAGATGCCATGTTATTGTCATGCTCTATGTCATAACATTGTCATGCTCTATATGTAGTATTATCATGCTCTAGATGGTGAATCTACAACAAACCAATCAGAAGCTAGAACAGCAGGTGTCCACTTTAACGAAGCGTGTTGTTGACCTTGAGTCGGTGCGAGATGACATGGCCTCCCAGCTCAGCACATGCAACAGGTAAGGAGAAGATGAGGGAAGATCCTAGTAGCTTGGAGACTGTCATGAATACTAGTTCCACAAAATTTCTCTTGTTTGCATTTCAACCTGTTAACACCAAAAATCTAAGTGACATGGTTGGGTGTTGCTTGTTGTCCATCCACAGTGTTGAGAATTTCACAAACAAAAATGAGTCATTGTGGGCTACTGTGAGCAGTACTCATAAGAAACAAAGTAAATCAGGAGTAAAATGTAGATTATGTTTGACATTGAAATAACAAGCAGGTCTCATAGTCTCCCACACTCCAATAGCATGTGGTGTTCTGTTAAAAATAAGGCCTTGAAAACTTGTTGCTTATCATAAGAGGCAACTTGCATGATCAGCTGCAGCATGGTGAGGAAGAGACTGCTAGTTGATGATCAGCTGCAGCATGGTGAGGTAGAGATTGCGTGTTGATGATCAGCTGCAGCATGGTGAGGTGGTGACTGCTAGTTGATGATCACCTGCAGCAAGGTGAGGTAGAGACTGCTAGTTGATGATCAGCTGCAGCATGGTGAGGTGGAGACGGCTTGTTGATGATCAGCTGCAGCATGGTGAGGTAGAGACTGCATGTTGATGATCAGCTGCAGCATGGTGAGGTAGAGGCTGCTTGTTGATGATCAGCTGCAATATGGTGAGGTGGTGACTGCTAGTTGATGATCAGCTGCAGCATGGTGAGGTAGAGACTGCTTGTTGATGATCAGTTGCAGCATGGTGAGGTGGAGACTGCTTGTTGATGATCAGTTGCAGCATGGTGAGGTGGTGACTGCTAGTTGATGATCAGCTGCAGCATGGTGAGGTAGAGACTGCTTGTTGATGATCAGCTGCAGCATGGTGAGGTAGAGGCTGCTTGTTGATGATCAGCTGCAGCATGGTGAGGTGGTGACTGCTTGTTGATGATCAGCTGCAGCATGGTGAGGTAGAGACTGCATGTTGATGATCAGCTGCAGCATGGTGAGGTGGTGACTGCTTGTTGATGATCAGCTGCAGCATGGTGAGGTGGTGACTGCTTGATGATCAGCTGCAGAATGGTGAGGTAGAGACTGCTTGTTGATGATCAGCTGCAGCATGGTGAGGTAGAGATTGCGTGTTGATGATCAGCTGCAGAATGGTGAGGTAGAGACTGCTAGTTGATGATCAGCTGCAGCATGGTGAGGTGGAGACTGCTTGATGATCAGCTGCAGCATGGTGAGGTGGAGACTGCTTGTTGATGATCAGCTGCAGCATGGTGAGGTAGAGATTGCGTGTTGATGATCAGCTGCAGAATGGTGAGGTAGAGACTGCTAGTTGATGATCAGCTGCAGCATGGTGAGGTGGAGACTGCTTGTTGATTATCAGTTTGTGTTGCAGTTGTATCCAGACTCTTCAACAGAAGTACAATGACCTTCATGCGACCGTGGAGTCCATGCTCAACACTCGGAGGCCTGTCTCGTATGGCTCACAGTTATCGCTGGCGGAGTCCACTACAGGTTAGTCATTTTTCAACTCATGCAGACACTGGTGGCAAAAACCTTGGGCAGGAGTTTCGTGGTGGTGGATGAAGGGATGAAGAATATATTCTGTGTGAGTGGGTTGTATGAGATTCTGAAATTATTCTCTCAGACGCAAGTTACCTGCTCTTTTGCCATGGTCAGTAGTTAGCAGTCTGTCAACTGAGAGAAGAGATATCTTGCTGTCAGGCCATTCTGGATTATCCAGTGTATCACATCTCCATTTTGTAAGGATAAATACCCAGTTGCCACAACAGTGTTGTATTGAGTATGATGTCAATACTTGATGTTAGAAAAAGCTGTCCAATCAAATTATTCTCAAGAGCAAGAGAAAATCTGTTGAGGTTCGTGATAGGACAGATATCGATGGTGATGTCACTTCCTAAGCAAAGCTGTAGTAGCAAATGGGTCCAAGGTATATATCATAACAATAGGGATCTAATGGAATGTATGATGTCAGGTTCCCACAAGACCAGCCCATTTTGAATATTCAGGTGGTGGTAAGTATTTTGTCTTTCGATAAACAGTGAAAACCTTTTTAGTTTAGAATGAAAATAATGGGATCACTAATGTTAAAAATTAGAAAGTTTAATATTTAACCTCCAGATCCCTAGGATCCCCTTGTCATTCTGGCCTTCACTAAGGAACATTACTCATGCTGGTCTGCACTAAGGGACATTACTCATACTGGCCTGCACTAAGGGACATTACTCATGCTGGCCTGCACAAAGGGACATTACTCATACTGGCCTGCACTAAGGGATATAACTCATACTGGCCTGCACAAAGGGACATTACTCATGCTGGTCTGCACAAAGGGACATAACTCATGCTGGCCTGCACATTACTCATACTGGCCTGCACAGAGGGACATAACTCATACTGGCCTGCACAAAGGGACATAACTCATACTGGCCTGCACAAAGGGACATTACTCATACTGGCCAATGCAAAGGGACATGACTCATGTTTTATTTCCATGCAGAACAAGCAATATAGAAATTCGGAAAGATGTAGCAGGTCTAGTAAGTTTATGTTTGTATCTGCTTCACTTCCATGACACATGCTTGTATTCTAGGTGTACATTACTTATGCTGGCCTGCACTAAGGGACATTACTCATGCTGGCCTGCACAAAGGGACATTACTCATACTGGCCTGCACTAAGGGACATTACTCATGCTGGCCTGCACAAAGTGACATTACTCATACTGGCCTGCACTAAGGGACATTACTCATGCTGGCCTGCACTAAGGGACATTACTCATGCTGGCCTGCACAAAGTGACATTACTCGTACTGGCCTGCACTAAGGGACATTACTCATGCTGGCCTGCACAAAGTGACATTACTCGTACTGGCCTGCACTTGGGGACATTACTCATGCTGGCCTGCACTAAGGGACATTACTCATACTGGCCTGCACTAAGGGACATTACTCATGCTGGCCTGCACTTGGGGACATTACTCATACTGGCCTGCACTTGGGGACATTACTCATGCTGGCCTGCACTAAGGGACATTACTCATACTGGCCTGCACTAAGGGACATTACTCATGCTGGCCTGCACTTGGGGACATTACTCATACTGGCCTGCACTTGGGGACATTACTCATACTGGCCTGCACTTGGGGACATTACTCATACTGGCCTGCACTTGGGGACATTACTCATACTGGCCTGCACTAAGGGACATTACTCATACTGGCCTGCACTAAGGGACATTACTCATGCTGGCCTGCACAAAGGGACATTACTCATACTGGCCTGCACTTGGGGACATTACTCATACTGGCCTGCACTAAGGGACATTACTCATACTGGCCTGCACTTGGGGACATTACTCATACTGGCCTGCACAAAGGGACATTACTCATACTGGCCTGCACTTGGGGACATTACTCATACTGGCCTGCACTAAGGGACATTACTCATACTGGCCTGCACTTGGGGACATTACTCATACTGGCCTGCACTAAGGGACATTACTCATACTGGCCTGCACAGAGGGACATTACTCATGCTGGCCTGCACAGAGGGACATTACTCATACTGGCCTGCACTAAGGGACATTACTCATGCTGGCCTGCACAGAGGGACATTACTCATGCTGGCCTGCACAAAGTGACATTACTCATACTGGCCTGCACTAAGGGACATTACTCATACTGGCCTGCACTAAGGGACATTACTCATACTGGCCTGCACTTGGGGACATTACTCATACTGGCCTGCACTAAGGGACATTACTCATACTGGCCTGCACTTGGGGACATTACTCATACTGGCCTGCACAAAGGGACATTACTCATACTGGCCTGCACTTGGGGACATTACTCATACTGGCCTGCACTAAGGGACATTACTCATGCTGGCCTGCACTTGGGGACATTACTCATACTGGCCTGCACAAAGGGACATTACTCATACTGGCCTGCACAAAGGGACATTACTCATACTGGCCTGCACAAAGGGACATTACTCATACTGGCCTGCACAAAGGGACATTACTCATACTGGCCTGCACTTGGGGACATTACTCATACTGGCCTGCACTAAGGGACATTACTCATACTGGCCTGCACTTGGGGACATTACTCATACTGGCCTGCACAAAGGGACATTACTCATACTGGCCTGCACTTGGGGACATTACTCATACTGGCCTGCACAAAGGGACATTACTCATACTGGCCTGCACTTGGGGACATTACTCATGCTGGCCTGCACTAAGGGACATTACTCATGCTGGCCTGCACAGAGGGACATTACTCATGCTGGCCTGCACTAAGGGACATTACTCATGCTGGCCTGCACTAAGGGACATTACTCATGCTGGCCTGCACTAAGGGACATTACTCATGCTGGCCTGCACTAAGGGACATTACTCATACTGGCCTGCACTTGGGGACATTACTCATACTGGCCTGCACTAAGGGACATTACTCATGCTGGCCTGCACTAAGGGACATTACTCATACTGGCCTGCACATTACTCATGCTGGCCTGCACAAAGGGACATTACTCATGCTGGCCTGCACTAAGGGACATTACTCATACTGGCCTGCACTAAGGAACATAACTCATGCTGGCCTGCACTAAGGGACATTACTCATGCTGGCCTGCACAGAGGGACATTACTCATACTGGCCTGCACTAAGGGACATAACTCATGCTGGCCTGCACAAAGGGACATTACTCATACTGGCCTGCACTAAGGGACATTACTCATGCTGGCCTGCACTAAGGGACATTACTCATGCTGGCCTGCACATTACTCATACTGGCCAATGCAAAGGGACATAACTCATGCTGGCCTGCACATTACTCATACTGGCCTGCACAGAGGGACATAACTCATACTGGCCTGCACAAAGGGACATAACTCATACTGGCCTGCACAAAGGGACATTACTCATACTGGCCAATGCAAAGGGACATGACTCATGTTTTATTTCCATGCAGAACAAGCAATATAGAAATTCGGAAAGATGTAGCAGGTCTAGTAAGTTTATGTTTGTATATGCTTCACTTCCATGACACATGCTGGTATTCCAGGTGTACAAAGACGCAGGACGTCGTCCCCCGGTAGCCCTAATGGTGTTGTCAAGTATGAGAGGTGGGAGATGCCGTTCCAGTTCAAGTGCATAGGAACACTCAGGTGTGTTACCTTCAATCCAACATTCAGCAACACTGCCCAGCCTCCACTCCAACTACTGTCATGAGATTATGTTGGAGAACTTGGGTTATGTAGTGGAGATCATCAGTATCCCAAGACTGCAATCTCATGACTGCTGCGTAACGATACTGGCAGGCCTTTTGTGACCATCAACCCAGTTGGGATACAGAGGAAGAATAAGACTTCTAAAACACATTCTTGCAATTGAGTTGATTAAAATGAGTTTTGTCTGGTTCCACAGGGTTTCAAATCAATTTGTTCACTAACTGATTGTCACTGAAAATGTCCTCATGATTTTCATGAAATTTGGAAATTATTTGAAATCTATGTCTTATCAAAATTATATACCTTTATTGTCATTAGCAAAATCATTTTCACTGTGTTGCTGATTTATGCCATTGTACCCAGCTCATGATATCAACCATGTGTGTTTGCAAGTTCATACATGATGATATACAGATCTCCATACGGAAACTGAAATAGTGATGACTGCTGCTTAAAACTTGTCTGTGATGTGCCTGATCAAATTTGATATTGTATTGCGATGTTGAATATATTTGACATTTTGGCTAACTGGCTACAGGGGCCATCAGGATGTGGTGTGGTGTCTGACGGCCTACAAAGGTCGGCTGTACAGTTCGGGAGCAGACGGTCAGATTAAGGTGTGGGACCTGGAGCAGCTGGCTAGAGGCTGTATACAGACACTCAGTGGACACACAGCAACTGTAAGTTGAGGAATCGGGGGAGATGTGTTCAAGGCCTCATCTTGGTCTCTTGTAGAAAACTGTTACTCTGCTTGAAAGACGATAATTCACAAATTGTCCTATGTATATTCAAGGCTAATAAAGCACTAACTGTCCTGTGTATGCTGTTCAAGGCTAATAAAGCACTAACTGTCCTATGTATACTGTTCAAGGCTATTAAAGCACTAACTGTCCTATGTATGCTGTTCAAGGCTAATAAAGCACTTGCTGTCTTATGTATGCTGTTCAAGGCTAATAAAGCACTATCTGTCCTATGTATGCTGTTCAAGGCTAATAAAGCACTAACTGTCCTATGTATGCTGTTCAAGGCTAATAAAGCACTAACTGTCCTATGTATGCTGTTCAAGGCTAATAAAGCACTAACTGTCCTATGTATGCTGTTCAAGGCTAATAAAGCACTTACTGTCTTATGTATGCTGTTCAAGGCTAATAAAGCACTTACTGTCTTATGTATGCTGTTCAAGGCTCATAAAGAATTAACTGTCCTATGTATGCTGTTCAAGGCTAATAAAGCACTATCTGTCCTATGTATGCTGTTAAAGGCTAATAAAGCACTAACTGTCCTATGTATGCTGTTCAAGGTTCATAAAGCACTATCTGTCCTATGTATGCTGTTCAAGGCTAATAAAGCACTAACTGTCCTATGTATGCTGTTCAAGTGCTAATAAAGCACTAACTGTCCCAAGTATGCTGTTCAAGGCTAATAAAGCACTAACTGTCCTATGTATGCTGTTCAAGGCTCATAAAGCACTATCTGTCCTATGTATGCTGTTCAAGGCTCATAAAGCACTAACTGTCCTATGTATGCTGTTCAAGGCTAATAAAGCCCTAACTGTCCTATGTATGCTGTTCAAGGCTAATAAAGCACTAACTGTCCTGTGTATGCTGTTCAAGGCTCATAAAGCACTAACTGTCCTATGTATGCTGTTCAAGGCTAATAAAGCACTAACTGTCCTGTGTATGCTGTTCAAGGCTAATAAAGCACTATCTGTCCTATGTATGCTGTTCAAGGCTAATAAAGCACTAACTGTCCTATGTATGCTGTTCAAGGCTCATAAAGCACTATCTGTCCTATGTATGCTGTTCAAGGCTCATAAAGCACTAACTGTCCTATGTATGCTGTTCAAGGCTAATAAAGCCCTAACTGTCCTATGTATGCTGTTCAAGGCTAATAAAGCACTAACTGTCCTATGTATGCTGTTCAAGGCTCATAAAGCACTATCTGTCCTATGTATGCTGTTCAAGGCTCATAAAGCACTAACTGTCCTATGTATGCTGTTCAAGGCTAATAAAGCACTAACTGTCCTATGTATGCTGTTCAAGGCTAATAAAGCACTAACTGTCCTGTGTATGCTGTTCAAGGCTCATAAAGCACTAACTGTCCTATGTATGCTGTTCAAGGCTAATAAAGCACTAACTGTCCTGTGTATGCTGTTCAAGGCTAATAAAGCACTATCTGTCCTATGTATGCTGTTCAAGGCTCATAAAGCACGAACTGTCCTATGTATGCTGTTCAAGGCTAATAAAGCACTAACTGTCCTATGTATGCTGTTCAAGGCTAATAAAGCACTATCTGTCCTATGTATGCTGTTCAAGGCTCATAAAGCACGAACTGTCCTATGTATGCTGTTCAAGGCTAATAAAGCACTAACTGTCCTATGTATGCTGTTCAAGGCTAATAAAGCACTAACTGTCCTGTGTATGCTGTTCAAGGCTTGAGCCCCTCGACTATGAGATCGTTCCTTACAACAGGGAAAACCTGACGTATGGTAGTAATGCTTGAAATGTCCTATGGATGCTTTACGAGGTGAAAAGAGCACAATCTAGTTTTCCCCAAGGTCTGCTATTTCAGGTTAGTTATCCACTTACTGTCCTTCAGGTCTACTGTTCGTCAGTCAGTGATGGGTGTTTGTATACGGCTGGAGACGACCACACTATCTGTGTCTGGGACACTGAGAGTGGAGGCAGCGTGAAGACACTGGAGGTAGGTCCAGCAGCCCAGGATGGGATCTCGGGTCAGACCCTCGGTACCCCTTGCTTGTCATCAATCTCATTAAAATCAGATCTTAGTTCTTGCTACCGCTAAACAAAGATCTGAAGACATTCCATTACGGGTCAGTCAGAATGATCTTTCATCTGATCAATCACAGCATCGCTTACCAGATCAGGAAAGTGACAGTCGTAATGTGTTTTCTAATCATGCAACATCGAAAAGGTTAAGACGGGGTATTCCGAATGACAGTGTTACGGACTGTATGACTGAATCTGTCCAAATCATCATCTACCTCTGGCTTCAAAGGAATAAACATTTAAACGGGAGAAACTTGTACCGTGGGACGGTTTGCCATACAATCTCAGCCATCTGTTAGACAGTCCAGCATGTTCTTTTGTTCAATTTTCAAATTTTAAATATATAGTTTTGTCAACATACTTTTCAATGGAAGCCGCCAGTTTGAAACTAGTGCCGTGTCGCTCAAGAAAACTGATTTCTGATTCGCCAATCTCGACTTCTTTTTAGTCATTTCATTTTCGGTCAAAGTTAGAGAAAGGTCATTCTGATGTGACCTGTAATGGGATGCCCTCAGATCCATAATATAGCTTGAGCGAGCACTAAGATTGGATTTTGATGAGATTGTGCTTGCCATGAGACCAATCTTATATGCAGACAGGATGTTACGATATGACCTGGCTGATTGAGTGTCATCATTAGTTGTAGTGAGTATGTCATCGCAAGTCATAGTTGGTAGTTACTCATGATATCAATCACTGAATTGCCTGGCCCAGACTTGATTAGTTACAGGCCACTGTGATGAAACTAATTATGCTGTAAAATAGCATATGATCACTGCAATTTTAAGATTTTTGAAGAATTTTGATTTTGGACAATTTTGTTCTTTTTGTAAATAAGTTTACCAGAAGAAATACCTTTCTTTCTGTGTTTGTATTTACAGAATGCCCATGACAACATCATCTGTGCAATGACTACTACCAAAGAATACCTGTTTACGTCGTCATTCTCTCTTATCAAGGTAGTGTTACCTTACAACCTTAATATACATGTTGTGTTCCTGTAAAATTATACAACAAAATGTTTTGTAATTTTACGTTGGAAATTGCCCTGTGTTTGTCAAATTTGTTAACTAAGTCAACCACACATTCAACATAATTAGTACCATCAGCATGTTATGTCGGTTAGAAAATGTTCTAGAAAATGCAATTTTTGTTTGGAAAGACTGACTGGTGATATATTTTTCTTATCAATGATAGGTTTGGGAACTGAAGACTCTAGCCTTGAAACAAGTCTTGTCTGGCCTCCACCACTGGGTCCGAGCTCTGGCCTTCAGCTATAAGAAGGTGAGCTTTCTGTTAATGAATAGTCATAAGTCATTGTTCGACACTAACACTTAGGGATAAACAACACATCGGTGCACTGGTGCATCACAAGTTTTCATGAGATGATATGATACCCAATTGTTTTTTGCTGTATCGATACAAGATGATATTCTTACTTACTACTTGTTTAATGACCCCAGCGTTTTTGTCTGTCAAATATTTAAAAATGTGTTGTACTTAGTGTTTCAAGTTCACTACTAAAAATAGCCATTACGAACATGTGTCTACAGCTAGCTTTTCCTTTTGAATCTGCTCTGAAATATTTATCATATTTATGGTCAAGAAATTTCCATGTTTTTTTATGTAAATAGACGAATCGTGATATCTCTTGTATTGTGACCTATGTAGCATGACCATATTGGGACCTCTGGTCCAGGCAGACATCTATCCACTAGACCACTGTAATACAGTAAGCATGGTAGGATGTTCGACATTTCAGGACAAGCTGTACAGTGGGTCTCACAATGCCATCAATGTCTGGGACTGCACAGACTCCTTTGCAGCACTGGGCACCATCGAGCACGAGTTCGGATCAGTCCACTCCCTGGCTGTCACACAGACTTACATCATCGCAGGTAATGCAGGTATGGCATGGCTTATTTGTCTGTTTAGTGGAGCCAGCACTGCATGCTGTAATTAATAAAACTTTGCTACTCACCTTCAATGAAAAAAAGTACCCTGATCTCCTCCTCAGTAATGGCTGAACTGATTTAGTTTGTAGTGGTTACATCTAGGGCTGGGACGAGTCCAAATGTACTACCTGGGTCCCCTACCCCTATTGCCGGATCCTACCCAGGTACCCTCTGTAGGTTGACCTGTACCAGTTTGAAGACATGATTAAGACAGACATAGATTTATGAATTGTTACAAGTATGAGTCCTTTCAAGGATGGAAATAATATGGTATTTACAAAGAAATACTTCTTGCAGACAAATACTACTACCACTAGTTATTTTGTGGTGCAGAGTAGTGTCCCTTATTTGTGGCAGCATTTTGTGATGGATTTAAATTCCAAATTTCCCCTGATTAATATTCTTCACCATACCCATGCTTGTGGGTTGCGTTAAAGAGGTAAACGTATGGGATCTATATCACTTTGGGATTTCCTCCCACATTAATATCACACTGTGATATTACTGAAATATTCCAAGCTGTTAGAAACTCACTCTCTAATATAATAAAGGGGCATGAATTGTTGGAGGTGCATCACGTATTTGTGTAGGGGTCTGTAAATGTGGTAATCTTGTTAACTCCAGTACTGACTGACTTTATTTAAGGATTGGCTGTGTATTGTTTTGAAGTATGAATTAAAAACCGATGTACAAACTGGGAGAATCCTCGTAGCTTTTGACAGAAGCTATATTGTGCCAAGTGTTGTATGTGCAACTTTTTTGCTATGAGAAAAAAGTGATTGTGCATTTTGGTCACTTTTACCAAGGTGTTGTGGAAGAAAATTATTTGATTTGTGTTTTCTTGTTGAAATGTTTGATATTGTAAAATACTTTCATGATGATACAGGTGAGCAGAAAGGGAATTCCTTCGACTGCAATCGGGATTCCCTGACATTCCGTAGTGATGAAAGTAGTCTGCTTCAGGGCATGGCTTCATTTGTTAAATTCACTGGGAAATAATGCAATAACATGTGACCAATTCTGAAAATTAGAATGCAGGAATTACAATAAACACAATGAAAATTTAATTACAGTAAACTATGTTTATAACAAACACGCTTATAACGAACTTATTTTTTAGTCCCGGCCATTTGTTGTATATATGCTGTATATATGCTTATAACGAACTACCTTTATTTCGAACTAAAATTAGTGGTCCCTTTGAGTTGGTTATAACCGTAGTTTACTGTAATCAAGTATGGTTTATGGACAAACACTTTTAGAATGCAGTCAAGTTACCACTTGCATACACTAGCTACCCGATAGTAAGTAGGTCAAAGGTCATATTACCATATCATAACTAGTTAAATACTAGTTTCAGGATGATAAAGTATTTTCTTTAACAATACACATTTTAAGTTAATTCATGTTATCTGAAAACACAGGTCAAATTCATCCAAATTGGTGAACATGAGGTCACAGGTCACATAATAAAGAAAACAATTCTTTCCCCTGTTGAGCACTTCAGAAATTTTTTCTGGACTGTGGTTCATAAAGAACTGTTACTCTGATAATTCTGATAATTCAGAATAATTAGTCAGTGCTCCCTATCAAGTGTGGTTGAGCACTGTCATCAATTATGTTTACAACTGGACACTTTCTCCAAGTTAGTATGTAAATATTTCAAAAAACATAAATTGAAAAGTGTGGATTATGAGTTTTATGAAAGGTTTTTTAAGGATATTTCATCCAGGATATGTATAACATTGTATATACAGGCAAGGAACTGAAAATATTCTGTGGCAGATTTCTAATGGTCCTCGTACACTGCGTCCCTGTGTTCTAACAAAGAACGATGGTTTAGGGTATACTGGGTATTGTCCGACTTCCCTTTTTAATGCCTTGGTTTTTGGTCTTTAAAACATAACCCACACAGGCCTGGTACTATATGGAAAACACTCCTTGCTTTTGCTTATCATGACATGGTGTAGGGGCGGTCGGGTAGCCAAGTGGTTAAAGCGTTCGCTTGTCACGCCGAAGACCCGGGTTTGATTCCTGACATGGGTACATTGTGTGAAGCCCATTTCTGGTGTCCCCGCTGTGATATTGCCCGAATATTGCTAAAAGGGGCATTAAACCATACTCACTCACTCACTGATATGGTGTATTTATTAAGCCTTATTTTGAACATGTGGTGTAGTTAAGAGGTTTCTGGACAGTGGGTAGGTGTTTGCATCCTTTGTCAATGGGAGCAGAAAGATTGTTTAGATGTCATATAGGTACTAAAGATACGGAACAGGTTTCTTGGCCCACTTACATACCGGTAGTCCTTCCAACCAGTTCTGTGTATGTGTGGAACGGATGAGTCAGATTGTAGCCAAGCATACATTGCCCAGCTACAGTACCTCTGTGTCGGCCGATCTGTGTACAGAAAGGTACCTGGGGTTCGTATCTGTAGTACCCTCTTTAGGGACAACTAGATGGCTTGTCAAGGGGAGAATGTGATTGTGTACAGTAACACATAGTGATCCACTAGATGGCTTGTCAAGGGGAGAATGTGATTGTGTACAGTAACACATAGCGATCCACTGGATGGCTTGTCAAGGGGAGAATGTGATTGTGTACAGTAACACATAGTGATCCACTGGATGGCTTGTCAAGGGGAGAATGTGATTGTGTACAGTAACACATAGTGATCCACTAGATGGCTTGTCAAGGGGAGAATGTGATTGTGTACAGTAACACATAGTGATCCACTGGATGGCTTGTCAAGGGGAGAATGTGATTGTGTACAGTAACACATAGTGATCCACTGGATGGCTTGTCAAGGGGAGAATGTGATTGTGTACAGTAACACATAGTGATCCACTGGATGGCTTGTCAAGGGGAGAATGTGAGTGTGTACAGTAACACATAGTGATCCACTGGATGGCTTGTCAAGGGGAGAATGTGATTGTGTACAGTAACACATAGTGATCCACTGGATGGCTTGTCAAGGGGAGAATGTGATTGTGTACAGTAACACATAGTGATCCACTGGATGGCTTGTCAAGGGGAGAATGTGATTGTGTACAGTTACACATAGTGATCCACTGGATGGCTTGTCAAGGGGAGAATGTGATTGTGTACAGTAACACATAGTGATCCACTAGATGGCTTGTCAAGGGGAGAATGTGAGTGTGTACAGTAACACATAGTGATCCACTGGATGGCTTGTCAAGGGGAGAATGTGAGTGTGTACAGTAACACATAGTGATCCACTAGATGGCTTGTCAAGGGGAGAATGTGATTGTGTACAGTAACACATAGTGATCCACTGGATGGCTTGTCAAGGGGAGAATGTGATTGTGTACAGTAACACATAGTGATCCACTGGATGGCTTGTCAAGGGGAGAATGTGATTGTGTACAGTAACACATAGTGATCCACTGGATGGCTTGTCAAGGGGAGAATGTGATTGTGTACAGTAACACATAGTGATCCACTGGATGGCTTGTCAAGGGGAGAATGTGATTGTGTACAGTAACACATAGTGATCCACTAGATGGCTTGTCAAGGGGAGAATGTGATTGTGTACAGTAACACATAGTGATCCACTAGATGGCTTGTCAAGGGGAGAATGTGAGTGTGTACAGTAACACATAGTGATCCACTGGATGGCTTGTCAAGGGGAGAATGTGAGTGTGTACAGTAACACATAGTGATCCACTAGATGGCTTGTCAAGGGGAGAATGTGATTGTGTACAGTAACACATAGTGATCCACTGGATGGCTTGTCAAGGGGAGAATGTGATTGTGTACAGTAACACATAGTGATCCACTAGATGGCTTGTCAAGGGGAGAATGTGATTGTGTACAGTAACACATAGTGATCCACTGGATGGCTTGTCAAGGGGAGAATGTGATTGTGTACAGTAACACATAGTGATCCACTAGATGGCTTGTCAAGGGGAGAATGTGAGTGTGTACAGTAACACATAGTGATCCACTGGATGGCTTGTCAAGGGGAGAATGTGAGTGTGTACAGTAACACATAGTGATCCACTAGATGGCTTGTCAAGGGGAGAATGTGATTGTGTACAGTAACACATAGTGATCCACTGGATGGCTTGTCAAGGGGAGAATGTGTTTGTGTACAGTAACACATAGTGATCCACTAGATGGCTTGTCAAGGGGAGAATGTGATTGTGTACAGTTACACATAGTGATCCACTGGATGGCTTGTCAAGGGGAGAATGTTATTGTGTACAGTTACACATAGTGATCCACTGGATGGCAGGTCAAGGGGAGAATGTGATTGTGTACAGTAACACATAGTGATCCACTGGATGGCTTGTCAAGGGGAGAATGTTATTGTGTACAGTTACACATAGTGATCCACTGGATGGCAGGTCAAGGGGAGAATGTGATTGTGTACAGTAACACATAGTGATCCACTAGATGGCTTGTCAAGGGGAGAATGTGATTGTGTACAGTAACACATAGTGATCCACTAGATGGCTTGTCAAGGGGAGAATGTGATGTGGATCCACTGGATGGCTTGTCAAGGGGAGAATGTGATTGTGTACAGTAACACATAGTGATCCACTGGATGGCTTGTCAAGGGGAGAATGTGATTGTGTACAGTAACACATAGTGATCCACTGGATGGCTTGTCAAGGGGAGAATGTGATTGTGTACAGTAACACATAGTGATCCACTGGATGGCTTGTCAAGGGGAGAATGTGTTTGTGTACAGTAACACATAGTGATCCACTAGATGGCTTGTCAAGGGGAGAATGTGATTGTGTACAGTAACACATAGTGATCCACTGGATGGCTTGTCAAGGGGAGAATGTGTTTGTGTACAGTAACACATAGTGATCCACTAGATGGCTTGTCAAGGGGAGAATGTGATTGTGTACAGTAACACATAGTGATCCACTGGATGGCTTGTCAAGGGGAGAATGTGATTGTGTACAGTAACACATAGTGATCCACTGGATGGCTTGTCAAGGGGAGAATGTGATTGTGTACAGTAACACATAGTGATCCACTAGATGGCTTGTCAAGGGGAGAATGTGATTGTGTACAGTAACACATAGTGATCCACTAGATGGCTTGTCAAGGGGAGAATGTGATTGTGTACAGTAACACATAGTGATCCACTAGATGGCTTGTCAAGGGGTACATGTGGTATGCCTCTATTAACTCATAGTGATCAACAGGATGGCTTCTCAAGCAAAATATGCTACAGCCCCTAGGACCAATCTCACCATTGTTTGTTTGGCCATTTTGAGGTCCTGTACTTGAAGTCATTATATATTTTAAAGCTCACTATGACTGACTTACTGAGGTTCTTGAGAAGCATTGTTGATCTACTGGTGATATTATTCCAATCTATTTGTTGTAACAATGGATGCTCCTGCAAAGGATGTTACTGAAGGACATTTTGGGTAAACACACGCTGATACAATCTCTTGTATTCCTCATTATTTAATGATAAATATTAGGTTACTCTTCAGTTTGTTTCTGACATTTTACTTCATGTTTTCACAGGAACATACAACCAGAATATTCAGTTATTTGATGCTACCACTCATAAACATGTGACCAACTTATGCGGCCATATTGGAACTGTGACATCACTAGCTGTGCCGCCATCAGGTCGCTTCCTGTTTTCTGGGTCACATGACAGTAATGTGCAGGTAACACCGACAGTGTTTTATCCTCCGGTGTGAGTTTGTGAGTAGCTGATGGACGTAAGTGATTTAGTCAGGGAGTCAGTGATTTAACTAGTGAGTCACTAATTGAGTGAGGACGTAAGTGATTTAGTCAGGGAGTTAGTGATTTAGTTGGAAGGAAGTCAGTGATTGAGTGAGGAAGTCAGTGATTTAACTAGTGAGTCACTAATTGAGTGAGGACGTAAGTGATTTAGTCAGGGAGTTAGTGATTTAGTTAGAAGGAAGTCAGTGATTGAGTGAGGGAGTCAGTGATTTAACTAGTGAGTCACTAATTGAGTGAGGACGTAAGTGATTTAGTCAGGGAGTTAGTGATTTAGTTAGAAGGAAGTCAGTGATTGAGTGAGGAAGTCAGTGATTTAACTAGTGAGTCACTAATTGAGTGAGGACGTAAGTGATTTAGTCAGGGAGTTAGAAATTTAGTTAGAAGGAAGTCAGTGATTTAGTTAGGGAGTAAGTGATTTAGTTAGAAGGAAGTCAGTGATTGAGTGATGGATTGAGAGAGGGGGTATTTGGACATCAAGATTGAGCAAGGGAGTCTGATTGACTGAGGGAGGAGTCTGATTGACTAAGGGAGGAGTCTGATTGACTGAGGGAGGAGTCTGATTGACTGAGGGAGGAGTCTGATTAACTGAGGGAGGAGTCTGATTGACTAAGGGTGGAGTCTGATTAACTGAAGGAGGAGTCTGGTTAACTGAGGAGTGATTTAGTTAGAAGGAAGTCAGTGATTTAGGTAGGGAGTAAGTGATTTAGTTAGGGAGGAAGTGATGGATTGAGAGAGGGGGTATTTGGACATCAAGATTGAGCAAGGGAGTCTGATTGACTGAAGGAGGAGTCTGATTGACTGAGGGAGGAGTCTGATTGACTGAGGGAGGAGTCTGATTAACTGAGGGAGGAGTCTGATTAACTGAAGGAGGAGTCTGGTTAACTGAGGGAGGAGTCTGATTGACTAAGGGAGGAGTCTGATTGACTGAGGGAGGAGTCTGATTAACTGAAGGAGGAGTCTGGTTAACTGAGGAGTGATTTAGTTAGAAGGAAGTCAGTGATTTAGTTAGGGAGTAAGTGATTTAGTTAGGGAGGAAGTCAGTGATTGAGTGATGGATTGAGAGAGGGGGTATTTGGACATCAGGATTGAGCAAGGGAGTCTGATTGACTGAGGGAGGAGGCTGATTGACTAAGGGAGGAGTCTGATTGACTGAGGGAGGCATCTGATTAACTGAGGGAGGAGTCTGATGAACTGAGGGAGGAGTCTGATTGGCCGAGGGAGGAGTCTGATTAACTGAGGGAGGCATCTGATTAACTGAGGGAGGAGTCTGATGAAATGAGGGAGGAGTCTGATGAAATGAGGGAGGAGTCTGATTGACTGAGGAAGGAGTCTGATAACTGAGGAAGGAGTCTGATAACTGAGGAAGGAGTCTGATTGACTGAGGGAGGAGTCTGATGAACTAAGGGACGAGTCTGATTGACTGAGGGAGGAGTCTGATGAACTAAGGGACGAGTCTGATGAACTAAGGGACGAGTCTGATTGACTGATGGAGGAATTTGATTGACTGATGGAGGAGTCTGATTGCAGAGTAGTCTCGAGTATCCCTTGAATGATGTGTGATTAGAATGTGTGACCTGGCTGATTGTGTATCATTGTATCTCAGTGTAGTGGATTGTTCTTTGAGCTATAATCCACTGGTTTGCCAGCGCCAGAATAAATTATTTACAGACTTTTCTGTATGCATGGATCATTGCTGGATGTAGCGTACAACAACATTCAATCACTCCTAAATGTGAACTATGAGTTTTTTTATGCTAATCATGCTGATTTTGCTTTTCACATTTCCAGTTGTGGAGTTTGGAGAAAATGCTGCCAATCCAGACTCTATCCCGCCACCAGGCCAGTGTGAACTCATTGACGCTGTACGGCAACATCCTGCTGTCTGGGTCAGAAGATCATGAAATAAAGGTCTTCAGATATTTCCAGCTACAGCATGGACAGTTCTAGCTGGATCAGAAGATCATGAAATAAAGATCTTTAGATATAACATGGACAGTTCTAACTGGATCAGAAGACCATGAAAAATAAAGGTCTTCAGATATAACATGGACAGTTCTAACTGGATCAGAAGACCATGAAAAATAAAGGTCTTCAGATATAACATGGACAGTTCTAACTGGATCAGAAGACCATGACAAATAAAGGTCTTCAGATATAACATGGACAGTTCTAACTGGATCAGAAGATCATGAAATAAAGGTCTTCAGATGTAACATGGACAGTTCTAACTGACCCTCCTTGTCAAAGGACCACAAGTCTGCTGCTGGTGCCAGCATCACTACTTAATATTACAGTATGCTAATTATCCCCGAGTGTGATATGTGATAGTATGTGATAGTCTCATTCACTCATTGTGCAGACATCACAGCAACTTGTTCCACCATGTATGTATTCATGTGTACTGGGCCGACATCTGCTCATGTTAATTGTCTTCCCTTCACTGTGATCAGTCTGAGAGTAGTTGTGTAGTTGTGTAGTTGTGTATTGGGTCTAGTTCATGAAAGATTAACCCAACTTGATTGATGCATGTCATCGTATCCCAATTGCATAGATCGATGCTCATGACGTCAACCACTGGATTGTCTGGGCCAGACTCGATTGTTTACAGACCACCGTCATAAAGATGGAATATTGATTACTGCGGCATTAAACAAACAAACAAAGAAACAATTGAGACCACTGTGGCATGGCTAGCCGAGAGTACAGACCACACATTTATGACAATAGAGGGATGCACTGGACAGACTGTCTGTATCCCAAACCAGTACGTAAACAAAAGGGAGTATATTCCATTGATCCATTTTGTTTGTAGACAACATGATGAAATGATTATGTTGATATGTGCTGATATACGTACAGACTAGGGCTGCAACGAATACACAACGAGGTTAATACGATACGTATCACGAATGTAGGGTAACAAATACTAATATTTATTCACAAATACAGTAACAGGTCATCAGTTGAGGTATTATTTATTATAGTCAGTGAAACAATAACAAACATAATTATTTGACATAGTTTGACCATGTTGACAGTGTTGATTATTATTATGTTGTACGTTAATATCCTGCATTTATCCAGGTACAAGTATCTGCTATGACCAGTGACCACATTACTGTCAAATTAAATATATAACAGTGTTGTCTTTGAAGAAATCTATGTAGGCATATAATTGGTTGTTTTATTAAAAAACACTCTTTATTTTTTCCCGTAAATATTCGTTTCTTGTGACCACGAATAAAGAATTCAATTCATGAAGGGATACGGTTTGATTCGCTGAATACATGAGTGAATCGTAACATCCCTAGCGCCATACTTAGACTTGAGACATCACTGAAACCCAATGGACAAGGTATTATAAAGGACAGTTGGCCCTCAGGAACTGTATAATTTAAACAATGAGTAGATGTGTTTGTTTGAACATGATGGATGAGAAGTAGACTTAGCTTACTTCCACACTTGCTTGTGTCGGACAGATGGCTGATATGCTACATTGATGTACAATGTATTGTTTCGAGGTTCTCAGTAAACATGGTTTTCTAATGTTTGAACATGAGTAAGCATGGTAAGTCTTTGACCCAAATGATTTTCTTCGATGTAGATAGAAACAGTTTCAACATATGGTCAAAAGTTAATCTTGGGTCAGTGTGTGAAACAAATTAACCTGTTTTACTAAATTTTGCCGTACCTATGTACTTAGTCATCCCAGAAGTAAAACATTTTCAAGTGTAAGATGGAAAAAGCGTTTTTTAACAGGTCTGGTCATTTTATACCAATGTTTCAGAAACTTCAGTAACATTTGGCCACAAAGGGCCCTGATCCTGCAGGCAAATACATATGGTGCTATACGAGATGTATGTTCTTGAATACATTAAGATTAAGTCACATTCTTTGAAGAATTACAGATTATCTCGCCAAAATGAATCCCAAATATTTGCTAGGATCGTCCAATATGAATTCACTCAAGTGAGATAATCCATAATTCCGAGTTGCAAGTACTTTTACTAAAAAAAACATGCAGAAGAAAGTGAGTTCCTGGGCTCACTTGCACAAAGAGATCTTATCACTATGGCTACCTTAAGCATATGTTAAAGTATGGGAGTCATGATCATCCTAGCGCTGACATAGCTTTGTGCAAGTGGACCTTGTTGTCAAGTGGAGACATCGGCCCAGATGGCCTGTTGTTGGAGTGATGTCAAAGATGATTTGTGTCAAGGATGAACATATACAATGTCTTCATATGAAACCACGTTGCTATGACACAAACATGACAACAATGGCACAACTGATGCAAACTAACCAATCAGAATGAAGCATCAGTTCGGCCTTTCCTCCTGCATCAAGTGTTATACATGTAACTGAATTACTGTTCAAATTTGTGTTAAGCCCAACTCACGGAGGTGTGATTTTTATTCCACATTTACAGTCTGAAAATGTTTCCATTTGTGCAGTTAACACAGTGTGTTCAAGATGGTTTTTGAACATTGTTATGTTTTATATTGCTACTTATATTTCAATGTCATGGTTGTTATTGTTGCTGATCATCTCATGAATACCAGATTGATTTCCTGTGTACCCGTGAAGATCCGGGTAGAGAATAGGTCTTCAGCAACCCATGTTTGCTGTAAGAGGCGAGTATGCTTGTCGTAAGAGGCAACTAACGGGATTGGGTGGTCGCTGACTTGGTTGATGCATGCCATCGTATCCCAATTGCCTAGATCGATGCTCATGTCAATCACTGGATTGTCTGGTCCAGACTTGATTATTTACAGACCGCTGTCATATAGCTGGAATATTGGTGTCTGGCACTAAAGAACAAACAAACAACAAATTCAATTCCTGTGATCTGATCTTTTTGTACATATATCATATATTGGTATGTATTGTAACAGGAAAAATAGTTGTAAGTAAATGGATGGATAAATATTTTCATGGATGGATGGATGGATGGATGGATGGATAGATGCACAGTGTTTTACCCAATACTTAGATGTTATGCATTGACTGTTCGAGCTAAGAATGTTGCAATAATTACTGAGAATCAATCATTCAAGATGGCATTCCGTCCAAACATTTTTATTTCTAATCCTCATTGCCATTTGTTTTCATTAGTGGGAACCAAATTTCAAACAAATCATGATTAGTATCCAGAATTCTGATTGGTGTGACTGTAAAGTTGAAATTGTCCAGGGTGCTGTTGTACAAAACAACCTTAGCATTACGACTGTCGTAAGTCTATGTAAAGGTAGGGGAGTTACGATCACCTTAGCGCTACGGTCTGCTTGGTACAACGGCACCCACTACTTTAGACACTTGAAAGAAAATCTCAAGTACTGACTACCTAATTTTCAAATGGAATCATTTTGTATATCAATCACTGGATTGTCTGGTCCAGACTCGATTATTTACAGACCGCCGTCATATAGCTGGAATATTGCTGAGTGTGGTGTTAAACAACCAACCAACCAACCAACCTGGACTTATGTGTGGCTGTTACCTTTGAAAAGAAAGTTGGATAAACCGAGTATAGTTAATTCTAGTGACAGTGTAGTCTGGTCTTCAAGCCATTGTGCATGTAGATCTTGATTGTATGATCATGGTGTTTGCTTTACAACTAATCCTACTAAGTTTTACCTTTTCTTTTCACAAACTTCCTATACTTAATGCTGCTGTGTTTTTTATATTTATCGGGAGTCCCATGATATTCACCTTTATTTTGAACATGCAACATACTGAAAAGACCAATGCCATCTCCCGTGTTTAAAAAGAAACTTCCTTTTAATTTGTGATAGTATCATGGTAATTTACCTTTAGAGACTGTTAGAGGTTTTCTGCTCCCATTTGAAACTTGTAAATCATTATGCCAACTTTTCCAGTTTCAAATGAAATTTTCAGGTTTCCAATCTATCTTTGAAGCTTGCATGTTGAAAAGCTGGTAGATGTAATATACTTGAACCCCAGAGGACTTTGTTCCATGAAGTTCCACAACCGTAACTCAAATACTTTTAGCAAGGACTTGTGACAATCATAACACTAACGTTACTTTGAACAACAGTACTGGAAACTGTAGACTGAGGAATGCTGGTTACAAAAGATGCGGGACATTTGATTGCTAACCATATAGCCTTGTCTTTCCTTGTCTAAAAGTCTTGTGGAATCTGTGCTCAGATCTGCTTCATGACATTCCTTTATGTCATTGTGTATGTGCCTTGCTTCTATTTCATTATGTGTATATGGTCCTTGCAGAAGCTGCTGTACATATATGGGTCAAGATGCTCCAGAAATGAATTGATTATTGCATATTGGAATAAAAAATCTTGACGCCACATCCGTCTTTTAGATTAACTTTTATTTCCCCTTGATTTATTTTCACCAATTGTATCTAGAAATCAAAATTGTATGAGTATTCATGAAATCTTGGTGAATTGTGCACGTAACTGATGTTGGTTGTAAGATCATGGCAAAGAATGGGTATGTTGGGTAGTTGTATGTCAGACAGTTAGCAGATGGTCTTGAAACCTGACAAGAAAATTCTTGACCAAACGGCAAACTTGACTATTATTTGATGAATACTCATCATGCTCATGCAAGAAGAATTTATCTAGAAATAAATCTAGATAAAGATTTACAAACATGACATTTCAGAAGAACATAAATAGCAAAAACACTTTCACAACTCACAGATGTTTACAGCTGAGGTAATTGCATCAAGTCTCATCAACATGTCAACAAATACAATGTAAAATGAAGTCCATCTGAATTTTTCTGACATCCATTTTATTTACAACAGAAAGTATACAAGGATAGTATGGAGTGGCAATAAATTAGATAGGACTTCTATATAACAATCAACTCACAGTGTATTTGTAGAAGACCAGTTTGGCTACAGATCAGTCATGAAAGGATGCCAGTCAATACACTGTTGTAATTCATGTCATGAAACAGTGGGAAACAATCGCAAAGGATGGACGTAATTTTTCAGTATCAGAATCTCTGCAATAATGTCCTATCAAGATGGTCTATCCTCAACACAATAAAATTTAGAGGTCATCGACTCCAGCAGTATTCGATTCGGGATTTGCCTAAGAACAGGTTCTCTTATTGTTACAATACTTTCATTCAGTAACTGTATATTAGATGATCTGACTTGGAGTTCTTGTGACTTTCATGAATATGATATACTCTCTAATAGTCTTTATAAAAAACTTTGACAGCAAAAAAAACTACAAATAATTCTTAATGGCCATGGTTCATTGACTTTTCAGAAGCTGAGTAATGGAATGGTGTGATTAAATTTTAATAACAGAACAGTTTTCAGTTTTCCCCTGTCTTGTAACATTGCAAATGCAAGAATGTCCTTTCATTTTCGACCATGGTAATGTAAGTCCTAAACACTTCAGACTGTACATGTATGACAAATGAAAAGCTAGAACTGAACTTGGTGATTTCAGAGGAAAACCAGACATCTTTAACAAACGGTGTTCAAGGAACCTAGTAGCCATTGCACCCATCCAAAGAGAAAATTTAAACTACAATGGGCACCTAGAACACACATGGCATGAACACGAAGCAGAGGCTTACAACTATGTACAAGGGAGCATCAAGCTATGACTGTAGCACCATAGTCATCTACTGATATGCATTACAGCTTATTTACATATGCTCAGGCAGTCACAGGCTGTATTATAACATGGGACAATGTGTGATACATACATCAGACGTGAGTGGATATCTTTCAGCTTCATCATGGCTTGTCAGCTTAAAGTGGAGGAGAGCCAAAGGTTCTGGTCGATGTTTACCACTTTGGTGAAACCCACATGTGCAGGATGGTGCTGACAAATCAAGAATCATAATCAGGATTTGAAAACCATGATCATCGGATTCTGGCATGGCTAAGGATGCAACTCTGCACAGCAATTTCCAGCATCTTGGACAATTGGACCACCCATGGTCCCCACTGCAGATAAATCTCATAACAGAATACAGCTGGCTTGTATATCTGTTCAATTTAGGTTCTCAAACACCTGTCATTATTGATCTTTTAAGCTTACTGTCTATGTAGCAGAGTTGAAAAAACTACAGATGACATCCTTACATGACAGATGGGGTTACCTCTTTGGACATATGGACAAGGTGTTCACCTTCGGATTCTAAAGTCTGATGTCCAAATGGAAATTTTATGGCCGCAACATTTGTGCCCATTGTAAGGTTTAGCTCGATCATATGAAATACTGACAAAACAAGACCCTGTACCTTGCTCAGTGACCAAGGACATTCCATCTGTCAGGGGAGCTCATCAACCCCACAGAGTGAATGAGTGGAGTTGTGCGCTGCTTTTTGTATACTCCCATTGGGAAAATAAAGACTGAACTTCACACACTGTATCTATATTGGGAATCAAATCACTGTTTGGTCTGACAAATGTACACTTTAACCCTATTGGCCACATAGAAAATATGCATCATTCCTATATACTATGGAACAAAAGCCCATAGACCTATAAAACACAATTACATATTTATCTATAATTAGAGTCAGGACTAACTTCCTCAGATCTTATTGTTTTTACAAGCACTCTTTTTTCCTCCAAATTACCAATATTTGGGAATCTATTTTCAAAGTTTCCAATATAAGAAATAATTCGCACAGATTATTGTGCATACAAATCTTAAACAAGACTATTCTGTAATAGTAAAACCTTATTAGATTAATAAGATTATCGTCAAAACTGTATGTACATTGTACCAAGCATCACGACGGGGAGTGGCCCAGCATTTACCAACATGTACTATCTGGTATACAACTAGTTAACAATCAAGGAGTGTCAAGTGACTTGGTAAGACTTGGGAATAGCTAAGGGAATAAAACTAAAAACCCTTTCAACTGTCTTTCTGTTTTAAAATTAAATCTGATATAAACAACAGATTACAATGAATATTACTGAGATTCATCATAAAAATCATGTTTTGAGATAAATTCAATTGTTCTAAAACATTTTTAAAACACTGCGCCCATAGAAATATGAGAAACTTGTCCCAATGACAGCATACCCAACAGATTAATGAAGAAGATATACCTTTACATTTGTGAGCATAAAGGATATCCACAAAATTTTGAACTTCCCAACCAATTCTTTCAAAGATGATAATCACCATCCGGTCACAGTGTGGGACCCGAGATAATGACACACATATTAAAAACATAAAATCATTACCGGTAGTTAACCTTCAAGAACATTTTGAAAACTGAGTTTTTGTAAAACCAAAGAAACATCTTCAATTATCCAGTGTATCACATATATCTCCATCTTTATGGCAAATGATTGTGGTCGAAAATAATAATAAAAAATACTAATTCAACATCCAAATTAACATGCAGATAAACTTCATCCAGTGTGTGAGGGTTGTTTGCTGGCTTGAAAAAAGCTGCTGAAGTCACTAGTTTGTAAATGGTAGTAGTATTGTTTTGCTGTACTAAACAGCTATAAATCACATTTATTATATTTTCCTGGGACCATACACATCTCCCCATTTGTCATTTTATTATTTTCTAATTTCAGTTCTTATATGTGGGTCAGTTTTGTAAGGCAACTTATACAATAATAAAAGACCAAAATACTTTGGACTAAGTGAAATGATTGGATAGCTATTTTCAGAGGCCTGTTAGAACGGGATTCCAAATGAAGTGATGGTGGTGAATGGGTCCTGGGTAGTTAGCATGGAGAAATTATACCCTGCATCAATGAGGATGTCCTTGCTTTTATTACTTATTCTGTGATTTAGGAACTAAAATGGACATATCACAGTAAACAACCCTGGCAATACAAAAGGTTTGCCTTATCGTACTCCTTAACATTGTTACAGCACTACGCTTATTTTGTGTGATATTCAACACAAGTCCAAACTTATTTGCACCAGCTCCTAATGGATAAAATATATAAAGGCAGCATTTCATTTGGCATGCAAAATGAGTTCCCATTATGTTGAGACAATGAGATTCATATTAAGAACAAGATGAACACTACACTATCATGACTATCAACATTTATTTACAAATTGATTTGTCTTGAAGTCGTTTCGTGTCCATCATGCAACAGGTGCACCCTAACAGTATTTATTGTCTAAACAGATTCAGTGCTACACTTGGCCGCCTTACAAGTGATTACCATGCAGATATTAGGTTAGAAATGAACTATTTCTTGTTCATCAACCTGTAAAACATTCTCAACATACTTCAATATAGAGAAAAAATATTCAACCACTTAAACACATGTTGCACTTGTTTACATTTGAAACCCAAAAAGCCCACTTGACTGTATATCATCCAAAAAATATTTCAAACACAAACCATTGCTATTTTACAGCCTACATATCACCAACTGTTACTTGTAAAACCCAGACACACAAATCGTTTACAGCATGACTGACCAGACCCCATTAAACAGCCATTAAACTATTGGGAACATCTAAATATTGTTAGAAGACTGAAAATGTGGAGAAATGGTTCACTCAGAATGTCAATACCAGTGTTTAAAATAACAGTGGGTCAAGCTGTCCTCGAGGTTTTCTATGAGTGAGTGAGTTTGTTTTTACACCGCTTTTAGCAATATTCTAGCATTATCACGGCAGGGGGACATCAGAAATGGGCTTCACACATTGTACCCATGGCGGGAATCGAACCCAGGTCTTCGGTGTGATGAGCGAACGTTTCAACCACTAGGCTACCCGACCGCCCCAGGTCTTCTATGATATTTGAATATTAAATGAAGGGACCCCTTAAATTTTAAACATTTAATATTAGAGTCATAACAAGGACGTATTAAGTTTCAGGTTTAATTTTGACCCTTAATACATGAAAAGGAAGCATATTTGAGCTGCAAATTTGTGTCGACAATACAAAAGGCCCTTAAATATACAATTATACAGACCATTAAATGAAATTTTCAAAAATCAAATATTTGTTCAGTGAACTTCAAAAAAAGCTGCCTGAAACTGACATGCAATTGAAAAGTGGTTCACATCATTATGGGCTGGAACAGGGAAGTCATGGTCATAGTGTGGAGACTATATGAATTGAAATGAGCACCTTGTCAGTAGCTGTCACTCTATCAGGAGAAAAAAATAATGAAATCTGTTTGACTGCTATGTGCGTTTTGCTGTGTAGCTGCCATGGTTAAACACTGAGGAGACAACATCCCTGTTGTAGGAGTACCAACTGGTTAAGGCAGACTTATCCTGCTAATCGAAAACAGACTGCCAACTTCAAATGTACAATACAAGTATGTGTGCTATAGCCACACATATAGAAAGAATTAATATTTGGTAAAATTAATTTATGATGATTCCTTATTCACAAGGAAATATCAATGCATAAAACAATTCGTAAGTCATAAAATTATGATAAAATGACATGCCTATTTCTCGAGCAAACAAATTCTTGTTCAATGGGAAGGTGTTTTCTAATGAAGTCCTCAATAACATTTGGATATTTACAAATGCTACATCTAGAATGTCTATACAGTGAATTGATTTATACAATTGCTGTTCATGAAAAAAGGGTTATAATACGATGCCAAAAAGATACAGATGTAAAATGGACTATTCTGTTATGCACCAATCTCTACATTCCACTAATGTAATAAATAGCTTAGCTACATACAATGAATGTAATCTGTACAAGTTGTGTGAAGACACTGTATGAGACCTGGGAACACTAAAACCTGCCTGTCCACAATCAACCCTGGGACCATAATGTTAGGAAAGCTTTAGGAATTTTCTATGTACATTTGTGCATAAAATCTATCAACAATTGCAGTACAGACACTCTCGTTCAAATCAGATCTTTTACTCCGAGATGGTACCCCTCTGTGGGATCTGAGTGAGTGAGTATGGTTTTACGCCGCTTTTAGCAATATTCGAGCAATATCATGGCGGGGGACACCAGAAATGGGCTTCACACATTGTACCCATGTCAGGAATCGAACCCAGGTCTTCGTCGTGACGAGCGAACGCTTTAACCACTAGGCTACCTGACCGCCCCTGTTGGATCTGAAGATACCTCTATAGAAGTAGTAAGGTGAACCCCGAACAAACTTCACTGCCCAGTCTAAATGAAGGTTGCATGGGTTCCTGAACAAAACAGATGTTAACCTTCTAAAACTATTCAACTTCTTTTTTTCACCACCTTGATTTGGAAATTTCAATTTTAGCAACAAAACATAAAAATAGTACACCTTTTATGGTGTAGATGCCTTTGAAGTCATGAACGACAATGTATAAAATATATACAACAATACCTTTATTTTTTGTATTCGGAACTTCATGATCATATTCATTTTTGATACAGAAATCAGATATTTTTTGTCTGAAGGCTTTGCTCATTCGAACCAAGAATTTAGAATGCTTGACACTGGCTTATTAGAAAGTTCACCTGCCACAACCTTCTAAACAGGCATCATCAGATATTCACTTAAAGATGTCGCATCCTCGGAGAAGATCTGATTTTAATGAGACTACAATACAGACAGGATATTACTTTCACTCAACTCAACAGCATTGTACAGTCTGTTGCGTAATTTGAGTTTACCAGTCTAACAAACATAAATTAAAACAATAAAAATTGAAAAACACAAACATTTTCAAAACCTTTCTCCAAAATATTTGAACTAAAGGTCTTATGACTGTCAGATATCTACCATTTACATCATGGTGGACTGTAATGTGTTTGGTTCTACACGAAGCAAGCCGTGAGTATGATGATCAACCATTACCACTCTGGTAGGATGAACATTATATCATTACAATCTGATCTGTTACTCCAATGTGATACCTCTGTGTGTTATGATCTCGTTATACCTCCATTGAAGGTCCCATCAGTTGAACCCTGAGTGAACTCTGACCATCTGATCTAAAGAAGGATATTTGGGTTCCTGAGCTAAACAGATGTCAGGTTTCAAAAATGAATCGGCTTCATTTCTTTACCTTCTTGATTCAGAAATCTTGATTAATATTTTAGAAAGATAACATTTACAAGAATAACGGCACAGCCTTGTTGATTTACTTTCAGAACTTGTTGTTTTAGCTTGTTTTTGAGATACAGAAATCCGATATGCTTGTCTGAATGCTTTAGAAGCCTCAAAACTGATTGGCTGATCAGAAAGGTCACCTGACGCGTGCTCCTAGAGAGGTGTCTCTGATTTTCACGCAGAGAGGTATCATCTTGGAGGAAAATGTTTTTTATTTTAATGAGACTGGTATGACCTAATTAGCCTTGGGCCCTATTTCACAAAAATGTTCTAGTTGAACCAAGCACTCATTGATTCTAAAACTGAGGCTTCCACTATTATGCTATTTTCTGCATCACATATTTTTTCTACACATAACTCCTTCCACACAAACAGCTGAAATGTGGCTGGTCAAAGTACTCAACCCACATCAACCGGAGCTGAAAAACCATCTGCATGAAAACTCAACATTTTCCAAAAAGCAGTGAGCTGTAGAAGATGTGTGACACTTTGATCCCAAGCATGAGATTAAGACCATCACAATGGATGGCTTGCTTTTTGTAGGAAGTGAAAAAGAGTTCTAATATAAAACCGCTTTATGCATAAATTGGCTTGGCTCTGGGCTCTGTGTAACAAATTCACAGGAAATTTCAACATTTACCTAGACATATGACTTGTGACGTGCATTTACATAAGGAAACATACTGGTAGTTATTTCACAGGCGTCATGTGCCAAAAAGGAAATCCATTTGACATGAAGGTCACATGATGATCTACATCTGCCAACCTAGGTGTAGGTCAATGACGATCTCTAACAGTTATGATCATAGTACTCAATTGCTTTGTGAAAAAGGGCCCAAGGCAACAAAAGAGTAGGGTCTTTCTCGTGGTCAACTGACCAAGTACTAGCTGCCCTCTACAGTCATCGTGACCACAACCCCACAATGACCTCGCGTGTCTCCCATGACCTAGTGTGACCTTTGCCACAAGGGTTAAAGGTAAATGGTCCAGCTGTGCAGGCCTCAAAGTTGCAACTTAGTCGCCATGGTGATTGAAATTTCCACTTGGCGACCAATATTTTGAAGCAGTCTCCACTTGGCTACTTCGAAAGATCAAGCTGGCGACCTGATATAACTAACTGTATAGTACAGGAAATACAATACATTGATAAATGCTGATTGGCTGAACAAATATTTCATTTTAAAAAACCTAAAAATCAACTGGGAATTATGAGGTAAAAATTAATCAATAATCTTGTCTAGTATTTACAACTATGTAAATAACAACAAAGGTTGTTACACAAAACGTAGGAATCAGTATTGCTGCAGTTAGGCAGATTAGGTATGCTGTAACAGCATCATACATTACTGACACTGAAATTTGGCTTCTTCATTTTTCACCTGGCTTCTTAAACGTCACATGGCTCCCTGACAACAATTGCTAGGAACCAATGGCTCCTAATGACAAGAATAAACTTTGAGGCCTGCGGTGAAATGAGGATGCTACATACATCTCAAGATGACTTAACACTTGCACCCTATCAGTCCCCATAGCAACACTCACACTTCACAGACCCCAGCACGAAATAGTTATTGTTTGATCTGACAAATGAATACAGCGAGGATGCAAAAGGCTGTACGAATCATTAAAACTTCGTTATTAGCATCATGCATGATAACATTACCTGATATTTCTTACTGAAAATATAATGCAACAGAAGATAAGTCTGTCCATGTCCGTTTCTTCACTAAATCACCAAGTTTCCCATCAAGGATATCACCATGCCAAACGCCATGACATCACTAAAGTTCATGTAAGTGTGTGACACATGTCGCCTCCTGTTGACATCAAGTAGGTCACAGCCATGCCCAGGACCCCCAAAACTATAACTGAGAGTCCCCTGGAGTCACAACTAGAAAGCTCAGGTAAATCCCTTGGGAGTATTGCTTCTAATGGTGATTTGGCTGCCCATTGGGATCTGTGTGAAGAACGACAACATGGCCATTTTGTTTACCTGAGTATGATGAGATAGTGAGGGAGGAAGATCACTGAGGTATGATAGTGAGGTGAGAGTTTGACGAAGGCAATGTGTTAGTGAGGGAGTTATAGGAGGAAGTTCTTCTCATTGTTGAGGTATGTCTAGACAGTGTGGTGAGAGTTTGATGGAGGTAATGAGTTAGTGAGGGAGTTTTAGGAGGAAGTTCTTCTCATCGCTGAGGTATGACTCGATAGTGTGGTGAGAGTTCGACGAAGGCAATGAGTTAGTGAGGGAGTTATAGGAGGAAGTTCTTCTCATTGTTGAGGTATGTCTCGATAGTGCGGTGAGAGTTCGATGAAGGCAATGTGTTAGTGAGGGAGTTATAGGAGGAAGTTCTTCTCATCGCTGAGGTATGTCTCGATAGCGCGGTGACATTCAACTGTGCTCCATCTCTCCAGCAGTAAGTTACACTCTGTCTCATTGGTCAGTTCCAGCTTAGTGCGGTGGTGACTGCGAATCAGGAGTTTTGTTGCTTCCATCGCCTGAAGAAACATCAAATATACCATGTATACATTCAACTGCCAACCAAAATTATCACAGCATTCATTTAGTGTTTTTATTATTATTAGATAACATTGGGTAGGTCAAAGTAAATACCGTATTTGCTGTAATAAGCGCCCACTGTGATATTTGCTATATTGGTTAGTGAACAATTCCAATTAGCACCCCTTCCATTTGATCAATGTTCACAAGACTTATTTATACGTGTATAATACAAACTCGTGTGTTATATGCACCCTCAATTATGGGCAATTAAATTCTGGAAAAGTATATCTGTCGTATATAAACATTTCAGCTTGTCACCATAAACCATGAAATTTACAATCTATCACCAAAATAATATTCTAATAAGAGTCCCCTATTTCTAATTTTGAGAGCGCCCTGTTTTTTCTATTTTGTATTGCATTATGTAGTTCAATTGGTTTAGTCAGCAATGATGAGGGGAGAAAAATATGCTAAATTTGTTTATCAATGTTTATAATGGAGAATGTTTATTATTTCACATCAGCAAGTATACACATCTGTCAGAGTGAGTGAGTAAGTATGTTTTTATGCCGATTTGGGCACTATGGCAGCAACATCACTGTGGGGAACACCAGTAGTGGGCGTCACACATTGTACCCAAATGGCGAATTGAATCAAAGTCCTTTGTGTGATGTGCGAACACATTGACCACTAGGTTACCCAACCGCCCACATCAGACAGAGAAGAGTTTGAACTTCTAAAGGTCTTTGCAGTTGTTATAGACGATCCTATACATGTTTGCGTTGGTTGATTGTCTGTTGTTTTAAGCCACACTCAGCAATAGTCCAGCTATATCACACAAGCCTCACTCATACAGATCTTTATTTACTGATGGAATGCAGGCATCAACTATATATGAACTCTACTGCAGCAAATAATCCACACACATGCTACAAATCATTTAGACATGTATCACAGTGACATGGCAAACACTTCCAAACACATGTTTGTATCACAAAGATGTTGAGAGGACATCATTAAGCCTATCAGTGATTTACTGTTCACTAACTGATCAACTTCACACTAACTAATGAACATTAAAATGAAAATGTTCACTGTTCAAAGTTGAAAAGGCTTGTTACGTTAGTCAAAGTGCAAACACTGTGAATATTCACTGAACAGCAAAACTTTAAGTTTGAACAGCTTCATATAGCATATTAAATCTCTTATTATTCATGTTGTTTTACATATTACTTGTTATGTAACGTGTTTTATGCATCACAATACATGGGTTGTCAATTGCTGTATTGAGGGCTTGTATCGGGATACATACTGTATTGCTGTATCAATACACCACTACTGAGCAGCACATGAACACACACAAATTAGAAGACACTTGAAACAGCATTTGAATCAGAATCATTTCTAAACCAAGTCTTACTCATTGGCTAAATTTACCAAACAAACTGACCCAAGAGAGTCAAAAATATATTGAATGTACAAAGAAAACAATCAATACCCATATAGGACCACATGTGGGTAAGTACTCAACAACTCAAAACATTATCTGGAGCCCAGCACAAAGAAGAAAGAGTGCTGTGCTTATGAAATTACATTAGACTTTTTTATTATTCACTCATTACCCAAACGAAGAAACACCCAGCTGCAAGGTCTCAAGAGCTATCACCACTCTAACCTGTTTGCTTGTTCTTGATCAATTATTGCAATGGCTACTATGGTTACTGAGGATAGACTATATGTTATTTCTTGGTTTAATGATGTTTTAGTGACAAATCCTGGTCTGTAGATGGGAGAAGACATTGCAGCTTATCCAAAAATTACCTGAAGTTGTTTCCATATTAAGTTTTAGTAAAGTTTACCAATTGTATGCTCAATATTTGTGGTTGAGAACTTGTTAGATGGAATTAACGCATTTCAATTGAAAAATGGGTTTTTCAGATTAAAAACGATGTTTTATTGGTCTGTTTTCAGTCGTACAAATGGGTATCTCTCATACCCTCACGTCTAGTCGCACGTTTAGAGGAAGCCAGAAGCTGGAATGTAAACATTAAACTTGTTTCCGTCCGGTTGCGCACGCACCTCCCTATGACATGTCACAAATCTCGAAGAATAAGCCATCAAGCAGGACTGGACTGGATTACTTCCCTGTGGGGATGGCTGGGTGGGAACGTAGACTGAAAACAGACCAATAAAACATCGTTTTTAATCTGAAAAACCCATGTTTTAGTCTGTTTTCAGTCGTACAAATAGGTAGAATTCGACGGAACACTGGAAGGAGGGTCGGGAAAGTAATCAGGCAGTGACCACTTTCACGTCGAATGTACCAAGTTCCTCACCCCTGTAGTGACAATAGAACATTCGACCAGATGCATGGACGAGACAAGTTGTTTATCACGAACGCACAGCATGGTTAATGCTCTTCGACACACAACTAATTACCGATGCGACAGGCCAACTGCACGCGTCAGTTGAACTGCGATCGAAGTGTGGTCGACGAATAGTTTAGTTACAGAGCAACTCGCAGTATACAAGGTAACTAAAACAGCATGTTTAATGCTCTTCGACTCACAACTAATTATCGAAGCGACAGGACAACTGCACACGTCAGTTGAATTGCGATCGAAATGTGGTCGGCGTATAATTTAGTTACAGAACTCGCCGTAGACAAGGTAACTAAAATAGCATGGGTAATACTCATCGACACACAACTAATTATCGATGCGACAGTACAACTGCACACGTCAGTTGAACCCGGATCGAAGTGAGGTCGGCGCATAATTTAGTTACAGAGCAACTCGCAGTATACAAAGTAACTAAAAAATACGAGCAGTACTATAATGTATGGGAAGACGATGCATACACCGAATAACCATAATAAAAAGCAGAAGTACTGCACGCAACAAAAAAACATAAGAATGCGTACATTCACCAACAGCTTTTATTGTAACCTGTAGTATGTCACGAAGTGTCGAGCAAAAACTCCAAAGTGAATAAAACACGAATTCACTGTCTTTTCTGAGAGATCTGTTGTGCCACCACGAGTGGACCAAACTGTTTGAGTCCTTCAACCTCTTCTGTGGAGATATCTCTAAGATAATGCGAAGCAAACACTGAAGTAGATCTCCAAAAGCAGCCCTCCATAATAGCTTGTAGCAAACAATTCCTGTGGAGTGCTAATGTTGAAGCGAAGGCTCGAACTTCGTGCGGATGAGATGAGGTGGGAGGTGCGAGTCCTTGCGCCTCGCAAGCTCAGAGAATTACCGCTCTCAACCAAAATGAGAGAGTATTACGTGTAATCTCTTTCTTTGCATTGGTTGAGAGCGGTATGAACAGTCGTCGAAAATGGTGTCGTCGCTGTTCAGGACGCTGCAGGTAAATACGAAGCGCACGAACTGGGCACAAGGTGAGATCAGCGTGATCACGAGGGCCCATAATGGCAGACAAGGAAGGAATGTTGAACATTCTCGGATCTTGGCCAGGAAGTTAATTTTTCGCTAAAAAATCCCATCGGAGACCAAGATGGACGTTGCCATGGTTACGCTGATCGAACGTAATCCGACCGACGTCAATGGCATGTATTTCCGTAATTCTCGCAGCCGTAGCCAGCGAGAGAAGGAAAAAACGTTTTCTGAGACAATAAGTCGAACGCGACCTTATCGAGAGGCTCGTAAGCCTGACTAGACAGGTTGCGCAGAATGACATCGAGGTCCCAGGCCGGCGGTCGGAATTTACGTGACTGATCTTCAACCATGAAGGCACGTACAATCTTCTGCAACTCCGGTACGTTAGTGAGCTTGTCGCCCGTAGGAGACGGCACTACTGAAGCCAAAGCTGCCAGATATGTCGAGATCGTCAACCCTTTCAGACGCCGAGATGACCGGAGAGAGACTAGGAACTCCCCCACCTGTGGTGGGGTCGCTACCGCCGGTTTGAAGCCATGAGACCTGGCGAAAATGGAGAAAGTGGTCCACTTGTCATCTTACAGCTTACGAGTCGTAACTCGATGTGCCGACGAGACAAGCGCTGCCGCTTTAGCCGAATAGCCTTTCTTCATTAACGAGGTCTTAAGCAAACCCAGGCGTGAAGCTGGAAGTTCTTTATCCCCGGATGCAAGTCGTCGGTGTGAGGATGAAGAAGGAGGTCGTCTCGATCTGGCAATGGGAACAGTGGTTGAACGATGATCTGAAGAAGTTCCGGGAACCATGTTCTGGCCGGCCAATAAGGCGCGACCAAAAGCAGACGTAGGTTGGCCGTTTGACGAACTTTCACCAGTTGCGATGGTAACAGCACCGTTGGTGGAAACGCGTAAGCGTCTGGACCCCCCACGATAATGCTAGAGCGTCGTGGTCCCATGCCCATGGGTCTGGAACCGGCGACACGAATCGAGGGAGGCGGTTGTTGTACGGGGCAGCAAAGAGATCTACTTGGGGCAACCAGAGTCGATCTGTCAGCAGATGAAAGACTGTCGGATGGATCATCCACTCCGTGGGAGACGGCCTCGATGGTCTCGACAGGGCGTCGGCAATCACATTCTTGTACGCCCATGTCCAAGTCGTCGACGAGGGCGAAGAACCTGAATGTCCGGTCCAGAAGGGCCGCCGACTGAGTTGTTCCCTGTTTGTTGACGCAGTGGACGACTGTGGAGTTGTCCGACTGTATCATCAGCCGTTTCCGACGGAGTCGAAGTTTCCAAAACTCGACCGCCCGAATCACTGCTTCCATCTTGAGGTAGTTGATGTGGAGGACCTTTTCTACTGGCGACCACCGCCCGGCCGCTTGGTCGTCCCCGAAGTGCGCTCCCCAGCCTTCCAATGACGCGTCTACGAATAGGTGTAGTATGAACGGAGGCTCGCTCATAAAGACGCCCTCGCAAACGTTCGACGGCTGGAGCCACCACTCCAAATGACAACGTAGCTGCGCCGGAAGTGGAACCAGGAGATTGGGAAACTCCAGGTGGGGGTACAGCAATCTCTGCAGCGGACGAAGTTGAAGACGACCTCGACGGGTCAAGTCTTGGGCCGATGTCAACAGACCGAGGACTTCCTGCCACGTGTGCACCGACGACGAGGCATGTAGACGTCACGGAACGCTGCTGACAATCTTGTCCCAACGGTCTTGAGGTACCTGGACCAGATTGACTCCCGTCTGGAAGCGTATCCTAATGTACTGTAGAACCCGAGGTGGTACCAAGTCCGACTTTTGAAAGTTGACGATCCACCCGAGGTACCGTAGTAGACTCAGGGTGGTCGCCAACTCACCTTGAAGGGCTACTGTAAACTGGTGAGCTTGGAGCCCGTCGTCTAGGTAGAAGGCGACCCTGATCGCATGCCGATGGAGCCATTCTACGACCGTCTTCATGATCCTTGTGAAAAAGCACGGGGCCGTAGAAATTCCAATCGGGAGGGCCGCCCACTGGTAATGAATACCTTGGCATTCGAATCGGAGGTACTTCTGGAACTCGGAAGCTATTGGTACATGTAGATACACGTCCTGAAGGTCTAACGAGACGAGGAAGTCGTTCGGTAATATCATCCGACGCAGAGAGCTGAGGGATGTCAAGGTGAATGTGTCGGGTGGTTGGAGGTATGTTTCGTTGAGGAAAACCCACTTGTGGGCATAGTGACGAAGTCGCCCCCCTACCGGTAGTGTCACCGGGGGAGACTCCAACCACGGCGACGGCGGGGGAAGGGACCTCACTTCCTCCCCCGCTGGTACTTTCCCCCTCTGGGAAACTTGGAAAAGGAGACCTGGCGACCTTTCCTGTCAGAATCTCCCTTGCGGGACGGCTGTCGAGGCACGTCCCTACGGAAGGCCCGTTGCACATTCTCGTTTCGGTAACGTCGTCGTGGGGCGTTCGAAACCGGTGGCCGTCTGGACAGGTTGGGTGAAGCCGAAATGATGATGTCACGCTCGGCTTCCCTGGAGTACTTGTCCAGAACGTCGTTGGTACGACCGTCGAACAACTGTTGCGATGTCCACGGGGCCCGTAAGAGTGACCTGCCATGACGATCAGGTAGGTCAGTGCAGTCGATGTAACCATGGCGACGTAGTAATCTGTCCCGATACATATCGGGACTGGGCGAGGACGTCCTAGATCCACCGTTGCATACAGGTGAGGACCGATGGCACCGTCCTGTCGTCCTCGTCCTGGGGTTCTTTCACCTCAAAGTACACTGAGAGGGCCTTGATCGCTGTCGACAGCATAGCAAGCGTTTGCAGCTGGTGACGAACAGCAGTGCCCATGGATTCCAAATGTGGAGGGTGCTGGTCTCTTGAAGAGTAGCCCCCAGTCCAAATCCCTAGTCATGGGTGACGAAAACGGCATGCCATAGATCGGGTAACGAGATCGACCAGGCGGCTTGCAGAAGCTCTGCCCAGGCAGAGCAGAGCCAAAGTTCTGGTCCATATCGTGAGCCATGGCTCTGAAGACATCGGGAGGAGAAAACTGAAGAGACTGCGGTGTATCTCCGACCTTAAAGCCCGCACGCGTCAGGTTGTCATCGTTCTTTGCTGGCTGTCGTCACAATCCATCGTCGACGTCGAGTGTGGAGGCGTAGATGAAGGAGCTGCTGTACTAGTTGACGGGCCATGGACCCCTGACGTAGACGTATCCTTCTTGGTCGACGCCGTCGAGGCGAGGACCGCCGCCGTGATCTGGGCTATCAAAGCCGGATCGATATGAAAGTGAGACGAGGTCGTCGTTCTGTCACTATCGTCACTACGACGCTGAACCCCCAAACTCTCCCTGCGAGAACGTCGCACGTCCCCGTGGGGACGAGGGCTACTATCTCTAACTGTAGAAGTACTACGATCCACATCGTAGAATAGTTGACGGGCCATGGACCCCTGACGTAGTCGTATCCTTCTTGGTCGACGCCATCGAGGCGAGGACCGCCGCCGTGATCTGGGCTATCAAAGCCGGGTCGATATGAAAGTGAGACGAGGTCGTCGTTCTGTCACTATCTTCACTACGAAGCTGAACCCCCAAACTCTCCCTGCGAGAATGTCGCACGTCCCCGTGGGGATGAGGGCTACGATCTCTAACTGTAGAAGTACTACGATCCCCATCGTAGTTATCGTCCGAATCGTACATTCGACGACCACGATGACGATGAACGCCCTCGTGTCGTGTACTGTCTCTCGACGAGGCACTCATCCTGTCGTCCCGACTTGAACGGGAACGACTTCTGTGTCCACTGTCGTCCCGCACGACGTCCCTATCGTCGTTGGTAGAACGAGATGCGGACCGACTGGGGACCGTAGTCCCCTCATGGTCCTCGTCACCATCCGGTCCCGTCGTAACGGGGGAGGCCGAGTGACGCTCTCGATCAACCGAATGACGAAGACCAGTCGTGCGGGTAGTATCATCAGCAGGCGAATGGTCACGTGTCTTGTCGAAAACTGAAGTTGACTGAGGCGGGTCTTTTTCAACTGATTTCTGAGGTGTGGTCGACTCGCCACCCCCAGGGCCTGATGCGGAGGGTGCAGAGTCCAAGGATCCAACCGATGACCATCTCCGCTTGTAGCGCTGGCCAGCGGCCCGCTTCGCCAACGCACGAAGATACATAGTTAAAGTTTATTGAAGACAAGTTCTCACATTTTTTACAACGTTTATTCCACGAATACGTTGAAAACCCGTCCTTAATGATGCAGGAAGGACAATACTTGTGAGGGTCTACTTTAGACAGTTTTCGTTGACAAGAGGCACAAATGCCCGACATATTGCCACGTGTAGAATCACTGTCAAACAGCGAAACACGCGTTGAACACAAACAATGGATTACCAAGGATTACATTCCAGGAGTCTACAGGTAAGACATATTATGACTTTATTAGAACAACTGTAGATAAGCGATAAGTACTAGTAGAATACAAACTAGCAGTCTACCGCGAAAGACTTTCTCGAGCGACCAGCGCAGAGGCGCGCTGAGAGATTTGTGACATGTCATAGGGAGGTGCGTGCGCAACCGGATGGAAACAAGTTTAATGTTTACATTCCAGCTTCTGGCTTCCTCTAAACGTGCGACTAGACGTGAGGGTATGAGAGATACCCATTTGTACGACTGAAAACAGACTAAAACATATGCTTTTCACATTATTACTTTTTACCACTTTTCATGTTTTACACTTAACATACCTAGTCTGCAGAATCTGTAAAATAAATTAAATAAATGTATCAGCTGGAATGGATATTCCTATGAAATTCAAAACCCCCTCACACATCATCCCAAGTATCGGCTACTGGGATCCAGTGTGTGTTGTACACCAATGACGGGCTCACCTTGGCGGAGTACATGGACATGTGTTGGACCCGGGGTATGACCTCCTGCATCACACTGGTCGGCCAGAACACCTGCGACACCAGACCCAGCTGGTACGCCTCCATTGCAGTGATCTTCCGGCCAGCAAACAGCAGCTCATTACTCTGGTAGGACAAGTAAAATCATAATTATCCATAAGAACATGATCACATGCAGCATTTGTAATTCAGGGGGTCCTGGGGTCCAGCCATAACACTATATGATGCTGACAAACCAAGCATAATAACCATGGCAAATCTGATACTGATCGATCCTGACAAAGCTTAGGGCAGCAACTCTGTAACTTGAGCCCTGCTAGAAAGTACACCTTTACCAAATGTCATGACACTTTGAAAGGAATGAGTGAGTGAGTTATGTTTAACGCTGCTTTGAACATTATTCCAGTTATATCACGGCGTGTCAGCTTAATGTGGGAGGAAAGCCCGAAGTGATGCAGGTCTCAGACGTTTACCACTTCTGTGAAACCCACGAGCATGGTTATGGTGCTGACAAACCTAGAAACATAATTGGGGCGAACCGGGATTCGATCCCACAATCATAGGTTTCTGATGTGCCCAAAGGTCGCAACTCTGCATAGCGAATCGCTGCGCCTTAGACGACTGGGCCACCCATGTCCCCTTTTGAAAGGATTAGTCTGAGTAATGGCCATAACAACTCTCAGCTTTCTGCATGTTTGAAGTGGAAAGGAGAAATCAAGGTCAAAACTTAAAATATTGCAAGAAATGGAACATGTGCAGCCCCACTACTAACAAAACACATACCAAATTTCATTATTTTGTTTGTTTGTTGTTTAACGCTGCACTCAGCAATATTCCAGCTATATGATGGCGGTCTGTAAAATATTCGAGTCTGGACCAGACAATCCAATGATTGACATCATGAGCATTAATCCACGCAATTGGGATCGATGACATGTATCAACCAAGTCAGCGAGCCTGACCACCCGATCCAGTTAGTCGCCTTTTACGACAAGCATAGTTGCCTTTTACAGCAAGTATTGGTTGCTGAAGACCTATTCTACCCTGGAATTCATTAAATTTTGAACACAAATGGCCTAGTAATGATAATAAAACAATTTTTCAATATGGCTTCTAGTCACCACAGATAATTGGAAGCTATTCCCTGTGAAGCCTTCTGAACCTGCTCAGGTGCTACCTACCACGGCAAGTCCAACAGCAAGAGGTAGTGTGAATGATATGCATCCCTCCGGTGTCTGAGACAGTTGGGAGTAGGGGAGGTAGAAGAGTGCCTTGTCACTAGCATAGATTACATCACAGAGAGGTAGGATGGCCATGCCCAGGCCTATAGCTGGGCCAGGAACAGCTGCCACGATCGGCTTCGGGAACGTGATGAACGTCTTAATCAGATCTCTAGGAAGCAAAAAGAACACTTCAACCAACAGCACAAGTATTAATGTATTTGTCTGAACTTGCTGAAGTTTGAAGGCCACAAAATATTTCATCTTGTGTATCAGATCTTGTGGGCATTTGTTTTAACATGGTCAAAATTGAGTTTCAAAAATCAGTGTATTCATAAACAAATGCACACCTTGCCTATCACTGACAACTATTTTCAGGTAGAGACAAAATACAAATGACAACATACATGATACAGTCATGACTAAATAAAAACCATACAGGTCTGACTATCTAACACACAGAGTCTGGTGGTTTGGACATGGTATTTCCTAAAGTTCTCTTATTAGAAACACAAATGGGGAATGTTTTCACATAAACATTAAAAATCATGCTAGTAAGAGTAGATACAAATGGCCATTATTGCATTTATCAGAGGTAGAAAATAACCAATGACTGAGGGTTCTTATGATAATGAGCTCAAACATCGGCTCAAGACATCCCAGCTTTTAGCTTATTTTTGTCTCCTGCCTCTTCCTGCTCATAGATGCTGACCCAGAAAACAACAAGAAGATAAATACTTTCAAATGCCAACCAAAGACTTGAAAGAAGATAATCTGGTCTCGAAGACACTGACCTGACAGCATCCACCATCTGCCTAGCTGCAATTCTCCGGTCCCCGGTCGTGAGGAAGTTGAGATCAATGCCGGAACAGAAGACATTGCCGATGCTGCTCAGCATCACCAGGTTGCTGTCATCATATTTGGCGGAGTTGAGGGCGGACACAATCTCATGGACAACCTGAACATAACAATGGTGGTTAGCTGTACAGTTTGTTACAGGTAGAGAGGTCGTATGCATGTAGTGCACATGCAGGTCATGATGACGAAATTGACTATGCTCCTGTGGACACACGTGTTGCTCATGAGACTAATAGAGGTTGGTGTGGCAAGTCTATACCAGAATTCTCTAAAAGTCGTTTGATAGAAGTCAAAAGCTAGATTGCCACTGAACTGTCTGTATCCATGCTAAAGCAGAAGGTATCGCTAGTCACAAAGACCACTAGAACTTGTTAGCTGAGACAGGACACGCACATATCCATCGTACTACTTGTCGCAGACCACCAGCTACCCCTTTCTTCACAATGGAATGCACCAGTGGGTGGACCTCATACATAGTCATACGGAGTTCAACAAGGGTTGAAAATGGACTTTTACAGTCAGTTAACTCCCTTGCCTCGGGAAGATGAGCGCCTCATTGCAGCCTGGCAATTTTTTATTCCAAACATTATTTCAACACACCTTCTGTGGGGAGTGCAGGTCAGAATAGGCCCCTCAACCTTGCAACTTAGTTAATCAGGCGGTCAGGCTGGGTGGCCATAATATCACTTGCCTCTGGAAGATATCAGGACCCACAAATTTGGAAGCTTCAGACCACGACTCAACTCATCAGGCCCTCATTAAAAGAAACTGCTTATTATTGACAAATAAGTCGACACACAAATTTACTGTGGGCCATAAGGAGCCATAAGGTCCCGACACATGATCCACCTGCCACAGGCCTATGGGCAGGTGCTTCTTTCCAACACTGCCCTGTTTAACCAGCTAACCATGTTAATCATAAGTCTGGCATGTCTATGTCAAAGCATTGGCCATAATTGCACACATGGCTTCATGACCTTATTAAGCCTATTCACCCCATGAGGCCCTGACTAACAGTCACACGGGTGACTTACCTGTGGATCAATAGCATTCTTAAGAGCTGTGTGAGTATTCAGCCAGATCTGTGTGTAGCCATCACACTTCTTCACCACGATCTGCTTGTAGCGGAAGGCGTACTCCGTCGTGCGGACACTGATGCGACGCTCCACCTTCTCCTCGGCCTCGCTCTCCACGGCCTTCTTGTTCTTCCTAGGATGCATCTGCATGGGGAGATTGGCCAGCAGGGCCTTATAGGAGATGGAGGACGGGCTGACCGGCATCATGCTCTGTGACAGAGGGAACGTAGGGATGTCCCCATAGTACTTGTCCAGCAGGAATGAGGAGCCAGGCATAGCTGTCCGGACAGGGGCTGTGATGGGCTTGACTGACGAGAAGTAAGGCAACGCTGGATCTAGAAATTGTAGTTGACATGGTTAGCACCTGTGACGATTGTGTGATTCACTATCTTGAGCATGTTGATGATTAGAATTCTGTTTATAATATTTTGATTACCACAGATAACTAGCATAGCCAACTTAGTTTCCATTATCAGTGTTAGAAATTATCCATGAAATTTCAAGGGATCCTTGCCATTGTTCATCATAGCCCTAATGTTAAAGACATAGAAGGTCCCAAGATTCAAATACTATGGCAGAAAGTCTAAAGACCCCAGGACCCTCTTAATTTCTAACACTGATGATCATAACTGAAGTTGGTAATAGACAATGATAGACAACTCCAGTCAGCAGACGAGTAATGTTTTTTCAAAATAATCTCATTCATTAATGAGCAGCAATTCTCCCAAAACCCAGATCCTCATAAAAAAAGCAAATGTCTCTATTTTAAACCATGGTTATACAGTGACATGGAAGGATATTTTCTTCATGACCTTTGATCAACATATATGGGCCATTTTTGGTAAGTATGGGCCATTGATCATTTTAATGGACAATAACTGCAACAGAACTTAAAAAACAATTGCAACTGAATATAGCACATTACTGTTAACGTTAAAAAAACCCGAACAATATTGTATGAATGAGTACCGATGTGTTGACAAAGATGATGACAAACTGGTGATTCAGTGGTCATGATGAGAAATTGTGATTTGTCAGTCAAAGTATATCTGGTGATGAAGGTAGGAAAACTATTACACATGCAGGCTACATACTGTATATATTAGGTGCCATTATCATGATTATGACTTTCCTAATCACAATTTATACATTATGGCAACAAAACATTACTTATACCAAGTTCCTACTTACCTGAAGGATTCATAACCCCTTTCTTTTTCTTCACCGAGTCTATCAAAGACAGACGCCGCTTCACCGTTTTACCATCCGAATCATGCTCCCACTTCGATTTCATCTTCTCCACAACTTTCCTGTCTCCATGCTTAACCTTGTCCTTAGGTTTATTATTTCCCATCGTGGAAGCGACCTCGCCCTTCACACAAGGCATGTCCGTAACCACGTCATTCAGAGAATAAAGAATATCTTCATCACTGTCCGAGTCAGAGTGAATTTCAATCTCTTGTGCATGTTTTCTCTTCACCCCTTTCTTGACTAGCACTTCCATTATATCATTGCCTGCACTAACCTTGGCCTTTTGGGGGAAACTTTTTGTATTCTTCCCTATATTAAGCTTCTTAACATCACCTGTGCTTTGAAGTTTTATTGATTTAGTATTGCAGCTTCCTTCCAATTTAACCTTTTTAACTTTGTCCTTCGAGTCAGATTTCTTGTGTTTAGACTTATCCTGATTGACTGTCTTTTTCTGCTTCTCATATTTATCTTTGACAGATTTCTTCAGCTGTGCAGATTTTGCCTTTTTACCACAGTCTGATTTGGATGAAGCCTTTTTTGCTATAACAACTTTAAGCTTCTTAACTTTCTTTCCATCTGAGGCACATTTAAGTAATTGCTTTTTTCCAGACTTATTCTCCTTGTCTGATTTACATGTTTTCACCTTAAAAGTCATCTCTGACTTATTTTTCACCTGTTTGCTTTTCTTCACCAGTCCTTGTGCAATTTTTCTTGCTTTCTCCTTCACCTTCTTCTGGGATTGATTCTTCTGGTTGTTTTCTTCAAACTGTTTCAGTAGTTGTTTACATGAACCCAGATTGACTAACGGCTCCCATGTGTCGAATTCCGGGCTTTGGAATCCCTTCCACTTGATTCGGTACTCAGCCACGCCATTAGTCTGCCTCTTGCAGAGGATCCTTTCCACCTTACAAAAGATATCCAAATTCAATGACACCACGCAGTGTTGAGAATGTTAAGGCAGACACAATTACTGGATAACAACTTCTTTATTTTACTGTAAAAGTGATGTTTCGGTATAGATGTTTACATGGTTCGCTTGACGGTTGTTATCCATAAATTGTGTCTACCTGTCATCCGCCAACTTTTAAGAAATAGTGACACCACTTGGTGAATGAGTGGGTGTAATGCTGTTTAAACAGTCTTTCAGTTATATCATGGTATGTCAGCTTGTAACTTATGTAAGGAGAAGTGACTAATGGGATCGGGTGGTCAGGCTTGCTGACTTGGTTGGTGCATTTCATTGTATTCCATTTGTGTGGATCAATGCACATGATGTCAACCACTGGATTGTCTGGTCCAGACTCATTTATTTACAGACCGCTGTCATATAACTGGAATATTGGTGTGTTAAACAATGACAATAAGCATGATGAGCTAAATAAAAATGATAAAAGAGAATTTTGTTTTTTACCCAGATTGAAAGTATGAGGTAACAGATTGAAACTCTTTAACAAATTGCCACTATAGTTTTACAGAGCTCCAGATAAGCTTTTGGTGTTGTGGGTATTTTACCCATGCATTTTAAAATCATTGGGTATCAGTAATTCTATCTGGGTATTCAAATTTCTGTTACCTACTAGTTTTTACACATGTGGGTATTTAAGTTAAATATTTAAAAACGCTATTCATCTAGTTTCTGCAAACTGGTGTCGTGTGGGTTCAAGAGCTTTATCATGTTTATAGGACTCAAAAATACCACAATACTTCCACAAGAAAGTGTGATGGCAAATGATCACGATGTAACTGTCATCGTGGAGTTTGGCAAGGTTGACGGAATGCCCGTTTATAATTTCAAAATAAGTTGCTGATTTGCTAATCGAATACACAGGGTTACTTCACAATATTTTGATGATACGCACGTTTTATTTTTGTAGCGTATCTGTAATGTTAGTTGCGATTCGATACGCTTGGATTTTATTTTACTGCGTATTTCTGCATTTCTGATGCGTATTTCACGCAGGTACGCAGCTTATCTGGAGCTCTGGTTTTATCATTACATCAGAGTTAATGATGCATTGAGAAAAGGTCTTGTTGAATTTGTGTTAAGCTGACAGTCTGCTTGGAATGTTCCTTTTGTATACCACACGTACCTTTGCCCAGGGAAGCGTAATGTTGCTATGTTTAGCATTGTTTAGAGATTTGGTTTCTCGTATCAAATACAACTCAAACAAATGAGATATAAAAGTTGGAAATCTGATCCTGCACCTCTAGTATGTTTAGGCCACACCAACCATATTCATTGCTTTAATACATCCTTATTTGTTATCACCATTTTCTCCCTGTGCTGTTATACAAATAACTGGAAATTCAAGTACATTGTACTAAAGTGCAACTTTATCTACTAGTCCAACACCTGTTTAGTCACATGTCTCATGGTCTTGTAAGATCACCTGGGTTTTACCTTGACTAACAAAAGTGACGGTCCATGGAACCCTGAGTAATAATTTTAAAGGCCCATGCAGGCAATATGAGTGAGTGAGTTGGGTTTATCGCCGCTTTTAACATTATTCCAGTTATATCATGGCGTGTCAGCTTAATGTGGGAGGAAAGCCCAAAGTGATGCAGGTCTCAGACGTTTACCACTTTTGTGAAACCCACGAGCACGGGTATGGTGCTGACAAACCTAGAAACATAATTGGGGTGAACCGGGATTCGAACCCACAATCATAGGTTTCTGGCGTGCCCAAGGGACACAACTCTGCACAGCAAATCACGGTGCCTTAGACGACTTGGCCACCCGTGCCCCCCAGGCAATATGAGGGTCCTGTAAAGTAATGAAATGGTGTAGTGTACTGTACATCATGGTACATGTTGATAATTACTTTAGTGTCTGGAATGATTCAATGATCTTGTGGACAGTGGTCATGATTGATGGATGAAACAAGACACCCATAACTGCTCTTGATGTGCTGTAGGTACAATGAATATTATTGTACATCCTCGGGGCGCAGAATATTCTTTTTCTGTGTCCAATCTCAACATTTGTGCGTACTGTATGGTCACTTGTGCAACGTGTAAAACCCTGTATCAGGTTGTAATAGTCCATATACTATGGATAAAATCTACTGAAAACAAACACGAAACACTCATATCCCCCACCAATATGACATGTCCAGTTGTGTGCAAGGCAAGAAATGTATTGTACGGTTTTCAAGATCTGCTCCAGAAACGAGCACTACTGCTATTTTCAGTCTAATACAAAGTTGTTGCTTTGGAAACTCTAAAAAATTAATTTTTCAAAACCCAAAGTATGAAAAAGCACCAGTTCACCACTAGACTAGTTTTGATATCTGCTCATGATTTTTGAGTTCAACTCCGGAAAAGAAATGTGACGGACAGCATCTATTCCTATATCCCCCTTCGTGGTTGGGGATAATACTGCCAAAAATAAGTTTGGATTAGTAGACTGAAAGGTTTTGACAGGTTAGCTTTGACGATTGCGAAACTATGTGCAAATATGCATAGTCTGATAGTAGGAAAAGTTTGGGGTCGATTTCTGTTTTTGTACAAATTCCAAGGCTTTTCAAGCTATTTTGGTGATTGTCAAGGTCAACACTAAAATCAAGACTTTCAAAGAGGAACCTAAGGCCTTTTCAAGCCTGTATGAACCTTGGTACCTTTAGTATCACATTTTTTATTCATTATAATGAATAGGAAATGCTTTTATGAATTTGTTGACTGCATAAATGCACAAACCCATATTCATAAAGATTTACACATGCTTATCCACAACAAAATTTATCACATACATTATGGGTTTGCAACATATTCAGGTAATGCATGTTGGTAAAACGAGCTACATTATGTTTCAAAATTGTGTTTTCGAGAAGAAGTAAAAGACAGATTGTATGCGATGACTGAACTGCACCATTTTGTTGGATTTTTGTCAACATGAACTAATCCTGTGACATCTTCATAAGTTGCTTATCCCGTGATAAGATGTATTTTCAACATTTCCCATCCTCTGTATCTCCAGGGCTCTTATTTTGGTAAACCTACAACCCCTGGATCCATTCCCGTGGTTCTCGCGATCTCAAACTACCCACCCTTGATTTTCATCGGCAAAATTGAACTGATATGCTACTCTGCCTAATCAGAACCAATCAGGATGTGAATTACAAACCAGCTCCAATTTTGTGTTGGCGACATCAACAACATGGCTGCCAGTTCCATTGATTACGATAGAGTTTGTGTGAAATTCAACATCGAAAAACTGTCTGACATGCAAAGGAAACCAAAACAAATCCCTTTGATGGAAAGGATGTATTCATTTCCATTTAAATTGGCGGTGGCAAGTTCTCCCTTACCCATTTCCTTATCTCCATGTTTGATTGGTTGGTAAAATGTTAATGAAAATCAATGGCAGGTATTTTGAGATGACGAGAACTATAGGAGTGGATCCTGGGATTAGTTGAAAAGCAAGCCCTGAAGATATAGGTGAAGTTTCATGAAACACATTTTCTCCATTTGCACTAACCGAAACAATCTGTGATCACAAAATTTAATACAGTCACTGAACGCACACAATTCCTTATAATCTGTCTAAATAATGATTTTTCCAGATAAAAAATAAGTGGTATTTTTTTAATTTGTTGGCCACACTATCAACAGTTGTTCAACATGTTCTAAACAAACTTGAGTAAGGACAGCCATGATAAAAGAGACCGCCTAATTGTCACCTGAACAACTTAGGCCTATATGTTTAAAAAAAAAAAAATATAATTTTCAGTACACTTGCACTGTAAATTCTTTTTATTGCTAAATACAGATTTACCAGTACCATGCTACATAACGCTGACGTATAACACTTACATGTTAGTCAGCTATTTCTGATAAACATGTTTACCTTTGTGTTTTTTTTATTTGAACTACCAACCGCAGTTATTCCGTTATACCTCGTCTCTGAACGGGTACTGATGCTCGAAAGTGCTTACACCTAACAATAACAGCATGTACATGAAAGAAAGAAAATTAAATAAAGAAATCCGTTTTGCTAAAGCTGAACTACATGTGACAACACTAGCAAACTGTTATTCACACGTGTAAAGGAGTTAAATGTCTCTCCAGTGAGAAACCCAATTAACGCTCAAACAATGGATTGCCAGTGTCGGTCGGAAAGAAAAAAGCCGCCAGAACTCCCCCTGACCGTGATGAACCTTAAATTATGCTGCCACGAACAAAACAACATGCCTACTGCAACGACCATCTAAAATATACAAACATCTCCATACGAGTTGTCAATTCTCCGATCGATTGATTGACAAGAGCATAAATGTCAGTGGGTTGCCGCGCTGAACTATCAGTATCAACACCTTCTGTTTACATTCCGCGTATTATCAAAATACAAGTAAGTAACAACCATCCAATGATTGCTCTCAGATGCGCCTAAAGCTAAATATTAAGAACCCTTGATTTGAACTGTTAAGTGTTCTTCGATTAGTTAGGTGCAGTAAAAATGTAATATCGTTTTACCTCATAAACGTGACCCTCCGCCATTTCAGAAAGTATGAATGATCGATTTCGCTTTTAGTCTGGGTTCGAGGTTACTTTTGCCGGGGAGCATTCATTGTCTTCGTTTTCAGCATCGTCGTTGACAGACCACCTGTCGGAGGACACGCTTCGCTGGGCACGGTTTTTATGTGGGGAGGGCATTTGTTTGAAAGAAAGGGGTATGCGGGGGAACACGCGCTACACAATTGCGGATGATGATCTTTCTGGGGAAGAAGTGAAATGTGTGTCCCCTCATTCAACGTCATAGAATAAACTGATGCTCAACACGGGAAACTTTTAAGCCTCACTACGGTAGTGTTTCATTATAACTCAGTTATTATAAAAAAATATTAGACAAATCGAAACCGCATGACATGTGAGCCTTACACCGAGCGAATTGCTAGGTATCCAAATACATTGTAATTTTGAATTCTACGAATAATAAATGGCGCGGATCTAAACCAGCTGGATACCACGCGCGCTGAAATCTGTATAATATCGCAGCAGAACATTTAAACGTATGAACAAAAACATAACTAAATAATTTAGTGATATGATTTCACCAAAAGTAATTATGTTCATGTTGTATGTTAAGTCCCCCCTTCCCCCCTTTCTTCAGGTAATTTAAATTTATTAGCGGTCCATTGTAACAGTAATGAAAACAACGGACATGTTAATAAACTTTCAAAAAAATATATCCTATATAAATAAATTGTGATAATGAAGAAATTGTAATTGATTACGAATATAAATGCACTCTTCAAAAAAGGAAACGCACAGGTAGATTGTTAGTAAATTTATTGTACCTATTAAAGTCGATATATTTAATTTAATATCATAGATACAAATATGAAATTTTGGAGCTCGATAGTCACATGTTGTCGTTGTACAAAGGCATTGAAACCTGTTCATTGTCATGTCACATAAGGCCACAAGGTTGCGCTGAACTCAGTATCTCGTGTGACCGCGCCGGGCAGCAATCACGGCTCATCTCCTCGGCACTGCATGACTTGATAAGTGTACGAATTCTGTCTGTCCATTCTGCGTGTAAAAACGCGTTGGCCAGTTGTGGGAGTGTCTGCAGCGTGTTCCGACGTTGACGTACACGTCGATAGAGTTCATCCTAGAGGTGTTCGATTGGGTTTAGATCTGGAGATCTCGACGGCCTGGGCAAGGCATTGATGTTGGCATTATGTCGGTAGTCTACCGTGACACGAGCTGTGTGCGGTGGAGCGTTGTCCTGTTGAAACAGTCTCTCTGGCGGTCAATGATTGGAAGAAGGTGAGGTTGAAGAATTCGATTCATGTAGCGATTTGCTGTCAATTTTCCCTGAACCACAACCAAGTCAGATTTCGTTGTGTAGGGTATGGCCCCCAACACCATGACACTACCGCCACCGAAATTGTCGAATTCACGTACACAATGTGGGGCAAAACGCTCATTTCGACGACGATAAACACGTTGTCTCCATCTCGCCGGTGAAGAAGAAATCGTGATTCATCGCCAAACCACACTCGTCTCCAGTTTTTTTCAAATTCCAAGGCTGTAAAGTATAGCACCAACGCAAGCGTCGCTGTCGATGGATCTGTTGCAAAACAGGGACGGTAACTGGTCTTCTGGGTCGGACTCCAGCCTCGCGAAGATGTTTCCTGACACAGTCTGGTCCGATCCAGAGATGCGTCCTGCAGTCTCCGTAGCTGTGGCATTGCGATGACGTATAAGTGGAACAGTCGAATGTAGCGATCCTGTGCAGGGGTGGTAACTCTTGGTCGGCCGGTTCTCGGAAGGCCTGCAGTGGATTTCAACTGCATGTATCGGTCCCAAAGGCGGCAAATGGTGCTGTGGTGGACGTTGAAGTGGCGTGCAACAGAAGACTGCGATTCCCTCTTTGGATACGTCCTACGGCGATGTTCCGATCGGCAGCGCTGAGTCACGGCATTTTCGAACTTGAAAAATGTTGACAATTGAATGACAAATTATTGGCTTATGCTTGCCTTTTTATAGCCACTACCACGAGTTACGAATGCCATAACTTGCACGTGCATTTTGCTTTACTATTTTCCTTCATGACATTTTTTAACAAGTGTGAAAACAATGCCGTTTGAGACATTGCAAATCGACAATGACTGCGTTTTGATGCACCGTTTGTCGAATATCAGGCCATCAACATTTTCCAATATCATATATCCAATTTGTATATCGGATTTTTTGTGTAGTCAGGTTCAATGAACTACATACTACCTGTGCGTTTCTTTTTTGGAAGAGTGTATATTGATGCTATCATTAATCATAAACTAACAACGCCTGTTGGTGGGTTTCACCAATTAAAGTGGTAAACGTCGGAGACTTGCTTCACCTCGGGCATTTTTCTCACATTAAGATGACACGCCGTGATGCAAACGGAATATTGCTAAAAACGGCGTTAAACTCAACTCACTCACTCACCCATAAACTAACATGGAATTCCGGGGACTCGTGACTAGAATAGCCCCCCCCCCCCCCGTGGCTAGAATAGCTGGGATATTGCTGAATGCGGGGTAAAACAACAAACCAACCAACGTGGCATCATAAGTATCATACATAAGTATCTTATGTTCATTTGGTTCAACGTCTTTCATTTGTATTGAGTTCATCATAGTTCATTTAAGACAACATAACACCAGTTTCACATACATGATGTATATCTTAACATAAAATAAGTCAAGTCCCAATTCAAATCAACTTTAACTTCAGCAAAGGCTGGCAGCATCAAGGAACCGTATGGGAGTTTTCTATCCTTGCGGCAGCTGTTACTTCAGGCGACCAAGGCGGGAGTCGATCTCTCCGTATCCCCTCTTACGTGCCGCTGGAGCTGTTCGGCACTTGCCTGTTGAGATTACAAAATGTCACGACGAAATATTGAACGGTTTCTGAATTATGTCCCGGACACGAAACGAAACGGACGCCAGGAGACCGTTTTTGAATGCCCCCTTCTGCCCTCAACCCCCATGATGACAACACAACAACGCGACACGGAAATACCTTCGTAGAGGTAAACTGCAGATTGTTTATAAGCCGTGGTTCGGTATCGGAACTCATAAATATTGAAATACAAGGAAATGTTTACACAATGAATTAAATAGCGAAAACATAGCCACAAATGCGTATCAGTATCATAAAGATGTAACAATAACTGATCTTACATTTGTTTGTAAAATCCTGTTTGGCAGTGGACATAAACCCGACTGTCAGTTCACAAATTACCAGTAGTGATTTATTTGTCTTTCGCTGGCTACTGAAATCATGAGTCCCCCCCCCCCCCATTTTCCGCCATATGTTAGCGGATATCCCATATTTTGACATGTACCGTATTCGACGTAATAAGCGACTCGCTCTAATAGGCTCCCACGGCGATATTTGCTAATATATTGGCTGGTGAACAATCCCAATTGGCACCTCTTCCGATTCATCTTCCAGGGGCAAGAGAGTTAACTGACTTTAAAAGTCCAGTTTCCACCCTTGCCGAACTAGGCTGGTATTATGGAGTTACATTTTGGCTGGGCTAACGAGTCTATGCATAGTCCAATCAAAATCGCGCACCGAAATCGAAATCCGGTTCGTAAACTGTCATGCAGATTTCGGTCGATTGCAGGATTTGCAAAGCATGTGCACCGCCAACTCGTTGTCAGCAGATATTTTCCAAATCTTTTCATGTTTTTAATCAAGGTGCTCACGTGATTTGATGCATTTCGCGATGTAAGACCCGTTTTATCACAATATAGATCTTTATTATCGATCAGATCGTCCTGACTGGGCGCCACCATTTTGTGTGAAGCAAACACAAGTGATACGAGAAGTGGAATCTGATTGGTCCATAGGAGAGGCTGAGAAGGGACATAACTGGTAATAGCCACTGGTGGCGCTACGAACGAACCAAGTAATTCCAACCTAGCTCGGCAAGGGTGGAAACTGGACTTTTAAAGTCAGTTAACTGTCTTGCCTCGGGAAGATGCTTCCGATTGATCAATGTACACAAAACATATTTTTTCGTGTATGATACACACTCGTGTGTTATATGCGCCCATAATTACGGGCAATTCAATTCTGGAAAAATATGTTGGTTGTGTATAATACGCACAGACTTTTCTTTTGTATCATTCAGGCTGTCAGCATAAACCACGAAATGTACGATCTTTCAAATCTGTTTTGTTTCCACCAAAATTCTAATAAGAGCCCCCTATTTCTAATTTTAAGAGCGACCTGGGCCCTTATTACGTCGCATACGGTAACTGTTTGCTCCTGAAATAATACATTGAAAAAGAATGGCGTGTAGTAATGTACTGTAGCGTGTCGCATTTCTGCCATTATTCAGATGAAGCTGTCAAACAGTTTTGCGAGTTCTCTCCCCTGATTGTCAGCTGCTTTTCATGATATGACGTCATAGAATGATGACGTCATCATTATTTTCTGATTGAATGTACGACAAACTTAGCGAAGCATCGTTTACTCATTCGTCTTGTTCAATTATTCTTTGTTTTAAAAGAATGAGAAGCTTTTAACTTCGGATTCATATTTTATCCTGACATTATCCCATGATACCAGTGCAGTCGACCATTTTGGAACACCATGGACACCATTGTGACGTCACACTATTGTCGCTGCAAAGCATTTGCCGTCAAGACGCGCTCTTCAGAAGCAGGCGAATTTAGTGAATCCAACGCTGATTTTGTTCAATATGCACGGAGAAGAGATTCGTTTAGCACCGGAATGGTGTGGCCCTAAATGGTTCCATAAACCAAAAGTAAGTAATCATGATATCAACTCTCTGAATAAGATTGGAAATACTGCCTTGGGTGGGCAAAGACGACTGACTTAGTGAATGTGGCTGTACAGACAAACCAGAATTTTAATTTTATTTGTCAACCACTCTTAAGTCCCTTATACTAAATAAAAAATATATATGTTAAGTTAATTAAAAACTTTTGTTTATGTGGTCTTTGTTGGATTTCTTTTTCAAGGTATGAACCGCATCATCTATTATTTATCCATCATTTTCTGAATCACGAACAGGTTACATACAAAAGTGAAACATAGAAGGGGGTGCGAGTAAAACTATATAAGATCATTATTATTTTCTTTCATGAATGAACAACACTGTATCCCCCCAAAAAAACTAAACTTGCAGGCAAAAGATTGTGGATGAACATGAAAAGAAATGGGTATTCGATGACGATGTATTTGATACGGATTTCATCGGTGTGTTTTTGGATCTGAAGTTGTTCCGGTGACTGTTTTCAGCCGTTTAACGGTTTGATAACGTTTGTAATTCTTTTGGTCAACACCAATTTTGAAGCGCATGCTTTCTTTTGCACGGCAGTTTAGATGTTCGTTAGCTGTTCACTGCAGGAGATCTGAAGTACGATCCCTACTCCGATAATTTTTTAAATATTATTTTTTTCATCAATAATGTTTATTCAGCAGCAGAATAATGAAATGACACGATATTTTATCCATTTTGCTTTGGGGAGCGAGTGAGTCAGTTTTTATGCTATATTTTGTAATAGTTTGTTTATGGTGAAAGGTGTATTTTACCTACCCTAAATGCATGTTTTATTTTATTTGTAGGAGGAGAGACTAGAATTCCTGGGATTGCGACGAGTCTCGCTGGGGAAGTCTAGTGCCCTCAAGTACAAGCCCATCTGCTACACTGGTAGCACCCCGCTAGTGAAGGGGAGGCCCCGCCCCAACACTGTCACGAGGTTCAGAGAGATGGTGAAGTCTGCTGCAGCAGAATATGCCCGGGATGATACAGAGGAAACTCCAACAACATCGATCCTCAACGCCAACGTCGAAAATGGCAGTGGTTTCACAGCACAATGCACCCCTGCGAGGCAGGAAGTTGTTGCTGCGGAGAGGGTACTTGTTACAAATGCAGGTCTGATCAGCAAAATGTTCCACGAGGACGTGAAAGAACCAGTGGCACGCGGCACCACATCCAAGTGGACACAGATGGCAATGTTCCTGCAGGACACTGAGATTGAAGACCACCGTCTTGAGGAGTTTTGTCAGACCCCACAGCCAAGCCCAAGACAGCAGCCTCGTTGTCGTTGGACCCAACTGGCCTTGACCCTCATGGACAAAGACAACAGTCTCTCTTTGACAGAGGAGGATGTTCCCGAGGATGTTCTTGAGAAGCGGGGCTCCTTTGATTCATCCCCAGCAGACACTCCACCCACAAGCTTCTTTAAAACTCTATTCGGACTTGACTTTGAAATTCCATCCCTCTACAAATTAATCAATCCGCCAATAATTCCAAGTTCAATGGTTAAGAAGGATACCCTGAAGTATGGCGCATTACCGGTTGTTCTGGGAAGAGGTTCGTTTGGTCGTGTCATCCGGGCCAAACTTAGCGACAGCCAAGGAGACACACAGAACATTGTGGTGAAAGAAATCTTTGACTGTAAAAGTCAGGTTGATGCCATCTTTGAAGAAGCCAGAATGTTGTTGTTTCTCTCAAGGACCGGGTACGTCCCTTCGTGTTTTGGGGTAGTGAGTGATGGCGGCGTGGGGGAAGCATATGGTATTCTCATGGAATGTGTTGGGGACGGCCTGACCCTGGAGAGGTACCTGTGGGACAGGAAAGGCAGGTTGGCACCCATATGTCTACTCCACATTGCCAGACAACTTGCTGAGGGGCTGCGGGAGATTCATAATCTTGGCGTGCTCCTCAACGATATCAAGGCAAATAATGTTCTGTTAGACATCACCAGTGGCATTCCAAAAGTCAAATATTGTGACTTTGGCCAAGCAAGATATGGACACGGGGTAAAAATCTCTGGAAGAGTCACTGACAATCGGTACCTATACCTGGCCCCTGAGGTTCGTAATGGCGGCGTATCCTGCTTGAAGTCAGATATCCACAGTGTAGGGTTTCTCTTCATGGTACTCTCGGACTTTGAAGGATCTGATGCCCTTGTTCCAGCAGTGAAGCGATGCATGGTGGAAGACATCAGTCTCAGGATCAACGCCGAGGACTTGGCGTTCATGGTGGACAAGATCTTCAATGATCATCTCGAAATATTTGTGTTGTCTGATGGTCGGATACAGACCAATCTTGAGATGTCAGTGTTTGATAAGGGAAACGGGGCAGCTGAGTGTTCCGGTAACAAGATGGGATGTGACCTTGAAAATGTCCTGCCCACCAGCATGCTATGTAGATCCAGGACACCGTCTCCACGGGACTCTGTGAACCCACCAGCAAACCCGAAGGTTGACATACATGTATCAAGTGAAAGCAATGCCACCTCCCCATGTATGGACATATATGCAGCATCCAAGTCAGTGTATGAAAAACACCCAAACCACTCCTCATCTTCTACCAGCAATGAAGACTCCTATACTCCATCCGAACATGGCGTCCCGATATCTACATGTCGCCTTCAAAGATGCTCGTCTCCTTGTCCGTCCACCCAATATGATGCAGATGATGAACTATCTGGTGATGAAAGTCAGTCCTGGGTAATAACGTCCAAGAGGTCCACCCATCTCCATGCAGAACTATCTGGTGACGGCTATCACTCTGTGACCACAGCATACAGGGGGCGCTGCAGTATCTCACCTTGTCACGTGTCGTCAGTCACCCTGGAGCCGGACGTAAATAGCTCCAGCTCTGAAGTTATGTCCACTACAAGCTATCGCTCGAACTCATCAGCATCCCTGTCTGTGTTTGAAGACTGTCACGAGGTGGAAGTATTCCACGATCCTCCACAGTTTGAGAACTTTGAATCAATGTCAGTTATCCTTCTATTTATTGTGTTTATGGTCATGTTGAAATTGTTTCTATTAGTTTGTTTGTAAATATTATTATCTGTAATTACAATTATCCAAATCGAAGTACTATTCTTGTTATTAATCTTAATAGATTGTTCTAGTCATTATAATTACTCCCAATATATGATATAAACATTATTTTCATATTGTGAAACGTTGTCGTTGTTGAAAATAAAAACAATGAACTGTTTTAAGTGTCACTGTATCTGTTTTGGAATAGTTGTGTCTTGTTTCAAACAGCTCCAGGACATTTTGTCGCGGTACGCGGGCATCATACGGTGTTTAAGGACAGTTTAAGCAGGAAATTATGTCCGAATAACTATTGTATGTCAGTCCTAGCCCTGAATTGGCAGAGATAAGTCATTCGACTACGGAGCTTAAATTCATGGCATTATAGCCATCTGTAAATTATAAACTGATAAAAATGGGTGACATTAAATTTATATACATTAACAAAAGAAACTACAACATTAATACGTGGCGTATCTATACAGTATGGCTACTGCAGAATTCCAAAGACAATGTAATGGATAGAGTTATCGATGCGTTAAACCAATCCGATAAACTTGGTATGACGACCCGATAAATATGAAAATGAAGTACCCAAGGCATTACTTTTAATAAGCTCCATGCACTGATGCAATGGCTACTCAATATACTAATGTCAGTATACTATAGGTATTACTAGATGTGTAGCGGTTTCTGCACGCAAACATGGCTTCAAATTATATGGCACTATATTCTAATCGGCGCGGTTCACTCTAGCATTGTATTCATACGCGGTTACTTCAGTTACGTAACCATCGACTATGTTAACAATGACATTATATGATAAAGTAATTATTACCCTCATGTGTGTCCGCATCGTGAAAAATATATCATGAATATATAATATATGTTATGCTGGACAAAGGCTCGTATAATGCTTTTTGTATTCTTCATATATGATATTTACAATACGAAAACGCACTGGGCTAATACTATCTCTGAACAAAACTGTGTGTGAATGGGGCGGTGGTTAAAGCGTTCCCTCGTCGCATCGAAGACCCGGATTCTCCCCATGGGTACAATGTGTGAAGACCTTTTTCTGGTGTTCTTTCCATTCATGTTTCTGGAGACCGCCTTCGTGGTCTAGTGGAAGCGTCCGCCCGGGGAGCGGAAGGACCGTGGTTCGATCGCCAGACGCGTCATACCAAATGACATTAAAAGAAGGTATTTGTTGTTACCCTGGCGCTTGGCATTAAGGGGCTTAAAACAAGGATTGGTCGGCTCGTAGTACAAGCACACACACACACACACACACACACACACACACACACACACACACATACACAGTGCAATAATCTTGAACGCCTCGTAAAACCCCATTTCACCTCACTTTACGGTTTCTGGACTATTGCTAAAAGCGGCGTAAAACCACACTCACTCACGCTTCTTCAGTAGTCACAGAAGCGTACGTAAAATATATTCAGGTATGGTACTTGACATTTTTCATAAAACAAACTCCCCGTTGTCACGTTAAACCATTTGATAAAAACCAAACACTATGATCAAATTGACCATGCATGTAATTCCTATTCAATCATCTGTAAGTCCCATGGTCCAAAATTATCATTGATCCAGACTCAACATTTTAGCGGACCATACATGGACTGATATCCCATATTTGACATTTAAGTGTATGCCCCTGAAGTAATACATTGAAGAGTGAGTATGGTTTTACACTGCTTTTAGCAATATTCCGGCAATATCACGGCGGGGGACACATTGTACCCATGTGGGGAATCGAACCCTGGGCTTTCCGCGTGACGAACGAACGCATTTACCACCACTGCTTCAATTGAAGCTGTGGTATGGACGGGCACTCCATTTTCCCTATATATACAGAGTTGCCTCCCTTGGATTGTTAAGGCTTGAGCTCCACCCACGGTTCGTTCCGCGTTCCCTACCGCGTTATCGACGTGTACAGTCTGTATAGCTCCATATACTCTTTGGCCAAGGTGTCCTTGCGTTTTAGTGCACGGGTTTGGGAAAGACAAAGTTATTTCCTACTTCAAGTGCGGCTGTCTATGTTGATTCATCGTTATATCTACATCATATTTACTAGAGTTTGGGTACCAGCGTCCGGGGTCTTCAAGTTCATGCCTGTCCATCCAACCCCAAGAATATTTTAGGAGAGTCAGTTTTCCAATAATGTAACATAGAGATATGGTTATTTAACGCCGCGCCCAGCAATATTTGAGCTATATGACGTCGGCCTGTAAATTATCAACCAGACAAACAGGGATTGATATTACAAGCATCTTCCACGCCATGGGTGTACGATGACACGTTATTCGCCAGGTTCCGACCAACCGACCCATTAACTCGCCCCTTACAACCAGCAGACCGCCTCTATAGTGGTACGGCGTCTTCCCGGAGAGCGGAATGTCCTGGGTTCGATCCCCGGACGCGTCATACCGAAAGACGTTAACCGATGGTACTTGTTGTTACCTTGTCTGGCGCTCGGTATTAAGGGCTAAATCAAGGACTGGTCGGCTCGGAGTCAGTATACTGTGTCTGAGTGGGGTATTCGTGTTAAACTGTGACATGGTATCACGGTGGGCTAGTACTATAAACTCGGCATTAGTCCGGACTAGAACAAGCAGCCACACACACGCACGCACGCACGCACGCACGCACGCACACACCCACATACACACACACATGTCGCAATGTAAGCGCAATAATCTTGAACGCGACGTTAAACCCCATTTCATATCACGACCAGCGCTAAGGTGACCATAACTCCCATACGTCAACATTGGCTTACGATAGTCGTAGCGCTGAGATCGCTTTGTGGATTGGTGCCCAGCATTGGTTTCTGGGACCTATTCTAGCCCTGAATCCCAAAGGTTTGAGCGTGCGGGTATAGTTTATGCCACTTTAAGCAATATTCCAGCAATATAACAAGACCACAATGTGACCAACATGAACAACTTTATTGACACTGCATGTTACATCTCATACTCCACACACCACTGGAATGTCAGTATAGTGATACACGCACCACGGTATACAAGTACAATACATTCCCTTGTGGTATATCACACATAATAAACAATAATTTGAAATTTGAATAAATAACATTGTGACGTTGAGGCGAAGTAATGATACAGACACTGGTTATACAACTCGCCTTAGATCTGATCCATGTAAATAAAATCAAATCTAACTAACATCATATGCGATAAAGATATAAGGTGTAACTTTCTGTTACAGATATTTGTAACTGCTGCTAAACAGTTAAAGGAAAATCACTACCTAACAACTGAACCCGCGGATTTGCATAATCCGTGCAGTCGATAACACTAGCAGGGGCAGACAATTTGCGTGTGTCCAGTCGACAAAGCAGATTCGGTGCCAAGTCATCTTCCCGAGGCATGAGAGTTATATTAACCGACTTTAAAAGTCCAGTTTCCACCCTTGCCGAACTAGGCTGGTATTATGGAGTTACATTTTGGCTGGAATAACGAGTCTATGCATAGTCAAATCCAATTGCGCAACGAAATCGAAATCCGGTTCGTAAACTGTCATGCAGATTTCGGTCGATTGCAGGATTTGCAAAGCATTTGCACCGCCAACTTGTTGTCAACAGATATTTTCTAAATCTTTTCATGTTTTTAATCAAGGTGCTCACGTGATTTAATACACTTCGTTTTATCACAATGTAGATCTTGATTATCGATCAGATCGTCTTGACTCGGCGCCGCCATTTTGTTTGAAGCACATGCAAGTGATACGAGAAGTTGAATCTGATTGGTCCATAGGAGAGGCATAGAAGGGGCTTAACTCGTAAAAAGCCACTGGTGAAGCTACGATCGTTCCTGTCTAGTTCGGCAAGGGTGCCTCGGGAAGATGGTGCCAAATGTATTGTGAACATGCGTGCAATAAGACTATGGGTAACAATATTCGTGAAGGAAATAACATGACCATTAACAGAAATAAACAACAACAACAACAACAACATAACAGGGTAAGGAAGGGTAAAGGAATATACATGTGATTGTAGACTAGCGATATCTCGACCAAAGCACACCTTCGATAAAAGTCACTTAGAGATTTGATACGTACGTAATAAATATGGGCCGTGGGTTAACTTTGAGATATCCGAGTTCAATATACTGCGTCGATGATATTTATCAACGTTCATGACGAATACACTTATATGCAGTATTATTTTCAAAGGAAGCGCTACATGATGGAACGCGACTTAAGTACATGCGGAATTAGTATTACATCTATCTAAATATGTACACTTTATTTACATAGAGTTGATAATGCGGTTGATGTGACGATTTGGAAACCGCAGTTTAGAAATGAACTACGAAGATGTATCGTAACAGGGCTTGAATTCGATATATCCATCATCGCGAAAAATTACTATTTTAATTATTATAACCCAATACACGCCAATCCCCTCTTCATAAAAGAGCGTCTATTTTGTTGTAACCGAGTATTCGCTGTATCCGTCTTCGTTTTTACCAGGGTTAACTGTATTGCGTTTAATTAATTATCCATTTGTTGTAGTGAGTGACTGAGTGAGTGAGTGGATGAGTTGTGGCTTATGCCGCTTTTAACATTATTCCAGTTATATCATGGCGTGTCAGCTTAATGTGGGAGGAAAGCCCGAAGTGATGCAGGTCTCAGACGTTTACCACTTTGGTGAAACCTACGAGCACGGGTATGGTGCTGACAAACCTAGAAACATAATCAGGTTGTACGGGATTCTAACCCACAATCATAGGTTTCTTTGTCCCCAAACGACGCAACTCTGCACAGCAAACTGCGGTGCCTAAGACGACTGGGCCATCCGTTCCCATAATCAACAGACCTCAACTTAACTGCCAGCTGTGTTGATAACCAATATGTGGTAATAAAGACACCGTGTATTTAAACATGATCAATAGTAAATAGACATTTTGAGAAAGAAGGTAATCAACGGTAAAGAAAAAGGTTGGATTAAGATTAAAAAAATATTGTAATTTTAGGATAACGAATAGTCCAATATTTTCACAGACAACACAGTATTGTATCTATAAACTATCACAGTGGTTATTTTGAGGTCGTTTGGAAGATACGATGCTTGCTGATATAATCTGTGACCATAGCCAGCAAACATGGACTAAATTCAAGCCAGCCCAAATATAGGAGATCTTAACCCACAATCCCAGTGGAGACCTTTAGCTAATAAGGTGTGAGCTACGGCTTTACTCTACCAATCACATTACAGCTATCATTTCTTGCACGTATGTATATTGACACAGATATGCACATGTAGTCTTCAAATCAACACAATGTAGATCCGATCTTCGCTAAACGGTTCAGGTGAAACAAGGAGTAAATATTTAGTACTGAAAACTGACTAAGAAGATTTGTTTAAATTCTATGATAAATGCATTGTGAATTATCGGTCTACCCCAGAACACCCGACTCTATGTCCTGTTGGTGTAAAGTCATGTACAGTTAAACAAAATCAAGTAAGGTATCAGTAGGCATACGCAAATCATAACCTAATGGATTTCGAATTTCAAAAAGATAAAACATGTTTACGAAATACTTCACAACGAGGAAACATGAATGAAGAAATTGCCCTCCTTAACGGCTATTTCTGATTTTTATGTGTGAAAAGAAAACATATAATCTACAAAATAAAAAAATCATGTCATTCGTGGTCACTCGTGTCATTCCGGTATAAGGCAACTAGAAAACGGAAAGGGTCGAGTGGTGATAAAAAACAATTTAACAAATGATGCTTTCCGAGAACGAATGGACACGCAAAGGACCGAGTCGTGACAAAATTTAAATAATGACTGATATCCTTCCCTAACGTCTATGATGTCAACATGCCAAACACTGGCCAGTTCAATTCAGGCAGTCTGTTCCCTTGCATCCTCTGGTACACGCCATTTCCGGACAGCCTCGTTCTGATACACGCCATATCCGGACAGCCTCGTTCTGATACACGCCATATCCGGACAGCCTCGTTCTGCGTGTGTTTCGCACATCACCACATCGCGTGTGGATTGAACAGTTCGTTGCTTAAATTGATGCATGGTGATATCTACATGACTCATAAGTAATGTACGTTTATATCAGCATGTATGTTAGTACCTCAGTAGGGTTCGTGTCAATCATGAAGGTATTTTAAGTGAATAAAGAAAGCATCTGGATACAAATCCACAACTACACTTTCAAACCACATTTTCTTGCTTGTTTCTAATTTAATATACCATCTGGTGTGCATGCATCCATGATTCCACGTTGGATGAATACCGTTACCAAACATAGTGCTTGGTCAGAACTAACAAACAAATAAGAAGGTAAAAATACAGAAGATTAAAAAATGACACACCAACACAACTATGAACAAAGATCACTGTAAGTTAGAACTAAAGTAAGGTATATACATATTTGATAATGCTGACATTTGGCATGTAAGTGGCCTGAAATATTGAACCATATAATTCCACAACGAGTACTCTTCACCGATTCCCCATAACTGACAAAGCATCTCTACTTTATATGTGTGCAATCAGATGGTCTAGGTTCCTCTACATATCACAGCAAGCAATTATGAGCCCCGGCTACAAGACTAGTAATGTTACTGTTCTGAAGCAGATGTCAGGATAGTATCTAGTCTACGTTCCCAGCTGCCATACTAACTAGTGCGGAAGATCAAACAATCAAACATCAGACAATCAAATGTTTCCTTGATCATGTTATCAAACACAAGCTCCTGTATAAAAGGCCTCTCGAAGATGAAATCTAGGTTTTCTTTATTTTCTAATCTGTGTCAGTACCATCGATGGAAACACTGAAACACTGTGTCTTTCTGTCCAGTCCTAAATAGTGGTTTTGGTTTACCTTCCTCGGAGAGCTTTATTGTTTAGATGTCCTTCATAGATCAAGTGATCCCTGGAGCTCTTTACTGCTTATATGTCCTTCATAGATCGAATACTCATGAACGCTGTACTGTTTAGATGTCCTTCATAGATCAAGTGATCCCTGGACCTCTTTACTGCTTATATGTCCTTCATAGATCGAATAATCCTTGAACCCTGTACTGTTTAGATGTCCATTGATCAAGTGATCCCTGGAGCTCTTTACTGCTTATATGTCCTTCATAGATCGAATGATCCTTGAACCCTGTACTGTTTAGATGTCCTGGAGCTCTTTACTGCTTATATGTCCTTCATAGATCGAATGATCCTTGAACCCTGTACTGTTTAGATGTCCTTCATAGATCAAATGATCCCTAGAGCTCTTTACTGCTTTTTTGTCCTTCATAGATCAAGTGATCCCTGGAGCTCTTTACTGTTTAAATGAGCTGGGGATCTTGCAGTGATGCCAATGGAGCTATCCTCATACACAGAAACCTAAGTCACTATTACCACTGTATGGTAATAACATTAATAAAAATCCACATATACTACGAAGTTAGGATTTCGTTACATGAAAATCGTTTTCCTAAAAATCCAAAATATCAATAACTCACGCCCTATGCTCACACAGATTGACATACAAGGCACGACCAGCCCGTTAGACCGTAGTCACACATATCTTGGCAAATTTAAAGATTTGTTAAAATGCTATCACTTTCTAACTAGTGCCTGGTGGATAGCGTCCAATTTGTTGTCTATCCGGCCAAGTTTCTCCTCCATTGCCTCCACTCTCGTCTTAACATCCTTCTGCTCCGTATCCACATTGTCAACTAATTCAAAAACATCATTTACACCTTTGGAGATTTCTATTACACCCACAGCATTTTCGCCGATCATCAGTCTCTCGTTCTTAGCGTTCCTCATGGAATGGATGGCTTTGAGAAGCTTTCCGTAGGCGCGGCGGTGTTGGTAGTCCGAGACGTTTCCCTTTCGTTTGAGCCTCCATAACATCATCAGGTTCTTGATGACGTCTGCTGCTGCGTGCTTCCTCTTCTTGTCCAGCTGTATCCGAGACACGAAGTTGTGGACGTATTTCTCAGCTCTCGTCTGCTCCAGCTTCTGAGCCAAGACAGCTACCAAGAGAGCCGTGGTGCCAACGCCCATCAAACCGGTTGTAACTGCAATAAACCGCCCGCAGTCGCTGTTTGGGGTTATATCTCCATAGCCAACAGTGAGGAACGTGATGGCTATGACCCACATGGCATTCCGAAAGTTGGTGTGCTCATGGTCGGGGTGGTAGTATCCCTCACATGTGCGTAGAGCCCAGCTGTTGACGACAAATATTATACACATAATTGCAATTAACATTGTGCCTGGTTTTTCCGACATGAGAGCTTTGAATACAAACACCGTGTTGATTTTGACCTTGTTGAGCGCGCCTAGACTTTGGGTAGACGTGTCTGTAAGCAGTCGACTGTGGACCACCAACAGCTTGGCCACGAGGTACAGCCTCATCAGCATCAATATAGACAGCACAGCGTCTATAGATACCTCTGTTGCATTGCCCTTTGTGTCGAAGTAGCCCAGGACGATTCGACCAGGGAATGGATGGATGGCGCACACTGCCAATTCGAAGCCTATCCTCACGTAGGTAAAAGACGTCACAGCCAACCTCCAGTCGTCAAGACCATTGTCAGTCAGGTTGATTTGGATGCCGGTGATATGGTAAGCAACGACCGCAGCAAGAAGGAAGAGCGTGCTGATGGAGATGCCAGACTTAATGACAAGAGAAGCAACGGACCTCTTACTATAGACTTTGTTCAGGAACAACTCGGTTTCCACAAACATCAAGATGATTCCAACCATGGCGAGAGTGAACTCAAGGTTAACAATCATACGGCGTCTGTTGAGGAGTTTTTTCCTTCGACTGAGCTTGTAGCTGATGTTGTCAAATCTCGTCACAGCTGGGGACAGGGGGCCATTGCTCGACTGACTCATGCTGTCCTCGTCTACGTACTTGGCGAACTTGCCTTTCCGACGCCCGACCAGGGGGATCCCCGGGTCCTCAATCAGTGTGCTCCCCGCCATATTCCTCTGCAACACAAAGAAACAAGAGTTATTTCCCTTTGAAAGCATGACGCATGGATGAAGCGACGTCATACCCCAGCACCCACATAATCCGCTACTGATGAGAAACATAGGTGGAAGTTTGTTTGCTTGTTTGTAGTTTAAAGCCGCACTCTACTCGGATCTTCACGGGGAACATAAGTAAAAGATATGGCATTCCCTTTGGTAACTTCAAATGGTTTGGGAGCACAGATGACCCAGCCACAATTCTGTGTGCAGAGTGCCAGAAACCTATGATCATGGGTTCGAATCCCGGTGTGTTTCTCCATTTGTCTGCACCCGTGCTCGTGGGTTTCGCCAAAGTTTTGGACGTCTAATACCTGCATCACTTCGGGATTTCCTCCCACATCAAGCAGACACGCCGTGACATAACTGTAATACTGTTCAAAGCCGCGTTAAACCAAGCTCGCTCACACTTTTGATAGATGCGACCCTGTACAGTATATCACCTGTTCGTTCCTGCGACCACACTCATACAGTCGCCATCTAGCGTCTAGTATACACACGACATACATACTCTACCGACATAGTCCAATAGTTCAGTATGCTAATGAAGTAACCGGAGATAATTAACTGTCTCCGCAATATAGACATAGACAGAGGCAGACTGAAACACACACTAATCACGTATTGAAAAAAACAGGTCATGTAGGTACTGTTGTTTGTTTATTTGTTTGTTCATTAACGCCGCACTCAGCAATATTTCAGCTATATGGCAGCGGAGTGTAAATAATCGAGTCCGGACCAGACAACCCAATGATTGATATCATGAGCATCGATCCACGCAATTGTGATACGATGACATGCATCAACCAAGTCAGCGAGCCTGACCACCCGATCCCGTTAGTCGCCTCTTACGACAAGCATGGGTTGCTGAAGACCAATTCTAATCCATGTGGGTTCTGAATGTAGCTGATTGTTTGACGATGCTGTCAATGCATATTTACCATCATTTCACTTTGAGATTAGCATCAGTACACACTGACATTCCACTCGGTTGTTTCAGCATACACTACCCCAGTATCCCTAGTATCTCTATCACATTTTGAGTAGTATGATTTGAAGACCAATGCAGAATTAATAGTCGTTAGTACTAGTATTCTACAAACTACTTCTGATTATTTCATCAACAAATATACACAGTACATAGTAAACACGGTTATAACGAACGGTAAAGGACTGCTGAAAGTTGTTCGTTACATCCGTAGTTCATTCCTCACAGTGCTAGAACTTGTCGACGTGTGTGGCCCTAATACATAGGAACTTCTCAGTATGTAAGTCAGTAGTCACAGAATATTTTTGGCAATCTAAGAAACAACAGTAATATGATATTGTAGCGCTAGAATTCAGTTGAAAGTAAGTGAGCTAAACAACCGTTAAGTCGCCGATGTACAGATTCGTTAATCGCGTGAATTCTATGTGACAGTATCTGTTAAAGCCGTCATGACTTTTAAATATTTCGTTATAACCGTTAGTACGTTATGTTCGTTTCAACTACGTTCTAATAAAATAAAAACACACAGAGTAATACATTACATTAGTCCCGGGCTAAAGAAAATTTGTTGGTGGCTAGAACTGTATTCGATGGTGATGTATGTTATACGGGTATCATACGGGTGTTTGGGACTTTAAGTTTGCAGTGTTTCAGCGACTGTTTTCAGCTCAGTAATGTTTTGATAAAGTTTGAAATCTTTTGGTCAAATCCAAATTTCAAATGTATACTTCCTTTTGGTCGGCAGTTTACTTTAATAAAAGCGACACATTCCTTTTCCATATTCTCGATTGTACGATTCTTACTTTATCATGAGTATATGTTTATGAATCACTATCAGATATTAATGATACCAGGTGTTCGCGAAAATGTGAGCGTATCCTGCCCCATCGATGACATCCGTCACAAACACATGCAAAGGCAAGTCAACTGTTCAACTGAAAAAATACGGGATCATATGGTCCAAGTCAAAATAGGGAATTGCATCTGACATCATAGTTAGCACTGATGGTCGAATTTAGAAATATCCTCAACGCGTCTACCGTAGATTTTTTTGACAGCTTTTCTTTGGCATTGAATGTTATAACCAACTTCTGAGCACGAGTCATATGGCGCTCTTTGAAATCTTGGTAGAAACAGCATGCGCGAACTCAGCAGTTTTGAAATGTTTCGGACACCAAGGGCTAGAGCTGCAGGAATTTTGCTCGACATAAACAGACTATTGTTGATTATTGGAATGTCGAAGTCATCCCTCTTGTCATACAATCTTGTGGTGAGTGTTTTGTCACACTGAATCTTTATGCATAGACCTAACTATGAAACAGATGAGGCTGTCTCAACCAATATTTACGGGCACTTTTGCCAAGAAATCAAATTCACTGTTCAAAGCGATATACGTGAAGACATGTGGGATATATACAGAGAAATATTTTAGTACAATACTTCACAGTCGAAAGTTCATTAACAACAATTTTAACGATCCTTGCCATGATTGAGTGAAATATCGACGTTTGTGAGTTGCTTTGTTGGACTGCCAGTTATTCGAACTCGCTCCTTCGTTAGGACTTTATATTCTTAAACACTGAATTGGCAACATTCAGTACAGTTTCAAATACAGATGTAATTTGCAAACTAAGTCTGGTCGATATAGCCAGACCTAGCCTACATATATTGATGTTCATCTGCTTCCTATGGAAATCTTATAGTGCTAATAAGGCGGTTTCATCGATTCCAGCAGTTGAAATGTGACCAAGACAAAGGTTAAACTGTTTGACCCTAACCGGTGCAGTAGGTGGATTTTCCCTGAATTATAAGTGCAACCTTGTGTAAGTAATGAAGACAGTGCCTGGGTGATATTGAAAAGATAACAGTGAATGCAGTTGTACCAGTTTATGAATATGTGTTGGGGCTGCTAGCCATCAATCGAAATATCGATACTTTGTGATCTGATTGTAACATTGTGAGGTCGCGTATCAATACAAAGCAATATATACTGCCGGGCAAAAGAAAGTATACACTCGTGTTTGATATGAAACAAACAAGAAATGGTTATTCGCTGGTGATGTATTTGATACGGGTGTTATAGTTATGTTTTGCACATAACGAGTGTTTTCGGTAAATTTTTCACCAATCAAAAAAATTACATTGTTGCAATGTGTTTTTTCGAAAAATATAGTTTGGCTCATAGTATTATTAAGTTAAAAAAAGATAGATCTGATTTTGCAGCAGTAGCTGGAACAATATCTATGCATATTTTAATTTTGTTTTGGCAATACTATGGAGATTTATCTAGGAAATTCCATAATACGAAAGACATAATGTATTGGGGTGTTTTTGCTCTTTTCATTCTGGTCGTTTTCCTTGCCCGTCCCACGCCTCAATGGTCAGGTTCAAATTAACGTTCCTCATCGATGCTATATTCTTGACAACAACATCAAGCAATCTCGTGACATCACGAAACCCCAGTCGGTATATCCCGTACGGTTCAAAGGTGCATTTCACCTCTATAGCTTGTGATTGAGGAATTAGACTGGGGAATTTGATAAATGTTGTCTGCATTCTAAATCCTGGCGAGATTGTTCATGGACAATAGTTGTCGCGTTGTTCTATGGGTGTATAATCATTAATATTTCTGCTTCATGGACCCACACAAATACACGAACGGAAAGCTCTGAAATCGGGTTTTCCAGATGTGGTTTACACTGCATTACCACTGAAATGAACATCTATGTGCATGTATGCTTCATCGGGGCCGGACTATATAATGTACGTGTCCCTATCGAGGATTTACAATTGCATCATTTCTCTTTGTAAATGGACAACGAAAACGTAGGAGATGTGAATGATGCCCCGCTCAGGTATTGAGAGTGTTCGGGGAACAAATCGATCGTTGCGTTCTTGGCCACAGTCATGGTAGCCCTCCTGGGATTCTGTTTAATTAAAACATTCCTGACTCGCAGAGTTAAAAAACACAGAAACAAATAAGACATCACTTTGGCTTGATTACGAAGAGAGCACAATATGTAGTTGTACAAAAGACTGTCTCAGGGACCATATCAAAACACTTTATCGCCTATATTTTCAAAAGTCAAAAGGATGTACGATAAAACGCCGCTGAATATTGTGCAAAGAATAAAACCACTGGCGCCGGGACTGACCTTTGTCTTTGTGAGTGAGTGAGTGAGTGCGTGCGTGAGTGAGTGAGTGAGTGAGTGCGTGCGTGCGTGAGTGAGTGCGTGCGTGAGTGCCTGAAGGAGTGAGTGCCTGAAGAAGTGAGTGCGTGCGTGAGTGAGTGCGTGAGTGAGTGAGTGAGTGAGTGAGTGAGTGAGAGCGTGAGTGGCGAGAGTCTTTGGCGTAACGAGCGAACGCTTTAACCACTAGGCTACCCGACCGCCCCGAAACACGTAAGGTAGAGAATGTATGGATGTCAAATACAGGTCCTCATAATAAAGAGGTTGATATCAATACATTCTCTTCCTTATATGGTCTCTGGTTAAACTTCTATCACACACTCTCTCTCACACACACACACATCAACATTGAGCAGCTGAAACAGGCCTTAATGCAATTAACCTATACAGTTCAGTGCAGATGTTATGTTTCATCAATAACAGTATGGATTCAAGTTTTAAGATTTGTGGCCATTTTATTGCATTTGACTTGTTCCGGTTTATTTGTACACAAGAAGACCGACGTAGGACTCCCACGCCTGTTGACGTACATACTAGTATAGAGTTGTTATAACGGTAGTTATTCTGTACAGGCCAATACACATGTTACATCTGACATAAAGAGGCAACAGCTAACACTGGAGGTGAGACGAAATCGGGATTAATGTCGCGTCCAAGATTATTGCACTTATATAGGGACGTGCATTCATATGTGGCTGCTTCTTCTAGTCCGGACTGATGCCGATTATATAGAACTAGCCCATTGAGATACCATGTCGCAGTTAAACATGAATACCCCACTCAGA